TCACGTGTGACGGCTAAGGCAGCTTCAATCGTAAAAGGAAAAAATACTTCTTTTGTTTCATTTATTGCTAAATGAATACGTTCAAAACCAAATAATTGTTTAAAAGGTACTGTCTGATTATTGATTGTATTTGGTTGTGCAACATATGCTAGAACAACGTCATCGCCAGCCATGTTTCCAGTATTTGTTACATTTACGCGAATTAAAGAAATGATTGTACGCAGAAAATTATGATTATTTTCAATCAAAGATTGAATAGAATACAAAGAAACAATTGTATTATTATTCCATGTATAATTAAATGTAGTATATGATAAGCCATAGCCAAATTCATATACAGCTTTACCAGTATAAAATTTATAGGTTCGACCAGGATTATTCGCTGATGATCGCATTTGCATATCAAACATACTTACTTCATCAACATACGAAGCTGGATAAATTGTCACTGGTAAACGGCCAGCTGGATTGTATTGACCAAAGACAACTGTAGCTACGCCAAGTCCACCCGATTGTCCTGGATAACCAATCCAAAGAAGACTAGCACATTGTGTTGAATCTCTAATATATGATAAATCAACTCCACCACCTGACATAATCACAACATGAAGTGGTGAACGAGCTACTTTTTCGAGTTGTTTTATTAAAGTAAGTTGAATATCTGGTAAATCAATTGATTTACGATCGACTCCTTCATGCTCAATCGTATGATCGATTCCACCGAAAAAAAATACAATATCAGATGATCGAGCTAATTCAATTGCAGCAGCAAAATCTTTTTCATTATGACTTGATATTTCACAACCACGTGCATGCTCAATATTGATAAAGTTTCCTAATAATAAAAATAAAAATAAAAATAATAAAAATAATAATAGAAAAATAAATATAGAAGAAAATTAGTTGTCCTAGCATTAATATCGTTCTAACCTGCTGTTAGATTTTTAAATCCTGTCACAGGATCAATTAGAAATGGAGCTTGTCCATGATAAATTCCTTGCATTGTTACTGTTGCATCTGCTGTGGGTCCAATTAATGCGATTTTCTTATTCTTCAAGAGATTAATATTTAACGGTAATGCTTGATCGACGTTCTTCAATAATACTATACTTTCTTGTGCACTTATAAGTGATAACTGCCTTGCTTCTAATGTGTCAACATTATTCTTATTTAACTGTCGATAGATTTGTTGTTCTGGTGGATCAAACCAACCGAGACGAATAAGAACATCAAGTGTACGCATCAATGATTGATCAATGTCAGTTTCAACTATTTTTTTACTATTTAATGCGTCATATAAGTGAAATAAGTAGAAAACACCACATTCAAGATCTGTACCGGCATGTAAAGCAACAGCGACCGTATCTTCGACTGTTGATGTATAATGATGTGTATATAAAATATTGCCAATGGCTCCACAATCACTTACAACAAAACCATTGAGATGAAATGATTCTCTAAAACATTTCAAGAACAAAACTCTTGGTAATTATAAAGAGAAAATATTCTATACCTTGCAATAGTTTCTAATAGAAATTGATGAGCACAAGCTGGTATTCCATTAATTGAATTATAACTGCACATAATACTAGCAACTTGTGCATCTTGAATGCAAGTTTTAAATGACGGTAAATATGTTTCAACTAAATCTTGATCAGTTACTTTAGCATCAAAATGGTGTCGATTTGTTCCATTCCAATTTTCTAAATCATAAGCGTCAAAATGTTTACAATTGGCAGCTATTTTTAAATATCTTTCATCATCGCCGCGTTGTAAACCTTCGATAAGTGCATATACATATTGTGATGTTAGAAATGGATCTTCACCAGGCGTTTCCTGTCCACGTCCCCAACGTGGATCTCGAAAGATATTAATATTTGGTGTAAAGAAAGTAAGACCAGCTCGACCTTCATTATTAAAAGCACGTGCTTCAGTTGAAATAATATTTGCTATATCATGAACGAGACGCATATTGAATGTTGCACCAATATTAATTGGCATAGGAAATGAAGTAGCCGCAGGTAAATCACCACCGAAAACTACACCCGGAGAATAACCAAGACCATGAAGAGCTTCTGACCACCATTCATACTTAGGTAAACCAAGACGAGGTATGGTATCAGCTGTCGTAATCATATACGAGATTTTTTCCATTATAGTCATACGACTTATTAAATCGGCAGCTCGTTGTCGAGATGGTAATGATTGATTACAAATAGGAAATGATGATAATGGGCCTGATTTGCAATCAGGAAAATTACCTGATTGACCATTAGTCCAAACTATTCGAATAGTGAATAATATAAAAATGTACTGCATGCTGCAGATTTATTTGAAGAAACTACTTGTAAAACACGAGAGAAACAATGAGTTTATAATAACACACCTTGAGATAAGACAACGGTATCTAACATGTCTCTGTGATGAGAGAAAGAGAAACAAGTTCTTTCCTCATGTGCATAAAAATAAGTACATCAATATTGTCTCGAAATGAAATAGTATGCATTTTTCTTTCGATTTTCTATTGCTTTTATTCAAAGACATCCTTCTATTTGAGCTTTTAAAATAAAATATTTTTATATTTATAACAATATAGTAATAAACTTCCACACACTATATGGTTGTCCCAAAAATGACTTGACCAATTTTATATTTAATTGTTGTCCCATATTGTCAAGGTCAAGAGAAATCTTAATGATAATTTGAATCCAAATAGCCTATTTCTGTCGCTAATTTTTGTAGATGAAAACAATTGCTAACTTGAAGAATGATATAATTTTTGAAAAAACTAAAAATATGTTTTTACCTCGTATTATTTACAATTAAAATTCAATTTTAGCAAATTCGGTTTATGGAACAAATCATTTTCTACAACTAGTTGGCTACCATTGCAAATTCTGATAACTAAAGCAAAATTAGTTTTTAGATCAATTTCAACGTTGATAGCAGTGGAAATGAGTCCAGATCGAGAAGTACAGGCGAGTTCCCGTAGGAAAACACCGTACATCAACGCAACATGGAAGCAGTATTCCGGTCGAAAAAATGTGGTACTTTTTTGGATACATTCCAGCCAGTTCCATTTCTTTCAGCCAGAAACCGACTGAAACTCATCGGAAAAAGCTCCTAAAAGTTTTCGCCTGGAATATTGCTTCCATGTTCTGTTGATTTCCAGTTTTTTCCTGAGAGACATGGCGATTTTCCCGCATCTTTCCTGCCGGTTTCCACGGTATCCGGTAATAGGAATGGTGGACCTGGGGCAGAGATGGGCAAGTCAAGTCAAAAAATGACTTGAATCGGGTCAAGTCAGTGATGGGTCATGACTTGACTTGAAAATTTTCAGAATGACTTGCCTTCCCAGGTCGAACAGTACAGTCCGTATACGGTCATTGACGGTCACTTTACGACTATTTTATAGGCGAAATTTTGCCGTAATATCTGGCGCAGTAATAAGGACCGTATTATAATGAGAGTACGGAGCACAAACAGCCGTAAACCATGAAAATTCAGTCCCGTGTACGGTGCCGTATTACTGCGCCAGGTATTACGGGCAAATACGGTCTATTTACTGCCGTAAAGATGCCGTTTTGACATCGTTTACCGTCGACAAACAGACCGTAAACGAGTCCGTTTTGATCAACCTGGGCTGATTTGCAACAAGTCGTACAGAGAAATTCAAGTCAAGTCAAAAATTATATGTATAGAGAACTTTTATTAATTGAATTTTTGAACTCTAATTTGAAATGTAGAAGAAAAATACAAATAATAAATTAAACATGGGCAAGTCAAGTCAAAAAATGACTTCACCTGATGATTTTTTGAATGAATTATGACTCTAATTGAATTGACTTGAAAACGTTTGACTTGACTTGGAATTTTCTTTGGCTTAGCTATGACTTGACTTGACTTGCAATCAGACTTGACTTGACTTGACTTGGAATTTTCTTTGGCTTAGCTATGACTTGACTTGACTTGACTTGAAATTTTCAGAAACTCACTTGACTTGACTTGAGTCGAAAAAACGCTGACTTGCCCATCTCTGACCTGGGGGGAAAAAATTGTTTCGAAAAATTTAGGAAGCTACTGAATCGATCTCCTATCATAACTGTTGTATTAGATAAGCTACGCAGAGCGATACAAAAAGAATATTTTATTATGTAAAAAATTTAATAAAAAGTAAACATCTTCAGGTCAATATTCGATTTTCTTCTCATCGTTATAAATTTAATTGATTAAGCGTCTGTGTGAAGACCATATTTATTGGCAAAATTATTTACACGAATCAGGAGTGGAAGTATGGAACCGAAAAACAGTATCTACAAATGAAATCTGTATTACATTATCTCGTCTTTTCGATCAAATTGGATTTTATGTTATTATTTTGCTAGCATATTCTACACGAATTGAGACATAGTCTTAATCAGAAGAAGCATGACTCAATTAATATAAGGTGAGTCACCTATTTAACGGCAAGGCTCTACTAATGCATTTTCTACCAGAAAACAATACAGTGAATGAATAAAAAAACAAATCATACGTATCTAATATGATTCATATTTTATTTATACATGGTTTCACAATAAGTGTGATTCACCGGTTATATATAACTATAGAAAAGCAAGTCTGACTATTATATGCTAACAAAATAAAATAGTACATATTGATAAAATGAGGACGAAAAGTCAGCGAGCGTGTCCATCAACGAACTATAAAAGAAGGGAACAGCTCAATAGAAAAAACATTCAAATCTCAGGTACTCCATTATTATCAAGATGCAATCAATCACAATTTTCTCTTGTGTTAGTGTATTAAATATTTGCATGCATCAATATTAGTTTTTTAAATTTTAGTTGATCCTTGGTGCGGCTGTTCTCTCAGTTAATATGCACCCCAATGGAGATGGTCATAATCAAAGACCACCATTCGGCAATGGTACATTTTATCCTAATGAAACTTTTCCATCTCATATGAATGGCAGCGTTGAAGATCATGGTAATAAACCCACAGGAAATGGTACATTTGTTCCAGGAAATTTCACTGCACATTCACCACCACCATCACATGGAACCGGAGGTAATGGTGGTCATCTACCAAGTATATTTTTTATTGGCAATATTAACATAACGTCTGCTAATTGAGTTTTGTTTCATATAGGAGGATCTGGTGGTCGCTCAAGATCGTAGATTTTTCGAATCGATTTTCATTTGTTATCTGAATAAAATTCGCTCAATTGATTGTTTTCTTTTTATGTCTTCGTTCTTTTAAGCTTATCAATAAAATTATCGTTTTATTTAATTGTATCATTATGAAATCTGAAATCCCCGCTGTGCTGTATAAAAACAATTCATATAATATGTAAATAAAAGAAAGATCAAGTAAAGCAATAATAAATGTAATTTTCGTTTAAAAATCGAGTAAATCAGTCACTTTATGTAGAGCTCGACAACGATTTCGAGACCATGAACATCTTCCATAGCTGGGCTGATTGCATCCATTACGTGAACTACATTTCACATCAGTGAAACCACTTGTTGAGATTTCCAGAAATGGGAATGAGGTTCTCCGATACATCTAGAGTACACGTAGTACAAGAGTCCAGGTAATATGTCATTTCTCCGTTGCTAAAACTTCAAAATCGAATTTTTTGGCGAAAATCGGGATTTTTACGTGGCTATGATCTTAGTTGATATTTTTAATTCAATTACATTAAGAATAAATTCTTAACTCTTTTTTATTGCGCCATGATCTTCAACGTATGTCGGAGACAAAGAGACACAAGCACAAGCACTTTCTGGATTTTCTTGCTGTCATTGAAATTGATCTATGAATAAACGCGAGAATGTCAAATTAGTTAGCATTATTCCGCTGTAAATTTAATAGGAGATTTTAGCTGTCAAAAAAAGAAAGTTCTCTGAAGTTTTTATTTTATCTCTAACATTGCCTTTTGTTTTTTGACGCCTTCAGCGACTTATCTACAAGAATTAAACAGCACGAAATTCTTGTACGCCTTGTTATTCTTGATGTTATGACATACATTGCGCTCTTCTATCTATGCGGGTGTCATCCCTGGTCACTAGTTAATCAAGCAAATTTTAGTGATACATCATCAATCAATAGTAATGATTGAAATATTATGAAAAATATGGTTTCTGTTCTATTCAATGGTTCCTATAATTGTTATCGAACTTCAAACCATTCTATCGAATTTGATGAATTGAAACATATGATACAACAACAACTATATTATACACAAGCAGATGCAATTCTAAAATCAATCAGAGTGTTCTTGAATGCTGCAGCTATAACCAAGTAAATTTTCGCGTTCACTATATTCGATGGTCCTAATTTAATCACTTCAACATCACTGGGCACATGTTTATTCATTTTTGGATCAATTTTCGTCGACAACAAGATCTACGCAGGTCAGGAATTACGAGAACCATAAACGATCGTATACGGCCAAAAACGCTAACTGTCACAATAATTTCTTCCCGCTTCAGATTTTAAATCGACGTTTTAGCATGCACTATATTACGGTCGTATTCTCCCGTGTCGCAAACGACTAATCGTGGCCACAATACCGTCGAAAAGCATTCATAAATCTTAAATGTTTTATGGAGACAGTTCATGAAATCTTCTTTCGAGTTACATGGAATATATCACGGCTCATTTCATATTTCTTATTCATACTTACTAAACATATTGTGTGTTGAGGTTAGAAATAAAAAGCTAACTGGTAACGTTGCATAAATGGATCTTTCCATTCGTGCCATTTATGATAGCAATTTTTCCTATTCCTGCCACCAATAACACGTACATATCATAGGTTCGCTAGTTGCTAATTGCTGCCTAGGGGCATGACAGTTCAGCTTTATTTCTGATCAAAAGAACTGTTCGAACAGTTCTTTCGCTCATTTGATCTGAACTTAGATCTGAGAACGTCACACCCCTATTGCTGCCTCGCCATCGCCTCGCTTGACCTAAGATCTATCATAAACGTGATCTTTTCAGATAGTTTCTCTGCCACCCTTAGCAACTACCACCTTCGCATTCTATGTGATTAAAGAAAGCACATGTTATACACATAGATAGGTTTAAAAAAAGCGAAAAGAACTACACAGCTGAAAATTCAAGTTGATTGCAGTAATTCGCACTATATTTCTTCGTATTTTCGATTACCACTAGATTGTTATCTATACGAATGAGTAGGTTATATATCTTTTTACAGGACGTCTGAGAAGTATTTGATTAATCATGATCTGCATTATGAGAATTTGAACTAGTTTCCTGGACTAGCCGACACGCCTTTATTAAGCTAAAATATTTCAATAGATTTTTCAAACATTTGTATGCGCCAAGCCCCACTCTTTGATACTATTTAAAATTGCTGTGCTTGCTTATAAATAAAATGTACGAGATACAAGAACATGAAAATGAAGTATTTGCGACTGTTAAAATAGAAATTGAAAATAAGGTATGCTCAACGCTGATGAATGATCTTCACCGCGCACAGTACTTGGATACATGAAGTGGTACTTTTTATTAAAGCGAAACCTAGAAGAGATGTTCGTTGAAATAATTTAGAATCCATGTTCTTTCAATTTGTCAAAGTGAAAATTAACTTAGAGCGATAAATAATTGTCTAATTGAAGAAAGAATTAGAAATAGTATAGAATCATAGATACAGATAGCATTTTTCATTGAGACGTTTCGTAAATATCTATCTATTCAGATCATTAATCCATGGTAAAATACAAAAAACAAACAATTTGAAATAACAGTAAACAAACGACTATATGTAGAACTAACCAGTAAAATAAACCGGTTATTTCTATAGTTAAAATTAAACAGAATATATTGAACAATATGAAACAGCATCAGCTTTGATTTCTTCATTGTTTGTACTGTTTATTATCTCAGTAAATGAAGAATTTTCAAAACATACATACAATAAGAGCAATAGAAAAAGAAATTTTATTTTGCAGTAGCGAATCGACATTGCCGACAATTTATATCATTGACTATTGTTCTGTGCCACGATAGTAATACTTATTGTTGCATCGCCATCATATATTTGAAATTTTTTTTTTTTTATTGAAAATGAAAAATAACTTTAATTAAGTTAACTGCATTTCATAACGTGACCCAGTGTATCGCAAGAATCGTACAATGAATCAAAATGCTTTCATATTTAACTAAACACGTTTCACGTACTCATACTGATCGTTCACTTCGTTCAAGTTGAATAGCGTTCTGAATATAATAACATCGAAAATGACTCGGTCAAGTTTGTGCTCAATGTGTTTTTTCTTTCGTTAACTCTATGAAGAATTCTATTTCTTCTTTTGTTTTAGTAATCTAAAACAATATGGATCAATGAATTTTCTACTGGTGGACATTTCCATGAGCTACTGTGATACTTTTATTGAGCCCTGATAATTGAACCTATGAAAGGCACACATTTATTTTTTTTTGTCATTCTAAACAATTGGAATTACAAGTTTGAAAAGTTGAAAAGTTTCACTTAACTTTTGCAACAGTCGCTTCAAATTTTTATCATAGTTGGCAGCAGTAAAAAGAAAAACCCCAATAACTGTCGTCAAAGAATCTCGAAAAAAGCGATATGACGTTTTTTTTTATAATTGATGCAATACATTACGTTTTCTCTTTATCGTTTTTTATGACTTTCCATGAGTGGAAGCATATGCATCCAGTAAAGCAAAGTTAATTTTCCTATTTACAAAAATATTGAAGAATTTCGATGATTAACTAAATGTTACATTGTATTCTATCCATTATGAATTCAATCAATTGAGGATCTATTAGCAAGAATATTCAGAAGAATCACGAGAATAGAATCTAAATAAAAAATGACTTCTAAATAGGAAATCTATATCATATGACCTCATATTTTTAATGACATAGACAAAATTATAATTAGTAAATCTAGTTTTACAGTTAAAATTAATTTCATTTAATAACACACCTTCGATCCTATGTTTATTTTTCTATTCCCTTGATTTTATCGTTAATTCACTTAAGTTAGGAAAAAAAATAAAAATAAAACTATGGTTTCTACTTTATTAGCTGGTTCGGAACTTATTGAGATATAATCTTAATGGGAAGAAAATCAGATCACGAGAAATATAGAATGAGTCATCGTACAACATCAACGAATCAGTATGCTTTGTGCCAATATACTAATAGTAACTATCAAAGAAAAAGTACAATCATTAAAGAAGAAAAATAATGAAACGTAAGCCTCATGATTAATATTTCGTTTATGCATGGTTTCATCTAATGTTGATTCATCGATCAGTTTAGTTGCACAAAAATGACGTCTGTCTTTGCTATGAAAACAAAATGAAAAAGTATGTACGAAAAAATAAGGGTGAAAAGTCAGTGAAGGTGAACGATGTCGACGTATAAAATAAGGGATCAATTCAATAGAAAAAATACTAAGCTTTGAGATACTTCCTTATTATCAAAATGCAATCGGTTACATTGGTTTCCTGTGTAAGTGTTTTAAATATATACACATTTCATTATTATGATTCTTTTATTCTTAGTTGATTCTTGCTGTGGCTATTTTGTCTGTTAATACGCATCCAAACAGAGACCGCCATCATCACAGTTCATCATTCGACAATAGTACATCTTCTTCTAATGGAACATTTTCATCACATGGAAATCATAGTCATCATGAACATAGTGGTGAATCATCACATCATCGCGGCAATCGCTCAAGATCAAAAGAAACCGTAACACTTGTTGCAAAAAGTACTACTCATCAGTTACCTCGTGCATTTGGAGGCAATGTTGGTCGATAAAAAACGGTAAATTTTTGTTTAACAACATGTAAAATATTTCAATTAATTCTATGTTGTTTCTTCTAGGAGGTTCTGGTAGTGCCCGGCAAGGATAAAAATTTTCAAATGAAAGAGTATTTTTTTTTCTAAATAAACTTTGTTAAATCATTCTTCTTAACAAGACTTTCAATAAAGTTGTACTTTTTGTTAATGCTATCATTGTAAATCGTAAATTCTATTTGATTAATCAAGCAGTTCATGTCAAAACATATATCTACAGTAGACTTTTGTAAGAATGAGTATTTTTCGTTTTGTCGGCTATGATATCGAGGAGTAAAACTTATCAAAAATAATAACAACAATTAAAAGTATATGTGAACAGAACATAGAGAAAACAAGCGAAATCTTTATTTTAACAATTATGCGAATCATTTATTCTAATAATAAAAAACATTCGAACAATCATGTTGCTATTATAGCAAAAATTTCTTCTATTCCTCAACTTTTTATTAATATTTATAATTAAAAATCAAGCAAATCAGCCATTTTCCGTAGTGCTCGGCGACGACTTTGAGACCGTGAACATCTTCCATACTCAGGTCGATTGCATCCATTACGCAAACAACATTTCACATCAGAAAAATCATTTGTTGACTTTTTCATAGTTTCACATACACTTTTGGAAACTATTTTATATGCCCATTTTTTGGCTCTTGTCGATTGTTCGTCTGTAGTACAATTTGCATCACTCTGTGAACATGTAAAACGGTAGCTCACACATTGGCAAGTCGCATTGGTACCACAATCTGTCATATTTTTTCTTAACAAACATTGTCTATCGGTGCCTAAATAGCAATTGATCGATAAAGTAGTTGCAAAAAGTAAGCAAAAGACCACAGGAAAGATAAATCGGTCGAACATCGTAGAGTTGAAGACTAAAGAAGGCTCAAATGAATATAGCTTCAAAATAAAATGTCAATATAATGATTCGTTTTTTTTTGTATTCATTATCACCACCCGTTTCAGCATGAAATTGGAGGGTTGTCGTTTCGTCGCATCGAATATGCATGTCATGCTAATACTCTGTATAACTACTTGTTCTGCTTCTTCCAGTTCTAAAAAGAAAAAAAAAACAAATGATTCTTTATTCTTCTATTGATGTAAAGTTAAAAGGCATTACAAGGTTTTCAAGCGACAAGAGAATATAACTGTATACTCATAATTGAAATATAAGTATTCATTGAAGAATAAATTCCATAGAGTGGTGGTTACAAATATTTTCGATAACTTCTCTCATGATCTATAATATTGATATTGCGAATATACAAACAAAAAAGAAATACAAGTGTAGAACACACTCGGGTTATAGTTAGAGACAAGTCGAATTTTTATGAGAATAATATATTAATTTCTAAAACTGCATTTTGTTGACATGCTTATGATGTATTTTGATAAAATCGTAAGACGTTTCGGTTTATCGGCAATAATAACTAATGATGAGCACATTGCTTCAATGAGAGTTTTGCCAGGTTTTTTCTGGATACAATTTTCGAATGTAATACATCTATTGCAATGATGATAGTTGTTCAAAGACTTTGATACATTACTTGCTTTTCTCTCATAGGTTTACAAATGGATCAGCTGTAGTAAAAAAACTTATTTCACAAAAATGCTACTAAGTACTTTTTTTTTGATTGGCCTACCATTTCTGAAATGAGCAAAATTTTCTATGAGAAGTTATCGATACTGCGTGTAAGATTCTCATTCGTTAAACTATCTTACTGAATATTATTGGTAACAGTGTCTAGTGGTTAGTGATGCATTTTTTTATACAGCGAATGAAATTTTCTTCAGAGCATCTCAGGGATTTGTCATGTATATAATATTTGGTTTAATCTGTTTGATAGATGAAATCGTCAATACTGCTCGTCGATGTACGACAATGGTTCATTGCAAGAAACATCATTTTTGTGGAGTGCAAATGACTTACGAGGGAACCGTCCGAAGTGATTCGCCGCTTTTAAGCTCATATTTATGGGACATATAGGGGACCTCTAGACTAGAATAAATCCTGAAGGATTTGGGCCCATGCATATGTGGGACTGAGTTATAACCGTTTTACTGGAATTTTATCCTAGGAGACTGGTTTACCTGCAAAATCAAATCAATGAATTTCGACCTGAAATTTTCACCATGAAGAGGCCTAAGAGCCACTAGAATACCCTGAAAGTTTCAGACAAAAAGATGCATCCTTCTTAAGATATTGGATTTTCAAAAACCGGCTATTTCTCGAATAGAATTAGCAGAACCAGAATTTATGGTGAAGTCAATATCTTAAGAAGGATGCATGTTTTTGTCTGAAACTTTCAGGTCGAAATTCATTGGTTTGATTTTGCAGGTAAACCAGTCCCCTAGGATAAAAATCCAGTAAAACGGTTATAACTCAGTCCCACATATGCATGGGCCCAAATCCTTCAGGATTTGTTCTAGTCTAGAGGTCCGCTATATGTCCCATAAATATGAGCTTAAAAGCGGCGAACCACTTCGGGCGGTTCCCTCGTTAGTCCAAATCTCTTGAACCCATCAACTCATTCTGTGAGATATATAAATTAAAAGACAATGCGTGATCTATTTATTTCTTTTGGATCAACAGTAAAATAAAACAATTTGCGTTAACAAACATTTACTTGACTGAGGATCTTTTCATAAAATAATAGAATCATTTTCGCTTTGCGATGACACGTTCAATATCTTTTTTTATATCAATTACATCTGGATGATCAGCTGCTAGTGAATGACGATAGATTATGAGTGCTTTTTGATAATATTCTAAAGCGTCTTTCTGTTGATTGGTTGCCTCATATACTTTGCCGATATTTTGATTACTCAATGCAATATTTGGATGTTGAGGAGGTAATGATTTCTTTCGAATATCAAGCGAACGCCTATAATATTCCGTGGCATGCTGGTATTCATGCAGACTAAGATAAATATCACCCATGCCGGTATAATTGATAGCCATATCTGGATGATTATTCGGTAAATGCTTCTGTTGAATATTTAATGACTCTTGATGATAATTCAACGCATCCGCGTATTGGTTTTGAAAATAGAAAATACGAGCAATGCCATAATACAAAGATGCCATGTTTGCATGATTGGTAGCGTTTTCGCGCTTATATAATTCCATTGCTTTATTGTAATATTTCATTGCTTCGTCATATTGTTTCTTTTCCATATGAATATTCCCGATAGAACAGTGCAAACCAGCAATGTAGAGCAAATCAGATGGATCCGTACGCATTTTCCTGTCCAATGCTCTTTGAAACCATCGCAGGCTGCGTGCGAAATCTTTTCTTTCTTTATGTGCCACAGCAAGTGAGAAACATAAATGATCATAGGAATCATCATCTGTTGAACATCGCTTTCGTAAGTCAGAATATATTTTCTCTGCTAAATCGTATTTCCCCATATGGCACAATATATCACCATACGATAGAAGATCAGCTTCACTCTCGCCACCTCCGTATTCTTCTCTCAAATGATGGAAAAGATCCTTCACATCATTTTTCTCATTTCCTGCTAACTGCATTTGAATTATCCAAAGTTTATCGTTATCGTCCCAACGAATATTCATCAAACGAAATATACATCCAACCATAAATAAGACTTCAGATTCTTCGTTGAAGTAGCTGAGTGTACTGATATCAGCGAATGGTTTTGATTTTACTTTATGAGGATCAACTTCAATCGTGAATAGTACTTGATTCAAACCCTTCGCTATTTTTGAACCAGACGAAAATTTCAATGCGACACTCCGATTAGATGTTGTCGAGAAAAATGAATTTATCGAAATAATTTGATCACGTGATCGTTGGAGATTTCTTAATTCTTCAACAGAAATAGTTTGACAACGATAAACTTGAACAGGCGTTTCACATTGATTCTTTTTCAGTTGTTGATAGAGATCATGAATAAAAAAACGAAATAAAAATAATAATTCAGTGTTTTGTATGCGTAGAGCTTTGTTTAACATGTTGAATAAAAATCCATCACGGGTATACCACCATATAGCATCATTGGGCTTATAATCACGTTCAAATTCTTGAATAAGACTTAATTGAAGATCGTTGCCAGAAAATTTATCTTTACAAAACTCAATAAATTTTTTGTTATCTTTTTCATTAAATTTCATCCTAATAAGAACGTCGATTAATAATAGATAATGAATGAAATTACCATTAAGTTCAGTGGTTGATTCATCTGGATTTCTACTATTATCGTAAATATTCATAATCATTGGTTGATCATGTTTTACTCGGATTTTTTGATCTCTTTTGATTCGATCAATGAGATCATCAAGATTTACAACTACACTTTTAACCTTTAGAGCAAACAACGAAGAATATAATGAATACAACAAAAATAAATGCTTCATACTTTACAAAAGTGTTGAGCCCACTGTTTATGAAATTTCTTCTCCTTGCAATAAATATATACAGAGGAGAGTTGATGAAGATCATGAATCTGAGGAACTAGTTCTTTACCTAATCTACCACTAGAGATAAGAATAATTCGATCGTACTCAGATTGGGACTTGATATACTTTTTGCATTTGTGTAGGTCATGAAATATTTTGAGATGATTGATGATTGAGCGAAGTCGTTGTTTAGCACGTTTGTTTTCTTCTGTTGCGTTGGCTTCCGCATCAAGCCACAGAAGAGAAAATGTTTCTAAATTATCATCGTGTTCTGCGGTGGCCATATTCTTCAATACGCCAAGGTATACTTAAATAAAATACTTCTGTATAAATATGTTTGCCTTGATGTTTTAGTGCTTAATATAGTATCGTGTACTAACCAGTATGTTTATTGGATTTTTCTTTTGGTTATTATTGATATCATTTTTCTCATAGCAGTAAGTATTGTTGTTTTCTAATGACAAAAATTATCGATGCATGAAGTATATAAATGTATGAATACTTGTTTTTTAACGATCGACAGAATGAATAGTCTTTAGTTATCATTAGTCATCGAGCAATAACTTTTCATCTTATGACTAGTCGAAATATGAAAATACGACTTGTTTACGTAAGAGTATCGTCATGTGATTGTAAGTATCTATTCACAAAAAGCAGCAATACGTACTCTGCTCGTTGATGTTTTCTTCCGATTCTGAAATACGCGTGTAATTTGTATTCGTTGCTGAAAAGCAAAAGTGTTCAAGAGAATTCAATTCTGTTTTTTTCCAATCAGAATAAATTAAATTGTTTTACCTAAAAAGTAGATTGATGAATAACGTCTGTTCTTTTTAATCAAAACGTCGGGACAGCAGCTCTCAATTGTCAAATACTCATGTTTAGTGTTGAGTGAAGAATGACTCGGCGTGCATGAAAATATAGACCAATTTAGAAGTCATCTCTAGAGTCACATATACCAAGAGTCAATGGTCACTAACAACCGATACTGACGGTATATTGAACTGAATCATCACTTGTTGTATCACGACCTTGTAATATACACATTACAACTTATGATCTTCATCGTATAGTTTAGAACCTATTTCAACCAATATTTCTTTTATCTCCTTACAGCGACCACGTATCACAGTGTAATCACAATAGCACGGTGACTGAATCTTAGTTCCTAGAAAAAAAGATAATAGAAATGCTAATTTTTTATTTTACTAATATTATCATTACGAATTATTCATATCAACACTTCGCTGTGAAGTCGAATATAAGACACTTCGAGCACAAACACTAGCAGTTAGAAAGCAATCTATTTTTGAATCGTACTTGCACGAAGACCTCTTTTTGGGAAGCTCGTTCTGTGACTCGGTATTGAGAGACTTGTGTGTAAACAATTAAAATTAAGAATAAAAGCGTATGATTGATTAATATCAGATATAGTTGGATGTACGCGATGCAATTATAACAAAAGAGGCAACATGAGAAGTAAACTGACCATCAGAAATTCAAGTGATATTCAGCACATTCTTTTGAGATTCATTATCAATCCCGTGCTGAGCGTAGTATGTTAACGTCACAGGTGTGATCATCTTTAGTAGTTTCGATTCATCTACTTTTATATAGCTCAAACTGATGACGATGTCAACATGTTTTTCTCTATCTTGATAGTATGTTCTGGCACGGTGAAGTCTCACGAAATAGACTAACCATTCAGAAATACTATCTGTACTGATATCTTACTAAGATAAAAGAAGTTCGATATTTTTAAGATGACTCTTCATGTATATATTACTACGTAAACACTTTGTAAATCGCGAGTAGTTCATTAAAACATATGAATAGTCTTCATTCTTTTATTTCAAAACGAGGATAGAAGAAACTATTGAATAATCGAACAGAATATTTCAGAAGTACGTGATACACTGTTTTCTGACTATATTTCCCATAAATAATAACATGATTGAAATCAACAATAATAATTATTTCGAAAACTTGATTTTGATATCCTCCATCTTTGACTCCTATCGAACAGACTTGTTGTACCATCAATGAATTGATCAATTTCAAATTGAGAATAGATGATACTTTTGATTTCGTCAATCCGTATCGTATATGTCAAGTTGATTTGCTGATCGATGACGAAATTACAGACTAAGCATTTTCATGATTTGAAAATTTTAATAAATCGAATTATATTTTTATGTGTAATCAAGAATTCATTGAATTTTTCTCATCTGTTATGCTTTTGTTCGACATAGATTTTGCAGTTTTTATAATTTTATGAGACACTAACCATTCGATCTACTATCTAAGTGCTAGGCTGTCATCTGTTTGATCAGATATTTATGGAACCAATCGGTTATGAGCAATGAGAGAGGCAATTGAAACATGAAATTTCATCGTAAAAACAAACATCAACATGAAAGATCACTGACGATGGAATTCACGCTTTGTTATTGCAATACTATGGGAATATCCGGAAGCAAAAAAACGGAGTTTGCTACCGAACGAAGAAGAAAAGTCGTTACTGTTCGTTTTATATTAGTTTTTATTGGCATGAAAGACTGAATGGGTAAAATTTTTGCTCGATCAATCCTTGCGACGAAGACATTGTAGAAGAAAACGATGCGAATTCATTCTCCATCAGAAATCAAGTGCATTCTGGTAATAACCGATGATAATGACGAATATGGCGCATTCGTATATTTTATGTCGTATCCAACTCATCCCAATTGTAAGAACAACACCGCAAGTCCCAATCGATGATAATTGAATCAACTGGAAAAATATCATTAAAGAAAGTTGAAAGCGAGTGAGAAGTAAAATTATTGATTGGGTCATGCTCCCATGTAATAATTGCAGAGAAACGCGTAGAAAAATCGAAAGAAAAAATATATTATTACCAAAATCTTTCAGATTCTACTGTTCAAATACAAAACAGTAACCATGATAGTTACATCTGGCTTTAATTATTCATGTCAATTGGACATTAAAAATGGTGTGATTATATATTTCATGTTACTTGCTGGCATAGTACGTTTTACCATTGCGAAGTTTCACTCCTTCATTCCAGTTCAGTTGCATTCGATCAACGATTGTATCAAATTGTTCGGCAACTTTTTCGTAGGAACTTGCACCAGACACACGTCCATTTTCCATACGTGTTTGACGAATTGCATCACTCATAACACCGCTAGTTGCTTCTATTGTATCGACAATATTTTGTGCAAAATGAGCAATCGAACGTTCTTTACCATCTGCTGTTTGGATGAATGCTGCAAGAAGTGGTAATTCTGTCGATGTCTGAAAATGTCCCAAGAAAAATTTCACAGCTTGCCCTTTCGATCGATTAACTTTTGCTTCGGTGATCGTCAAATTCGAAACATCATTACAAACAGTTCGTAACGGTCTCAATATCAACGTATTACTAACACGAGGTGCCAGTTCCGGTGTGTGACGGACAGCACAAGCCAGTATCTGCGCTTCATGAATGTGATCAACATCAAAATTATTCAGTGTTAGTTCTCCATTTTTCATAATTAATTTACTTTTTGTATACGGATCCATACATTGATGTCGCTCTACGATGGCTCGAATTCGATCTTGATCGGCACGTAAATCGCATTCCCGAAGAAATGCTGTCAAATCGAGTAAATGATCAGACGAATCGGAGTTCACTACATCATTATTTTTGTCTTGGCTGATCGATATCTGTTTATTTGCAAATGCAGTATGGCTTTTGCTTGAACAATGCTGAGCGAGATTCCGCAGTTGTAGTGTCTTACCACAAGCACATGTCACAAAACTACGAGGTTTGATGTCAGCCATACGTTTGTCTTTCAACATTACACACGTTTGGTTCGGTCTATTAATGGTGAAGAAATTGCTACGGACGCACATTTTTCTTTTTCTATTTGCAGTCAGTTCTTTTTTTCTCGTTCTTACTGATGCACATGTTTTTTTTTTGGAAAGATTCTCGTTGTTCGCTTCTGTCGCTGCATAGGAGTTTTATGGGAGTAGACGAACAGAAAAAAACCTAAACATACATGAGTCATGAGTGCGTCTACGTAGACATATAAATGCAAATTTGGTTCGTGTTCTCTGTATAAATAAGCTGGTTGAATTTAGAGTCATCGCTAAATTATCAATAGGGTATCCATGTTCGTAGAGATTCAAATGATACTTAGTGACATTCATCTATCGAAGGTATGCTACTGATAGTAAGATAAGTAAGATTTGAATGGATGGTGCGCACGTAGCAGTATACATGAAAATGAACCATTTACGTACGCGTCATATACCGATATAATAGGATGCAGTGTAAAGAATACTCTTTGGAATTATTTACAAAGAATACGAATATATATAATGTATTTCTACAGTCGATGAGCCAGAGACAACATTGGTGTGAGAGTCAAAAGGGTGGCCGCATAATAAAATAAAGTCGTAGTAAAGTGAACTTCACGATATCTTTCATTAAGCAGTTTGCCGAATTGGCTATTCTATGGTCAGAGCTAAATAAAATTGCAAATATAGTTTATAAAACAGATAGTGAGCTTTTTTCGGCAACGACGTTCATTTGACTCGTAGGGAATGTACAAAAAGCGTTGCACAAATGAATTTACTATTTTGTTGATTTGTTTGCATCCAAGAAATTTTGAAAAGATTGAAATCTACTTAGTTATGTATCTAAAGTGATGATAGTTTGAAACGAAAATATCAGATTTCAAACAAGGGCTTCATTTAACATTTCAAATATGGAAGGAAAATGTTCTAAAAGAATCATAAATTGTAAGAATCATGACAACAATTTGAAAAATGTAATCGAATATGTGACTGCATATAGATTTTCAAACTAGGGTCCATTATTGATTTACATTCAAATTCCGTGTAAATGCAATTACCGATGCACCAGACGCATTGTTAGAGCCGGAAATATTGGTCACTCTGGCTGCTGCTGGGCAAGATATATACAGTTCATCTACTATCCATTGTTAATTTGATCTAAATAATGTTGATTTCCGACAGAAACATATTAGTTTTGCTTGTTCGCTAAATACTGATGATGATGATGATGCAAAGAATGGACATGCAAATGTTATAGAGGATAGATTTGTTACGCTGTTTGAAAGTAAAAGCTCTACAGCTCTCAGCTCAGTAGATTTATCTATTGATACAGTAAATACTGCATTTTGTGTAAATGTAACATAGGACAGTGTTGAAAATAGTATAATTGGAATTAATATTAGCATCATTGATGTTAATTGTTTTTGAACTAAGTGCTGCTGATGAATGACTTGTAGCGTATTTATATTTCTGTATGCCAGGTAGCCTGTTATTATTAGAATCACGCTAGGAAAAAAAGCCGTAGTAGACAGGAAATGTTAAGTGTAGAGTATAATTCGTATTAGCTTCATTTAGAATAAGTGTACAAGATATTAAACCTATAATTGAATTTCTTATTAAGTCAGCAGATATAACACAAGGAATAAAATGACCAAGCCAAAAAATATTAGTAAGAAGAACTGCTCGTATTGGTAGTGATAATCGACTGAATTGCCTGTATTTTTCTTGGCAAAAAGTAGTCAGAAATCGATTAGTACTTGACAAACAAATACATGTTGATGAGATTGAAAGAATTGCAGTGGTTAAAATAGCACGGATTTTACATCAAGTACGATCAATGATTTTACCAATCGAGACCAAATCCAACACCTAATGTTCTTTCAAATAAGTCAGTAAATAGTACAATTTAATTATTCAATGATAAAAACATAAATATAAATGTACATGAATTACGACGAGTTTTTCAAAAGACTCAAATATTAAGAAAGTTTCGTAGAGTACCAAAACTAAATATCGTCGAACCACCGCACACTGTTATTGAATCTGTCGAGCTGCCATATGAGAATATGTATTTGCCTTCTTATAACCTACAACATATTTGTTTCGTTGAGTAATTTCAATAATAATGATTAGCTGTCTATTGTGAACATCCCGAAGAATCAGAGACCGTTAAATATAACATGATATGCAGAACTAGAAAAAAAAACTCATAGAACTTTTTTTTTATTATGCATGAGTTAACCCTATGATCCTGACGGTTCTAAAGGGGCATTTGAGCTTGCAACATAATGTGCTTGCTATAGAAAAAGAGAGGAAAAAAAGAAAACAAAGCAAAAGTAGAAACGAGAGAAAGAAAGAAGTAAAAATAAAGATAAGACAATAGAATGAAATAAAATAGAAATGACCAAGAATGATTAAAAAAAACCAAAGAGGACACTCCTTGAGAGCATTATAATAAGCAAAGCGACTATCAACGAAAAGAAGACAGAAAAGTAAAAGAAGTGTAAAAGGGAAGAAAGGAGAAAAAAAGAATGCTGCCAGCAAGTATTGACTATCTATGTGAAATGGAAGCTAGCGAGGCCGAACATGACTCAGTTGTAATTGCACCAAAGAAATAGAGGCAGACCACAAATTACAAAAACAAAAAAGAAAAATATAATATTAATATAATAATAAAACTCGTAGAATTTTTATCATAGTTACTCCTGCTTTGATCCAAAACAAAAAAACACGAAGAAATCTGATTTTTCTAAGAAACTATTTAATTGTTCCAGTAGTTAGTTGCTTGACTATTTTTAAATCGATAGCTGTTTCATTTCAAGATTTCTTTTAGTTTCTGTTTTATTTCGAAAAACTATTGAATATTTGTTTAGTTTTAATAGTTCCTTGCATACTAACCAAATTCACGTTAATGATGTTGACTCAATAATAATATAAATATTTCCTTATCCAAATAGATTACAAAAAAAGGATTAAATTCAATTTTCAAAAATAAGATTCAATTCTCATCAAATATAATCTACACGCAATCACCAAGAAAGCAAAATAATCTCGGTTTTAATGAGACTAGAAATATTTTTGCATATTCTTTCCTCGAGCCTTGTTTAGTATCAATTTTGATTAGGACAGTAGTAATCAAAACGATTCTCCTATTTTCCACATGAAAAACGAATATTATAACAGGTCGAAGCAAGAACAAATTGCAAATATGTGCAAATTTAAACTATAGCAAAAAGAAACACTCGTTCGAAATAATATACAAAATATGTCTTTGTTTTGAAGATCATGACGTGCATACTTTGTTTTGTACTATGAACGTTGTGTATATTGGTATAAATATCAGTTCAATACTTTTGAAGATATTCTTTGCTGAAGCTCGTCAAAACTGTTTCCTTTTCATGAATCGTTTTCTATTCAAGAATCAAACTTTCAACAAGGAAGTCATAGTTTTTCGAGAGGAACCATGAATACAGTTGTATTTTTGAAGAAGAAAAAACTCTGTTTCAGCTACAAAATGAATCAGATGAAAAGAAAAACTTTATCAATCTCTTATTTAATTCTACCAGTAGTAATATGTAACTTGAATGAATAAATAAAATACGCAAAAACCAACACCTTGTACCTGCGGGTGAGGATATTCAATTTTAGTTTGTTTTCTGCGTATTTGATACTTCATAATCGCAATGAACTAACTAAATTGTATTTGAGAAAGAGTTTATTAATGGAAGCTAACTTTTGTGTAAAATTTAAAAATTAATTTTCCCAGTATCATGATAAGAGAAAATAAGTTTTTAATATTTAATTTACTTTATCTCAGCAGCAATCAGCTAACAACACCAATTATTTGCCAAGATATTTATAATTTATTAGAATCTACGTGATGCGCATTCTTTTTCGCGTCAAGAGAGATTTATCTATTCCGAGACTTCTTTCATTAGAAAAAATTAGTTCACTTTTTTTTCTATTAATACCCATTCAGTCGTCGTATTAAGAATTAATTAGGGTGCAGATAGGGAATAGGTTTCATCTGTCCTTTGATTTAATTAGAAAACCAAGATTACATTGACTGCACGAAATGGAAACCGCGAAAAAAGAATTAATGGAAAAAAAAGAAAAACAAATTTATTCTATATTAGGATTTTCTCTAAGTACATAATTAGTGTTCGAAGACTTATGATTCCATTTAATGATCTTCCGAATGGAATAAAATCAAAGTTTTATCTAATATCGATGCGTTCATGTGTTAAATTTTTCATGACACTTATAATTATAGGTTGTATCTCATGTAGCTAACACTTAGTTTTTGCGGGATGAAAAAAAAGAAATTTCGTCGTCTCAGCTTTTCATATCGTTATTTTATTGTTTTAAGGGGAAAAAAATACTCCATCGAAAATGTTAGAAGTTATATTTTATTGCAATCATAGTGTTAAATGAATTTTTGGAAATGTTTATCGAATCAATCGGAATCGTTGTTTAATTCTGAATTGGGTTCTTGAATAGAATATTTCTTTCTATGTGAATTAATATCATTATTGATGAAATTTCGATAGATAAATAAGATAAGATCATAATTGGATACAGAAGCAAGACGTGGATCGACACGTAAAATTTTGTAGAGCTCATAAAGATGTTGATATTTTGTTGGTGATTTATTATCACCCGAAGTATATGATGATTCAGCCAGAGGTTTTGCTTGAATGACCATAATGAAAAATAAAAAGAAACCAAGAAGACTGGCGTTAAACAAGGAAACCATGATGAATAGTGCGTGCGTGTGTGATTGAGTACAGAAGCGCTTCGATCAACAGAATACAATTGCTAAAATAGAAACAAATTTTACTGATAAGAAAAATCTTATAGTTCACACTGAACGCTAATGCTGTCGTGTAAAAATTCAGCATGCATCATTCTATGCCTATCATTGACCGATTTCAGAGACAAGAAAAAAGAGAATCTTTCTGAAGGATTACCCGAGGAACATGGAATGTTCATCGGTTGAATAATATTTGTTTTTCATTACTTAAAACAATATTGCCGATTTGTTCAATTAACTGATAGTATTTTTTTTTAAATCACAGACCGGGTAATTTCACTGCGAACTAAGAAAATCTTACGAAACAACTTTTCTTCTATTCCGACGAGACTAAAATAGAGTTAATAATATTTTACATTTGTATAACATAAACTTAGCAAATCACATCGAAATGTGTTGTTGGCTATCTTCTCATTTCTTCGTCTCTCATTTCCTCGCCGAGGATTACGTGCTTGGATGGAAGAAGAAGCATCTCTCATAAGCGTAGTTCATATAAACATTCTCTCGATAATCAAATCCAAGATATAAATAATAAAATTAAAAAAACACTCGAGAAAATGCATTTATTTTTTTTCCTATCACCGATCATATTCCAAAAATGTATCTTGACAGAATACTAAGAATGATTGGTAGAGAGACAAAAAAATATCGAGACGCCAAAATTTACATGTACTTCGGTTTTCTTTTATCTTTTTCACATTCAATAAGTTTCAAATGTCTTAATAATAGAGCAGTAGTCAAATCGTCTTCATTAGCATTGAAGTCTAAAATTTGATGGTGTCGATCTCTTAGCCTGATTCAGCTATAATTATCAGTAACAACAGGCTGTCATCGAGAACAGGAGACACTAATGACTATAAGCAATATGATCTCTACTGTCAAAATACTTAATTTATTACAGAAATCAATGAAGATTTGTATTTCTTTGAAATTCTTCCTATGCAATCATGTTCACGCACAACAAAACCTCGGCCGCCTAATATTACTATCGAGCATAGTGATATTTAATATGCCTCAATCAGCCGATGAAATAAACTTCGAAAACATTATGAAATTAAATCAAAATTTTTTCACTAGAAAACATATTAGCTACCCGAAAATAATCGAAGAATCCTGCAAGTTATAAGATAAAATATAGGAATTTTTATGGGTTACTCTTTCATCTCATGCATATACTGTTCATGATGTCGTAGAAAAAAAAAGGAATTTTTCATTCGAACAAATATATATTCAAATCATAAGGTTATTTTGTTTTGCTGCATTCAAAACTTCGAAATACTTTCAAATTGGTTCGCAATTGATTGTTTTTGTCCTTATAGAGATTATTTCTATTGTTGACGTAATATTTTAGATTAATTTCATACCATTGATGAAACGGAAAATTGTTGAAAACGTCATTAATTCAATTCATCTCTATTATATTAAATATTTTTGAAGAATAAATATCGAATTGTCTATTTAAACTGGTTTTCAACATATCAAAAAGTATTAAAAAAATATTATTACTATTGTCCTTGACAATGTACATAAGTCTATATTAAAAATAAGTAACAACAACAACTAACACTTAATACTACATCATCAATCTTAAAGGCAAATCACTATTCAAATATACCACCACATTCGATTATCAAAAAAGACCCGTATCCTTTTCTCCGGCAGTTCTATTGTAGAAAATGTTATTGAATATGTGTACAAGGTAACTGTATGCACATAGACCTGAAGGTATAAGAATCAATTTATTAACATTGCAGGCAAGACACTTTATAGGATTTAATTTCTTCATTATCAAGATGAAGATAAAAAATGTTGTGCAATACTGGATAGAAAATAGATTCGGTTCAATCAAAATATATTCATATAATGCATGACATCAGATCAGACAAACAATTACTTTTTTTTTGTTCTCGATTTCGTTTTATCATTTGAAACTAATGCATAGATTAAATATTCAAGTTGATTAATGCAATAAATCTAACTGATAAACGATATTCGAGAGTTTGAACATGCACAGCATATGTCGGCTTCTTTTATTTCATTTTTCAATTGCAATGTGAGATTGATATTTTAAAATTCAGATTTTTTGCTTCTTCTAGAAAAGGAAAATTTATAAAATCGATAAATCTTTCGTAGACAAGCAAATTTATTCTCATGCGACTTTTTCATTGTCTATATGAACATTTATTTATTTTTTAAATATTTCATTAAAAAATACGAATAGACTATTTCTCAATTCAATCGATTCTTATTTATCTAAGCAAAAAAATACATAGTTCTCTATTGTAAGTACATACGTATATACTCTTCACTATAACAAATATTATCTCATGAGTAAGAAGGATATATTGTAATGCACTATTGTTCATTAGTAATAGTAACAAGCAATATTGATTTATTTCTCTTTTCTTTCTTTTCTAGCGTTTTTTCTTTGTCTTGTTCTTTCACTATCGGCACTACTACTCAAATTACTTTTCTCCTTCTCTGCCTCTCTGCCTCTCTCTCTCTCTCTCTCTCGAAAACATTTATTCACTATCAACAACCCCAAACAGTGTTCTCTAGTGGAACTCAAACTTGAGTTGGCGACGACAGACATACAATAGAACGAACAAGACTATTATTAAAAAATATTAAACTGTATCAAAAGTATAGTTTGTTCAAGATTCATTATATCGGTCAGTATTCGTATATCCACACCGATTCAATATATATCCATTTTTACGAACACGAATGATAATAACGAAATAGTTATTATACAATAATGGGTGTTGCTACGTGTTCTCCTTGTGCCAAATATCTATTATTGATTTTGAATCTTTTTTTTTGGGTAAGTAACTAAAGTAAAATTGTAGTAGTAAAATAGAAAATGAATGAATGCTAGGTAAATACTTCGACAAGCATAATAGCTGATGATGGTTATTGCTCATTAATCATAAGATGTGAGGGAGTAGAACGTTTTCTTTTCTTCGGTTCAGTTGTAAGATAAAAGCATTCATCACACTTAAAAATTTATTGTTATCTAAACGATCATTTTTTTTCCTGGAGATCATTATTCAAACTCAGTTTTTAACAGTTCGGCGTGAAATATAAATTTCATTCAAATCTTAGACTTATATTTTTGCATAGTGTGTAGACGTAATTGTTTTTACAGTTATTTTGTCTTTATATAAGATAGAATAAAACGACATTCCAGAATGTGTTCTTTCGGTCGCTAAGAATTACGTATTAGTAAATGTTAACCTTCTCAGAATACTATGTTTGTTGTCACACGTCTTATTATTTTCACATTATATTAAATGCTAAAGTCAATGATAAAACAAAAATGGTAAATTTCATCTGTTTAGTTGATTGGCCTTGGATTGATTGCTCTCGGTCTTTATTTTCTATTACGCCCGGAAATTCAAAACATTATTCATTTATTCAATTTTACTACTTTACCATTATCATCCATTGAAATCTCTGCTTGCGTTCTCATTCTATTCGGTGTCATTATTTTTCTGATCGGACTTTTTGGATTCTGCGGTGCACAACGAGAATCTCGCACCTGTCTTATTCTAGTAAGTCACAATATTTTATGCTATTGAAACTAATATAGAAAGCAACACAAAAAAAACAACTTTTTCTAGTATATTATTTTGGTAACATGTGTTCTTCTTGCTCAATTGACTCTATTTATATTCATTGCAATGCACCATGAACAAGGGCAATCACTTGTAAAACAACGTCTTGTATCACAAATAAAAAAATACAATCATATGTATGCAGGTCAATATGAAAAAGCAATAGACTATGTTCAAAGCAAGGTAAGCTCAAGAAAAAGAAAAATAATTAAATGTGTGATGTAAACAATTGGCATACTCTGATTTCAAAGTTCACAATGTTAAGATTGAAATATCTTGTATTGTTTAGAATTGTGGAATCAAAGGGCAATTACGATCGATAAACTCTATCATCCTTGTCTACGATAGTCATAGAGCAAAGTTCCATTCATCTTCTTCTTCTTCTTCTTCTTTATGTTGCTCTTTTCCTAACACAATCGACAAGGCAAATCAATTGATGATAGTCATGAAGCAATCTTCTTTTCCGTTTCTTTCTATGCATACGTATATAGACCTTGAGCATTCATCACCATGGGATTATAGAGAAAAAAGTCAATAAGAAACTTTATACAGGATATAATGAACTAATTCCTCATTTGTTTCTAGTATCAATGCTGCGGTATCGATTCAGCTTATGATTATAGCGAATCTCATATACCATCATCTTGTTGTTCTACGTCAATGACATCACCTTGTACTGTACATCAAGTTGGCCTATTGCGTACGCCAGGATGTTATTCTTTATTAACAAAAACAACTCTTTTCTGGATAAAATATATTATTCTTATTGAATTTGGTTTATCAGCTCTATCGGTAAGAGATACAATAATTATTCTTATTAACAAATATATTTTATTTTAGTTGATTGGAATTCTTCTTGCTATTTGTGTTTGTCAAAATACAATGCTCTACGATGGATATACACAAACATCATATTATATTTAGCATTCACAAGCAAAATGTTGTTTGATTTTTGTTTTATATAGCTAATAATGAAAACAATTAAAGTAGAGTTTCAAAGATTTTTCTATGAATTAAACTTAATTGATAATAGTTGATAAAATAAATAATCTATCAATAGAAACAACTTCTACTTGCATAATAGAAGCCATTAATAATGTAGAAATCGAATTCATTCAAGAACAATTTTTGTTATCAGCGCTTTTTATTTCAATACTCCAGATGATCATTCAATAAAATATATCATGAATCGATCGGATATATCAAACAGTAGTGTTATCGATTTTAATATCAACATTCAAAACGATAATATTAACTGACAACCAAGGTTAAATGTCATTTCATATTTTCTATCGTCGTGCCCTTGTATTATTAGGCTATATGTCATACATTCGATTAGAATTTTTCCGATAATAATCTTCTAGATATTAAAAAAGGTGACCTTTTTTGATTTCATAAAATTTCTATCTCATGAAAAGAAACAGATGGTTATATCATTAAAAGTTAAGTTACTGTTTTAATGATTATATTTGAGATTGTAATAATAATGCAGAAAAATATTACCGTCGTCTATTGAGAGCAAATTACTATAGTAAATGTTTCTGAAACGCGAATAATCAATATATTTTCATATTGTAAATACAAGAGAAGTGATATTTAAATCAAAATATTAGACTAGTATAGCTTATGTAGTTCATTGGTCATGGACAAAAAAAAACAGTGCGAATATGATTGTATTTCATTCTATAATGAATCGCATACATAGATCAAACGCAAAACTAAATTTTTTGTTGCTGTTGGGAACATGCTAATTGAGTTAGATATATATTTTATTAATGATATTCGAATAAAGAACGAACCAGAATGTCATGACATCATGAAAAGTATTGAATGGCAAATTTTTGCATTTCCTCAATGACACGATTTTATTTCAAAACTAATATAAAGAAAAGAGCTAGTCATGAGACTTCTATATTTCAGTATAGAAAAACTGATTTCATCAATAATGAATGCGGAAACATCGGATTCGCATCCGATTATTATGTGAAGTGCAAAAACTGAGTCGATTTATGTATGTCGTGAATAATTCTGAGAAAAAAAAGTTTTTTTGAAAAATCCCTGTACCGCCTCTCAGGGATGGCCTGGTAAATAATGGCAATTTTTTCGATAACTCAGTCATTTCTTAACGGATTACTTTCATCTTCGAACTCGACTGAGATATTGATGAGATCATTCTGTGTACAAAATTTCATGACAATTGGATGAGGCTTTCCAGAGTTATCATGTTAGCGGACGGCACACACTAACCGAATCTAGAGTGTACTCACTTTTTGAGTACACGAAAATTTATTGTTACCTTAGAAAAAAACATTGATTTCAATTGTGTGTAAATATAAACACAGATTTTTCATAGACTCTTCTTTCGTCGATGTGCGAGTCAATTATGGAGGATTTTATTCAGTTAAATACTTAATCAATTTTTTCTCCCGCATGTCAATTGATAATATTGAGATCAAGAATAACTGCATAGTAGTTATCATTTATTATCAATATGACATAATAAAGTCTTAATTCATTCTGTCATCATATATGTTGTGAAAGAATTCACGAACTTTTGAGATGGTCATATTTTCTGCAGCGGTTTAACACATCTTGCAATGAGAAATAACTATTATAGCATGAACACAAGGTCAAAAGTTATTCGAACAATCTCTCTTGAGTTAAAATTTAGTCGTCATTGTTACTAAGCACGAAGACATTTTATTGTTCTATCTATTTTGGGACACATTTCTTTGTCAACAAGACATTTGAGTACGTCAAAATGTAAAGAGGAAGTTATTTATCTACAACATGTGATTGTGTATTATCGATGCCTTTTACATCAAGATGGTTCGACGATTCTAAATCTTTACTTTGATACTACAAAACAGCGCAACATGGCGTAAAGAAAGAAAGAGCGTAAAACAGTTTAGCATGTTTTCTTAATAATCACCGAGAGCCTCTATGCAATTTCAAAGTAAATCTCTTTGAAAATTTTCAAATGAATATTTTGATTAAAAAATCAAAATATTGTTGAATTTTTAATTCTCTTTGGTTGTTTTACTCGTAACTGTCAGATTGGATTCTAGAGTTGAGTTTTAATAAATAAACTACATATCAGAAATATGTACATTCATGTAAGAGCGGCAAAAAATGATGTCTTCTATCAGATTATTATTACGATATACTTATCGTCTCGTAGTATCAATACATCGTGCCTTCTATTTATTGGTTCATTCTCTTCATCTTTTTCTCAGCAAAACTATCCTATTCACCAAGAGTATAGTAATGAACAAGCAGAGATATATGGAGTTGTAGAAATATTGTCATCTCTCGTACAGTTTTTCATTAATTCTAAGCGTTCATTTGTTTCATAACTGAAGACAGACATTGAGGTAGCTTATAATTAGAAAGCAATTAAAGAACAGAAAAACCTTTGTTCAGTTAATGATAAAATAATTACTATATAATGATGGAATAGAATAGTCTGATAAGGAAATGAATATTTTTTCCGCTATGATCAAAATCATGACACTGACACTCGCGATTTTGGTTTAAACTACGCAGGACAATTATACAGTAGTTATGTAGTCAGATTTCTAAGCACCGCTAGCAAATTTCAGATATGCTGCTTATTGCTTCTAGTAGCTCTTCGTAGGAGATATTCAATGTTCGATTGAATACTATTCTACATAAGCTACAATAGAAAACATAGCAATAAAATCATGTAGAATGTGAAATGTTCAGATCAACTATATATCAGCAGCAATCACACATGAGTGAAGACATAACAACATTGAACATACATTTCTCGATGATTGAATAGAAAATCTAATAAACAACGTTAAAATCTAAGCATGGATCATCAATTTCTGTCTATGTATATATTGGTACAAATCTTTCTGTCATCACATCAAATCAGCCTTATTAAATATAGACTACTGATCAATTGTACTGTTTATTAATGCCGTCTTATTCTGTATTGATGAGTGATAAGATGCTACTGAGTAAACACGAACCATCTAGATTTGATCTGAAATTTTATTCATTTAGCTTATGGCCAAAGTTTCATGGAAAACATATGTGATTCCATCTTGAGATATTCAAGGGTTTGTTTAGCAAAATTTCCTTATCATTCAATAGCATGAAATTAGAAAAAAGAAGAAGCATCTTTAAAATAAAACTTTAAACAGAATCTAATAAAGGCAAGAGCTCATCATGGGAGTTCATAAAAGCAATATCTGATTTTTTACCACATGGCCTACTTGAAATGAAAAAAATCAATTATGGATAAGGATCATTTTGAACACTATCTCCTACATTTTGATAAGTCCAAATCTTGATCGAGCTTTGTAAATTATAGATGTTTTCGAATTACTTTAGGTAGCGAATACAATATATATATATATAGAGAGAGAGGGCTCTCGCTCGCATCTTCTAGAAGCAACAGATGTCATGTTATGCTTTCGACTAGTTCGTAAATTGATATTTTATCTCATTGATAGAATCGTCGTCGGATATTTTTACCAGATAAATATTTACTCTTGAATTCAAACAAATTTTTATAATTTTCTTGTCATCATAAAATAGTAATTAACTTTAAAAAGTGACAAAAATTGCTTTAAAGGTTTGCTTCGAAAAAAAGTCAAAAAAGAATTATATTAAATATAGATCTAAAGCTTGGAACTTTCGGTAAGCACCGCCCTCCCCCCGACAAGAAAAGACCCCGAGTCTTCTATTGTGTTCCAGCGTAAAAATTTTGCAGGGGGGGGGCGTCTTGTATTAAGAACCGCATTTTTTCCTAATATTCAATTAAAAATCCAGAAAACTAAGGTGATTTTCATGATTTCCATCAGGATTTTTCAGGCTTTTAAGGGTGTCATTATAATTGTGAACACATTCCCTTAATATTTCCAGCTTAAAATGCTAAGAATCAGGCATATTTTGAAGGGAAAACGCTAATTAAAGTTCATAATTAGTAAAAAATTAATTAATTAAAGNCGGAGGGGGGGGGGTAATCATAAACAAGTAGAAGATGAAATTTCAAATTTACGAATATGGTATGAATCTCAGTAAGAAAAATGATATAGAATTGATTAGAGAAACGCTGGAAACAATGAAATTCTAAAATGACCCAAAATCTACAATATTCACTTTCAGAGTTACTTCTCTCGGTTTGTACTCTGACTTAGAAAGTTTCGGTTATCTTTTCTCTATACAGAAGAGAGTGGTAGAATAAGTTGACTCTTAGAGAAATTGCTAACTTCCGTTCCTATGGCTCTTATCACATACTAGTACTGTTCGCATAAGAATGATACTTGATATTTAATACAACATATATACAAAGTAAACAGAAGTTGTATAGTGGATCCAAACTCGAGAAAATTCATTCGAACGTAAATTTTACTGATCTGTCAAATTATCTAAATAATAAAAAAAAGATTATTATATAACTAGAACCAATCAATATTTTCTGAAGATATTTTATTGTTTAAACATCATCATTATGATTAGCAGGCCACTCGAAGTAAAAGATAAATCATTATTGAATTATAGCTATCAAGTCAATGCTTAAGTAAATCAATGTTTATGGCTGCTTCGTTTACTGATATGTCAAATTTTCTCTAGTTTTTTTTCCAGATGTTTTCTTGGTTTGTGAAGCGCTGCTTCAACCTACTAAGTCAATGTTCACTATTATTATGCTTTATTAACATGTAAGTTCTGACTGATTATATGCAATAGCACTGTAATCTCATGCTCATCATACAAATAACATTGATGTATTTCGAAGAAAGAACAATGTAACGTCAAGAGCTAAATTAATATTTGTTATGCGCATTTCTAAATAGACAAAGACATGAATAAATCAATATATTTTTTCCGAACATATTCTTGTAGCAAAACTATTGTTTGTCTTATTTTTATTTTGAGAATTAAAATATTTCTATAGAAGTTTTCGATGAATTTCTAAATAAATTGATATACTTTAAAATTTCAGAAAAACAAAAATAATCGTTTTAAATTGTGTAATTAAACAGAATTTAAAAATCATTTATTCTAAATTCATTTACAACGAAGAAAATAAACAATAGATTTACTATATACATGAATTACACTGAATTTCGTCTTATTGAAAGAATAACTTTAAGAGATTCAATGGAATCAGATGTTTTTATTACTTTATTTTTTCCTTTATTCTGTTGTCTTTTCCATCGGGCACGTTTTCTTTTGATCTCTCGCCATTCATTAAATGTTTCCATACAAGTACAAGAACATACAGATGTTTGACTTGTATTTATCAAGGATTGATGATGGTATTGATGTTGCTGTTGATTTGTCGCTCCTTCGGATGTAATTGGTGGTGTGTTTGATCTTTGTTTATTAGTATTTGTTGAGCAAATAACATCACCTCTAAGAAAAACCGCTTGACTAGCTGCTTCTTCTTCTCGAAGTTTTTCAAGTAAACGTTCTTGAGAATAAAATGCAACAATACGTATAACGAGTAAATTCATTAATGATGCAACAACAGTTAAACCAAGAAATATAAATATCATACAAAAGAAAAAATATTCTGCATGATGAATAAATGTTCTATCTTGGCCAGGTTTTTGCTGTTAGAAGACCATACAAATAAGAAAAACAAACTACGTTAAAAGTTCTTTTCTCTATTAAAAACTTACTAAAACAACATAATCACCAAAACCAATAGTTGTCAATGTTATAAAACCGTAATAAAACGAATCGAAAAATGACCAATTTTCATATTTAGAAAAAATACATGCACCAATTAAAAGTATAACAATAGATAATAAAGATTCCATAATGAGCAGTTCTCCCTCGGTAGTTCTTGCTTGCTTCGTATGCAATGATTGTTTAATTCTTGAAAGCATATAACTTAGTAAAGAATTAAGTCTTTCACCTGCAGATTGAAATGTTATTAACCACATAGGTATGCCTAACATAGCATAGAAAACACAAAAAACTTTTGCACGTGTTGTTATTAATATTCGATGACCATAACCAATTAATGCTAAAACTACTGTTGAAAAATAAAAACTATCGTAAAATTGCCATTTATGACGGACGATAGTTTTATTCATTATTAAATCAGATAGTTGACGAAATGTTTCATTCGTCATATTATGATCAAGTTTAAATTTCGCAAATTTCAGTTCGAAACGACGCTGCCTACGAATCAAACCGAAAATGACAATCAGTTTTTCTAGATTATACTACAAGAGGAAAAAATACCGATCTATAGATGGCGCATCTTCAAGCGCATCAAAGACACAGGCTCCTATAATTAAATATGTAAATGTGCAAACAATGAGCGCAGCTGTACGAATATTCTTCTTTTGTACTTGAAATGGATCATTCAATTCTCCTGCTGTAATCGGTTTTTGAGTTACACTTGAATTCTTCGTTTTTTTCAAACTAATTGAAGAAGGATCACCGACCAAATCACTTTTTGGACTCATCTCTAAAAAAAATATAAAAAAAAAGAAGAAACTCAAAAGATAATTTTCATCCACTTTCGATTTTCTTCTATAGATATTTCTTTTAAATTAAGAAGATTAATTCAATGGCTAGAAAATATTAAGTATTTACCTACATAAGTTCGGCTTGTTTCTTTTCAACACTTCCCCTTTTTCCTTTTTTCAACGCTTCACGGTACATAGTAATAGTTACTCAGCTCAATCTTTTACTTCTGTTAGCTTTATGCTGTGTGCTCATGCCTTCCGATAAGAAACGGAAATAAATCGGGTGACGCTTTCTTCGTCACCATGGTCGACATCACTTGAGAATGGTGCTTTCTCATTTACGAAACAACAAAAAAGAAAAAGAACAAAACTGATTGTAAGTAACAATAGGAAAGTAGTAGACAGATGTTTTCATGACATTGAACGAGAAAAATCAATAAGGTAACTGACGTTTGTATACAAACAATGATGTGTCTTCTATTTTCCGATACTTACTGGACATTTTGTCTGATCAGTTTAACAACTAACATGCATGCGGATGTCTATCTCGTGAGCTTACTGACGAGATCTAAGAACAAGCGAGAGCATTTTTGTGTTAATCAAAAAAACAGAAATGATGATGATAAAAGGCAACAGAGAAAAGAAGAAGAAAAGAAGTTCTCTGTCGAATGATAGATAACGATAACGGGCGACAGAAATTAGGCTAATAAACATCTATCAATAGATAGTCAATTGAGCTAACAAATGACAGAAACTCGAGTGAATGACACTAACAGCTGCATCTGTAGAAATGAACTATTTATTAATTAGAGAACTTTTGTGTTTCTTACTTTTAATGTTAACTCTCTGTGAATACTATCGCTGTGAACAAATAAAAATAAGATATACTGTTGAGTGTATTGATTAAGATCAACATTACATATTCATTTGATTCTCATATTGCTTGACTGTGCTAGCTTCAGGACAATCACAAAAACTAGTTTTCATTATTATTATCATAAATTATTTGTTTCTTTTTTTCCTCATGACTCGATTCGCCTGACATATTGCATAAGTTAAGTATTCAAAGCTATCTATTTATTCGCAAGGCAGTATAGATATGTCAGCTTCTTTTCTCGAGGCAATAAAACCAACATTTGATAAATATTAATTCGCTTTTCTCATAATCTTTACTAGTGAAAATATTTTTATTGTTCGCAATATTTCTTGTTTATGTGGACATGTTGTTTATGATACGGTGAGGCGTGCACAGTGAACAATTAGTTAAACTGCACTAGAAAATGCTAACGAAAAAAAATCAAATATTTACCTTTATATAATTCGTAAAAAGAAGTTTTTGTATAATTACATTAAATGATAAATTGTTTATTTACTACTTCTGTGAATGATTAATAATCAAAACAGAAATCTATAAAAAAAAACAACATAACATGAGAATTATTTTAGATACTCAGTAGTAGCTCGTTTGCCAAAGTCTTCTGTATCACAGAGCCAACCTATGACAAAAATCATAGCCGATATCGACATAAAACATTGTATACAGATCAGCTTTTACATTTCAATCATTGCTATGGCAGTGTGACTTTATAAATGAAGATAACTACTCGAAAAATTTTCCTATCAAATAATTCTTCTAAATTCTGATTTATTGTAATGAATGAATTCCTATTTAGATTAAAACGCCCTACTTTGCTGACAAAAATATATTCTAAAGTATTATTTTCCATGTTCGATCGATTTATGGGATTTCTTTAGCAGTTCTATTGACTTATCATGGTTAAATGAACCACTCGTGTTAATGAAATGTCATTGCGAAGTCAGATCGTTCTCGACTAGATATGAATGACTGTTCGATGGCTATTTAAGAAATTCTAATATTTATATTATTTCAGATCTCAAGTTACAACACTAGAGAGTTTTATGATTTTAGAACGAGCGTAAAAATTCAGTTTGATAAAAATCTTAATAACATCATTAGTACTGTAAATGTGAGGATGTCTATTCTATGAGCATCTACTCAGGATATAAATTAAAAATAAATATTTGTCATATTTCAATTACGTGACTTATTTGTTGAACATTTTCAGAAAACACTAGAAAAAGGACTAAACAGAATCCATGCTAGTGAAAACGTGACATCTGGCAAATATTGAATTATTTTACTTTTAAAAAATTCTATTTCTCAGAGAATGTTTACAATGATTGGAAAAAAATTGGATTCGATGCGTTCAAAATACTCATGACATTCAAATATGCAAACTGCAGATATTATGATACTGTCTCTTCTGATCAATTTCGGCGCATGCAATTGTAAAATATCGAATACGAAGTGTTAAGTCTCGATAATAAACTGACAGATATTTTTCTGCAATTAAGCGCATAAAACAACCATACAATTGGCTGAAAATGGAACTTAACCACTGGGAGTTTTAGTCTCGCAGATGATTACAAAAGAATTTTCATTCATTGCAATAACTGCTTAAAGCTAATCAATTGAAAGACAATAGAAAAAAAAGTCTTCTGAACATACATTTAGAAATGAGTATCGAAGTTTGGCTGTGAGTGACTGCTTTTTAGTTTCTCTAATAGTTTCTATGTTGAGAAAATTTGATCAAACATGTTGTGCAAAGACTTTAACAATAGGAATATTTTTCTCGTACTTCGGCTGTCTTCTTTTTTTCTACGTTCATTAAACTTTTATAATGAAGCCTTTCAAATCAGCTATGGAACGATCATGGGGTGCTTTCATTTTTATTTACTGATGGAAAATTAAAATGAACGTTGCCAGTATATCAGGTTTTTGATATTAATAAATGTTGCAAATATGTCTAGAAAACAATGTTTTACATTTGTTTCATGCAAGGAAATTCGATTGTTAAGACTCCCCCCCCCCTCACAATCGACTTGCCACTTGGAACGACCCGTTTGGGCTGAAAGTTACAGGGGTGAGTGGCCCTAGTGAGAAACGTGTATGGTTAAAGTTTCAGCTTAATACACCTAACCAAACTAGACTTACGACTTGTTTTATAGCTTTCACGAGAATCGAATTAGCTTCATGGCTGTGAAAGCTATCAAGGCAGGGTAGATTTCAAATAAAAGCTAGCCTCCATACGCAACATTTTATCGGACGAAATTTTAAGAATTGCTTCTATTCATTTTTTTATAACCATCTTATACGGTATGACTGTCAAATTAGGTACAAAAAGCGCAATAAATCGGACTTTTCTTAGTCTAGGAATCTAATATCAAAAATCCGTCCGATGAAAAGTTAGGTCTCGTTGAGATCTGTAAACTGAAATAAATACATCGAGCAACGCTTGAGCCAAGTCAGAGTTATTTCAATTTTACTGTTGGAAAACCATGTTTTAAGAATGTCCCGAAATAAAAAATAGGAGTCCGCCTAAAACTGTGGTAGTAGGCTTGAAGAAATGATTTCGAAAGCGTTATTTAACCTGGATGTTTTTAAAAACCCTATTTATATTTGGACAGAGGCGAGTTGGGTGCATTTTCCCATAGTAAAAAATTCATTTCCGTTTTTCTTTAAAAAGTCAACTTTTGTTGGGGACGGGGGGGGGGGGGGGNGAGTAGAAATCCGCCGCCGGCCCCCCCCCCCCCCCCCCCCCCCCCCCCCCTAATGGATAAAGATTCAATTCTACATTGAACAAAGACCTAATTAGAAATAATCATCAGTCAGCAATAATTGAACGCACGACTGATTTGGCTCAAGTCGTAATGTCGTGTTGTTTGGGAATTTTATAGGAACGATAAGCTGTATTTAAAACAAATCAATGAATATGATTTGGATTAGACGTATAGGAAAGTAGCAGGATTCATTTCTTTGTGAAATATACGAATGAATTCTAGCAAAGCAATTATACAGTCTTCATTTCTTCTTGATCATGATAAGATCTATTCAAGATAGAAATAAGTAAGATTTGCAAATTTTACTCTCATACAAAAGCATACATTATGACCTTGTCTCAAAATTTCTTAAAATGATGATTGTTATTTGTGCACTGCTTAGACTTTAAATGATTCGGATGTTTTCAGTTTTTATTGCATTCTCATAAGAATAATATTTTTCGATTAGCATTCATCCGCTATTATTATTCTTTCTATTAGAACTTATTTTTTGAAAATTGGCACATAAATCAAATGATTGACAAAGAACAGACATTGAAATTCCGCGAATTACTGCAATAATAATAATAATAACAACAACAATTATTCGTACTTTGAGTATAGAGTTATTTATATGGTGCATCACTTCTAGCAAGGAAACGCCTTCAAGTTAATAGGAACTGTCGGCAAGACTAGAATAGGCTCGAAAATGTTGATACCCATAAATTTTTGAAGTTGATTTGTAACTATTTTGCTGAAAAATCAGTTAGGAGTATCAGCACTCCGTGTTCTAGTAACGAGAATACATCTTATACTACGTCTTTTAATCGCTTCTAAATAAATTCAAATGTTTATTCATTTTTAGGTGACCAATTTTGGGGAATCAGAAAAAAGCCCAGTATTCACACTTGTGTTTTAGAGCCACCTTCAGCTATCAGCTTAAAAAAAAGAATGAAATTGTGACATGTGCTTTGTCGTGAGATCTTATTGACAAATTGAAGAATATTCTGAAAATATTACTCAAAAGTAAGGCTCATTTTTTTGCGAAATATTGAACTACTAAATAAAGTTGATAAGAGTTCTATTTCAACTTTAAAAATTCATCGTTTTAGAAAATCTCTAGTCTTACTTACGTCTTCTCTTCTGGTGAGCTTAATATGAATTCTAACGATGAATTACAATTGGAGTAATTATTGCGTACGGTAATCAAATCAAACATAAAAGAAGAATAACAGAATCTATAGAGAGCGAGAGAGAGAGAGAGAGAGAGAGAGAGAGAGAAATTAAACCGCGGAATTTCAATGTAAAATCTACTTCAATCATATTATGTAGCGAATATTTGTTTTTCAATAGAATATAAAAATAAATGTGGAAACTTCGGATTTCATCCGAAAGTTATGTGTACTGCAAAAAGTGCATGGGACATATGAATCATTCTAGAATGTCTGAACACGAAAATTATCATGAGAAACTAGGCAATTTGATTTCTGGATGCAGTTTTTGTGTATTTTGAGACATTTTTCAGGCGATGTTTCGTTAGAAAGCTACGATTTAGTTCAAAACTAATCTCAGATTCCGAATCAGCGTTAAAAACTGAGTCGATTTATATATGTTGTGGATAATTCTGAGAAAAAAATTTTTGTGTTTTGAAAAATCCCTGTACTCCCCCTCAGGGATGGTCTGATCAAAAATGACCATGTTTTCGATAACTCAGCCATTTCTTGACGGATCCTTCTCATCTTCGAACTCGACCTAGATATTGATGAGACAATTCTGTGCGCAAAATTTTAGTTCAATCGAATGTAATTGTGAAGAGTTATCGAATAAACGGACGGCCGGACACACTGACCGACTTTGGTAGTGTACTCACTTTTTGAGTACACAAAAAACACTATCAAAAATGCTTTTATGTCTAATCGGCAACCTAAATTCAATAACAGAAAATTAATAATTTCGAAAATATAGATGACACAGAACAACTGTTTTAAAGTTCATTTATTCTGGCGACACAGTAAATTAGGTGTGCACCGAATAACTTCAAGGTTTGATGTGCCTATGCATTATTCAATTTGAAACCGACTTGCATTTTACTCATAAAATACGATGAATCATAAGTACATTGAAAAAAGCAAGTGTCAACCTAGAAAGCTATTCGCGTGCACCACCCCCAATAGTAAAAGAAAAAGAAAAAGTATTTACCGGCGAAGGTTGCTTTTGTTTATCAGATTCTATAGCAACCATCTATTTCCTTTTTACGTTTCTTTTATTAGCATACATTCACTAAAGCCAACAGCAGAACATATATTATTATTTATTTTTTCGAAATTTGTCAATGGCATCACATTCTCGTTTTACGGACGATGTTTGGTGTACACCAGCACCGGGTGCACCACTAATTGATCTTCGAACTATTGATGAATTACGAAATGAAATCTTTAGTTCAGGCTACGAAGAACTTCAACAAGCTTTATTTCAAGCTGAAGAAATGAAATCCAAAGACTTGTATGAAAAATATGCACCAAGTTTTAGAGATAAAAATAAACAATATATTTTTAAATACATAAATGAAATAAGAGGATATTCACCATCACCCTCAAGATCATTGTTAGTAACCCGATGGAAGCCATTTCTACCTGATCGAACACCTGACAAATTATCACCAACATCAACGAAAGTTACATTTCAAGCGGATGTATTTAAATATGAATCATGCGGTGACAATAATAGTGTTGAATGGTATTTGAATTTTGCCAATCATGATTTATTTGCTTATTACAGTGGTCCACTTTTAGCACAAGATGAATTACAAGTCTTAGAATGTGTTGAATTAGCAGCATTAAGAGAATTTTTCGTGCAAACGATAAATACAGTTGGTTCATATACAACTGGGTCAGATAAACATACACAAAAAACTGTGCCAACACCAAGTAGTTTATTTATTGATTATGTTTCGTTTTTTTTCATCTTTGAATTTTAGTTCTAATAAGTAACACTGAACGTGTAATTAAAATGGATACAACTAAAGTTTATGGTAATGCATTTGCTAAAGCAACTGAGCGGCAACTTATTCAAGCTTGTGAATACCTTAAAAATCCTCAGACCGTTAATTTAATTGCTATTGAAGCACCAAGTCACGGGCGAGGCGTTTATACTCTCGATCAAGTGCAATATATTCTTACCACTTGCTATGTAGGCTTTAAAGCAGCTGAAATTCTTGCTAATAAAACTCACCAATTAAATGCAGCTCATCAACGATCAACGTCTCGTAGCGGAAATACTCGTTTGCGTACAATAATACATACAGGTTGGTGGGGTTGTGGTGCTTATGGGAATAATCGACAAATGATGATTTTGGCACAAATTCTTGCAGCATATTGGACAGAAGTTCATGAAATTATTTTTCATACGCAAACAAATGAGCACAATAGCGATATTTCGGCAGCTCGTGAAGTTGCTGACAAACTGCTCCAAGAAAAAAGCGTTGATCGAGTTTTAGAAGAAATTGTTAAATTAAATTTACAATGGGAAAGATCAAATAATACGTAAAAGCAAACGAATATATTTATACGTATAATTTTAATCTAGAACAACATGCTTACAATTTTAATTATAAACAAAATCTAGCCATGTTTTTAATCTTATATTTATTGTTAGAGTTTTAAATAGTCTTTTTTTTTGTATGGGGTATTAAAAATTGTATCATCTGCTTTTATATTTTATTCTATATTGATAACTAATTGAAATCGAGAATATTTCTGAATACAATGAAATTCTTTGTCGAAAAATAAAATTATTGAAAAGAAAAACTTGAAAATAATGCTAAGTAAACAATAACAAACTCGACTCGTATGACAGTTTTTTCCCTCAGTAGCGATAAGAAGAAGTGAAAAAGAAATAATAGGAAATATTCGAATTTTTTAAAATCTTATTCTCTTAAACACTATCTTGTCCAACGTGCAAAAAAACACGTACTAGTTTTGATTAATGTATTAGCTGTTGATATCGAATTTAGTAAAGCAAAAATTATTTATTTACTTTCTAGTATGTAATAATTATACTGAATTTTTCTTTTTTTACAATATTTTCATTTAGATATATAATTCTATAACAAACAATATTTATTAGAGAGAAATAATTTTATCAATCTCTTCAAGTACATTATCGTTCCCTACAAGTTTTGTATGTTTGACACCATTAAATCCTTTTAAAATTAATCTATATTTAAAATCCATTGTTTTATTCCACAATTGACATGACATATTTGTTGTGTCATCCTGTTCTCCATCGCCCCAGCCATAAATAGCTTCTAAATGATTATTTTTAAATTCATCTGATTTCGATATATAACCAATCGGTGTTGAAACATTAGCTCCAAAAAAACAGTATGTATCTACATTCGGCGCTGGTAAATATCCTAATATGGATGATACTTCAGGATAGATGAAAGCAAGTTCTTTAGCGTTGACGTCATGTAAAAAATCGAGCATATCATATGATGTATAATTTTTCGATGGACTTGTAATAATTGTTCGTTGAGAACCATAAATCATTGGTTCAGGTAATCGCCAAGCAAAAAAGTCCCATGTTTGAATAACATCACGTGGTACAAAAGGTGAAAGAAAACCTTGAACTAAATTTTGAATATTATCGACTTCACCAGCTATATTTCCACTTAATGAAATCCATCCTTGAATATATTGGTCTTTCCATATTTGTGTTTGTTGTGAAAGAAAAAACAATGACATTGAACCACCTGTACTATGACTAACTAAATAAACGCTTGTATTCATATTTCTCACATATGTTAATTCAATTAGTTGTTTTAAATTTTCATTAAAAGACAGTAATGTTGCGTTTGAACCTCGTCGAAAATCATAAGGTATTGAATGAAGATTAACACCATCTTGATAATCATATTTTGTAACAAAATGAAAAAGAAATTTATCTAATTCTAAATATTCCCAAAGAATGCCAGTAAGAAACGAACCATAAATTGAATTCGGTACGATACGTGTTTCAACACCAAGTGGATTTTCAAATGAATTCGATGAAGAATTATAAACGAATTTAAAAATATTATGAAGACATGCTAAATTGCTTGGTTCAAAAAAACGTAGATTTAACCAAAGAAGAATCCATTGATTATGTAAAGACGTTGAACAAGCTGGCTGAAGTGTTGTATCAATACGTACTTCAAGTAGACTACAAAAACTTCCAGGAATGAAAATAATTGGAGATTTGCAATCAATCGAAGATATTTTGTAAACAAAAATAAAAGCAATCGTAAGAAGAAATAACGAAAGACGCGTCATGATTTGCTTCAATATAAGGAGAAACACAGAATACAATGCGAAAATAGACGAACACGTGTGCTTTTGTGTTATCTACCTATCGACGATTGACCTACGAATGTCTCTTTCCTTTTTTTTCCTTTTTCTGTATACAAATACCGAGGGAAAACGTGTAACTTATTGTTTCAGCATGATAAATTATGATAAAAAGATAGTAGAGAAAATTTTCATCATTGCGAATAAAATGATTTGCTTTTGATCAGAGAACTATAAGTTTATTCATATTTGAAAAATTGTTTTTGGTTTAACACTAAATATGTACGAAAATTTTCATAGTTTTATCAAACGAATTCTTTGTTTTTAACACTCTAAAACTGCTCTGGGTGTGATGAAAATATGACTAGCCATTGATGCAAAGGCTATATAGTTAATAGCATGATACTTCGTGTAATTATTCTGCGCCTTTAATGTAGATGGTCACGAGTAGTCAAATCTTTTTAACTTGTAAGCTTGATAGCTTACGATCCTAATGTAACATAGAATATCAGGTTTCGACTTAAAGTCTTTGAAAAGGTAAAGTTCTCAATAAACTTTGCGTAGTGTAAAAGCTTCAATTTTTTTCACTGGCAACTAGCTGAGAGGTACAATTATGAGACCAGCATTGGTTTTGTCAAACAATAGAACACTTATGCACAATTAACGTAGTTCCTTTTTGAGTTCAATTTAAAATATATATAAGATTATGTTAAATAGGCCCTTTATTTGGAGATTAATTAAAAGCGAAATAACAGTGTGTTCTTGAATACGTAAAATATGTTATTAAAAAGAGGCAATAATATGAGCGGGAAAAGAACGGCTTTTTTTGCAGAAGGAACATTTTAATAACTTTAAAGAGCCATGCACACACCAGAGACCGAAACCGATGACAAAAGTGCCATTCGATTCGATTCGGCTTTTTAGAACTGTAATTCGATTCGATTCGGGTTTTCTGGTCTTTTTAAAATTGTAATTCGATTCAATTCGGCTAAAAACACGAAAAAAATCAATTCGATTCGATTCGATTCGACTCAAATTGGGTTTACAAAATATGGTATTCACCATTACATNAAGAGAAACAGTGTACGTCCTTTTTCATGCGTCATCTCTTATACTAGTCAACTGCTCTCGACCATAACACCAGAACAAAGAAAATGATTTTCAATAGCCGAATGAAACTGAAAAAAAACGAATCGATTCGATTCGACCTCTTTTCTAGAAGTATCATTCGATTCGATTCGGCTTTTTTTTAATTTTTTTTTATTCATTCGATTCGGTAGTTTTGAAGTTCCATTCGGAATCGATTCGATTTCGGTCTCTGGTACACACTTAAAATCAATAGAAAAGAGAAACTAGTGAGAGTTCCTAAGCAGAATAAATCTTGATCAAAACGACTACAACACTGAAAGTCAATAACAATGGTGTTTCATAATTAGCAGATGCACCATTACAAAGATCCGTTTGACAACATGCAATTCCTGTGTTTAGAACAAATGCAACAGCAGTACATGATGATGCGCCACCACGTACAACAGTGCCAGAATTCACTATTTTCTATATACGAAGAAAACTTCAATAAAAACAAATGATGATGGTAAGAAAAAATTACACACCGTGCAATAAGTATTGGAACTAACTGCTCCAGTTGTACTAACACCTATAGCCCCGGAATTAAATGGATCACTGCAGCCTATATTTGTACATGAATAACAGTTGAGAGCCGCACACGCTGGTAATAATACTAAAAACAAGAATGAGTATGCTCATACTCATTTCGACATAGAGAAAAAAAAACAGAAGAAACTTACTGCACACACATAAAACAATGATTGCATTCATTTTTGTTCATATGTATAAGGTCGTAGTCTAATGAAATCTATACGTTTGACTACAATTTTTTTTATAATAATTAGTAACTATGTATTACTAATAAATACATTGAGGCCAAAAGTAAGTAATTACCCTAAACTCGTCACAACAACTCTTCGTCTGGATTCTCACCCGACGTCAATTAAATGAAAACAAACGTGTAGTTTTAGTTCTTCATTCATATAATTCCTATGTGCATAAATTAAAGCACAACAACGGAATCTTTCTATTTAAATATTTTAAATACTAAAATTTTCTACTAGCATAGGCACTAGTATTAAAATAGACATATGGTTTTATCAACGAATCAAATATCGATCATGTATGTCGAAAATCCCATGGAATTTTAGTTTCTATTAAGCTTGATAAAATTACATTTGATAGATGAATGTTCTCACTGTTTATCACAAACGAGAAGATCTCCCAGTAGCTTGCTGGTGTGAATTGAAACAGTCATGTTACCAAAATTTTACGAATAGGATAATTGACGAAGAATGATTGTCTGTATAATTAACCATTTCGTGTTTGCATAGTAGAGATGAAATACTTGAAAAGTCATATTATAAATGTTTACATTTTTTTTTGATTACTTTGTATCGATTATTTTTTCTCTGTAAATAGTAACAAGCAGGAGTGAACATGTCTATATAAATGAAAATATGATGTTAGAGAGACGGCAGGATTTTATGAATAAAAACAAGTCGAATGTCGTAGATTATATTTTTTAAATAGCTATGATGGCAGCATTGCCGTCAAAGAGGAAGAAAAACCAAACACTTCTTTCTGTGAGATTGATCATTTCAAATATATTTGATATGAAAGAATAATTGAAAATAAGAGGTTTTTATTTTTACCTACTATAGTTTTGGATACAAAAATTATTCAGCAACAATAAGTATTCAAAGATGAAATATCACTGAAAATTAAAACAAATAGTAATTAATTAATATCTTTCAATAGATGCATATATGTACATATGTTACTGAAATTATATACGCGCAGACATACCTGCTATTTTTTCAAAGCTATTTAGTTTCGAAAACATCTTATTGGAAACAAAGATTGTGAACACGTATTATCTAATTGAAAAGTAAGAGATGCTAGCGAAAGCAAATATTAAATTCAGAACCGAATTTAAGAAACATGATGTAAAATGAGTATTAAAATTTATTGTGTACAAATCGGAATTCCTTGTTCTCTTCTATTAGTCGAACACGGCATCTTAATAGCACCTCCATAAAATATTGCAGACTGCGACAGATGGTATTATAAGTTCACCAATATTACATTTATTGTATCTCTTCGTAGTACATCAATGACTTTCTTATATTATTTCAAGAGGATTGAAGTAAAGGATGATAAATAGATGTTTCTCAAAATAGATTGAACAACGCTAAGTGTCTGTAAAATTAAAACTACTGAAAATCATGCAGACAGCTTATTTTATGCAGCAGGTACTTTTTCTTGGGTAATTGTACTTTTATTTTTTCTATGCCGAATTTAAGACACGCTCATACACGAACTATCAATTATGCAGACTGCTTCTATTACAGTTTTTGATTAAGAAAAACAATCTCTCTTGGGAACGAAGAATGGAGGGAGAGATAAAAAAAACTCTTCGGGAGAATGGGTGCATACTATGAGTGTGGGTGTTGATGTTCTGGACACCCACATCCTAGTTCTTTGTTTTATTTATCTTGACATTTGAAAGACGTATTTACTTTTATTTTCGCAAAAGTTATCTTTCTGTAATATTCATTTATTTACGTGTTTTTTTGTTCTCGAATATTTTCACTTATAAAATATTTATCTAGCTCTTCGGCGAAAAAGTATTCATTTTCTTCGCGTTTTTAAAACTCTACTCATTAAGTTTCTTGAAAAATACATACATATAGTTTATAATCATTCTTTTTTAATCAGAGTATAGGTCTTGCATGTAAGAATTAATTACGAGTTGTCAGTGAAGTCAGTGTCCCTGAAGTACCAGTGACGTCGATGGTATCAGCGTATCAGTGATAGGTGATACAGTGGTCATCAGTGTTCCAGAGACCTCAGTGTCAGTGTGATCAATATTTCCGTGATCAGTGGCACTGAAGATCACTGTCGATGTCGATCGGTGTTCAGTAAATGCATATCGCACATCCCTATATAAGATTAGAGTAAAAACTCAGAAAACAAAATTTTAATCAAATTCTGCTGTGAATTTTCCAGTGTTGATTTCAATTCACACAATTTACTTAGAACAAATGAACACATCTAATAGAGTAATGATTTCGTTGAATTTCATATTTAATATATTAATTAAAACAAAATTAGCTCTTTTAGTTAACAGAGTGATAAAATGTTTGGCTAGAGTTTCTAATCATTTTTAGATTTATTCGCCATAAATGCCTATTTGAATATCTGGAAATCTAAAAAGCAATAACTTCTAGATGACATTTAGTAAAAATCAATTGTAATAGAACATGAAATTTTGCTGCATAATAAGAGTTTCAATGACATTAGATCATGATTTTTGTCTTGACAATAAATATAGCTCATGCAAACAAGTCAAAATCTTATGAATGGGATATGGTATTAATAGCTTTTTCTCTGGAAGCAATTTCAGATAAATCAAAAAAATATTGATGCAGATTTAAAAAGTTATTTTTTCTTACAAAATAGCCTACATTTAATTATTTTCCCATCTGTATTATGGTTTAAGTGGAAAAATAAATGCACTAAACGAGAACATTTTTTCATAGACAGAATTTTCGAAACATCTATTCAAAGCTCAAATCGGCTAGTTTTATTCATATATGATAGAAGAACGACTTATGTAGACTGGTGAACTTTTTTTAATGTCTAAAATGTCATAAGAACGAGCTACTTTACAGGAATTTTGGGATATTTCAGAAGATTTTGAAGTTAATCCTATTTATTATTTTCCCAAGATTTAATTATCAGCTAGAAAAGTAGGTTAGAATGGCAGATTTCGATAATATTCCCTGTTGTTGTTTTTTCCATCACACTTTCTTTAGCATATTTTCTTATACGAATATATGCATTGATCTTCATATTTTTCAATTTGGCTTTGAATTCTCGGTTGACTTCAATACAATAGTTATTAATTCTCTACTTTTAACATACTCCTTTGTCAATATGTTTCATTCAATTTTGTATTTACAAATTCAATTTTATATTTTCACTTCATCTACAGTCGAATATAAATGATCGCTATCCCCGAGAATATATGAAGAATTGTTCAGCGCAATTTGTTGGGTGTGTTTCGAAATGAATAATGACTTATTTCTTTAATGTCTGACTAGCAGATATCTAGTGTGAAATCTTGAACATTCATTGCTCTAGATTACAACGTTTTTTGAACCTACTTCATTACTTGAAGCTCTGTTTGTGATTTATTTTTAAATGAAGTATTAAAACCTGCTTCATTCAGAAGCATGACATGAACTGCTTTTCTCTTGGGTACATTTGTATAATATTAATAGCTTTATAATAAGCATGTTGAATGTCTTCTCTAATAGAAGAAGAAAAAACTTTTCTCCGCGGGTTAGTCGTGAAACTCAACATTTTGAATAGGCTGTAGTGTCCTTTCAATAGATCATCAATAATTTCCAATTGAAAATTATGTCGACATCTTCAATTCCATAATTTGCAATTCTTGCACAACAAGTGACTATTTATTTGGGTTTATTTATTTTTGTACTTGGCTTCTTTGGTGGAACTCTAATATAATTGTATTTTTAAATCTTCAAACTTTCCGACAAAATTCATGTTGATTTTATTTAACAGCAATGTCATTTGCTAATATAGCTCATTTCACTAATAGTTTACTTAGTTGGTTTCGGAATCGATTTGACAGGAAGTTCATTGTTCTATTGTAAAATAAGATTCTTTTCGATTGAACTATGGTTATTAACATCGTTTACATGTATGTGTTTTGCAACGGTTGATCAATTTTCAGCAAAATCTTTTAATCCATTTTGGCATCGATGGAATCATACTGAAATTAGCTCGATCTATTGTAACTGGAACTATTTTATTCTGAATTCTTCATGGAATTCCAGTTATTATCTATTACGAGTTAATTCCGTCACCGCTCAATATCAATCAAACTATTTGTGCAGAAACAAATATAATCTTTCAACAATATGTCACATTGGGTTATATTTGTATCTTCATGGGTACTTTACCTCTTATAGTTATTGTTCTATTCGGTTTGTTAGTTTATTATAATGTACGAAATTTAAGTTATCGAACAGTTCCATTGGTTCGACGTGAATTAGATAAACAATTAACACAAATGGTACTCATTCAAGTTATCCACAATGTCTTCGTTTTAACACCATTTGTAATTGTTACTCTTATAGTCGTTAACTACCAATCTAATGAGCTAACTAATTTTTTCCCAATTCTTGCTATTGATATACATAATTTTTATTTTGCAGTAAGTAGACAAGATATTTCATATTATATAATTATATTTTTGTTTTAATTATTATATTTTAGAGCCCATTCTATATATACATGTGTGTATCAAAACGATTTCGTCAACAGTTTATTCATGTATTTTGTAACATTCATTTCAATCGACTTCGACAACAAATCTTAAATAATAATCGAGTATTACCTCAATCGACGAACTCATCAATCAACACAATGCAGAAATGAAGACTTAAACTGTAGTAGTTTCTTTCCAGAAGATTTTTAAGACACGTAACTACATATTTACAATATATATATAAAGATTTAAATTAAAAACCTTAATTTATCGATGAAAAATGGATTAAAGACATCAGTGATGATATTAGAATAAATAAGTTTCTCTCTAAATATAGTCATACGAATAGTGATTCTCTATATTTAATGTTTCTTTGATGTATAAAATAATTCAAATTATAGAAATTATCAGTAAGACTCAGAATGCTTTGATTGGCAAAGCGCACGTTGATTAAGTATCGTCGAATATACAACCATTGTTTTCTTCCTTATACTACAGTGCGATACGAGCAAACATTCAATCAAGTAGTTTTCAATAATAAATATGTAAAGATACACAAGAGGCATGTCAATGTTTGCATTATTTATCTATTGAATACATGAAAAATAAAGTCACTTCTTGTAATAGAAGATCCTAGTATTGCATTGACATGAGCTGCTTATTCGCTATTTTACAATTAATGGAAGTCTTAGCCTACGAAAAATTATATCGACGGGCAACATACGTACTTCGTTTTGACTGTTACCCAATCGTTTAGAACGTATTTCACCTATTTTCGAATCTATAATCTAATTGATGAGCACACAATGTACTTAATTATGAATAACTTTTGATTGATTAAGAACTAGATTAGGCAGTTTTTATGTAATCAGTATGAGTCAACTTGTCCTAATCGATCTAAAATAGGAGGCAACATTTTTCATTCCTATGATATTGTTAAAGGATGGCGATCATGAAAGAAAAAATAACTTTCTCAACATAGCCTTTATGCGTCTGAAAGATGGAACAGGCAGGCACTATTCAATATCATACTAATGCTAAATATGTAAAGTAAAAAACATCTAATAATTTATAATTGCTTTCCACGAATAAGCTCTTAGCATGAAGAAAATCGCTTCTCTATAATGATACATTTCGAACGAACTTTCTTGACTTGAGCTACAGCCTTATTGTGTCGCGTTGCTATTCCATCATTACTCTTTGAACCATTATATTAATGGATTCATAAACCTGCTGTCCAAATGGATTATATCGGCAACATAATACAACACATTATTATGCAACAGAGTACACTCAGACAGATCGATAATGATTGTTCGACGAAGCAATAGCTTGATCAGTTCATCTTTTTTTTATGTTGATCATATAACAACTGAAGCAAAATCAATACATCGTTGTCGGTCATCTTTGAAGTCTACTATGCAACAATGTATCTGTGTAGCAATCAAAAAGTGCACTACATATATAGATCACTCTCAAACATATTTAAAGACATATAAATTTTGAAGAAAGTTTCACAATATTCTACCACAAGAGAAATTTCTTCTAACTATATTCATGGTCTTTTCCGGTTAGTGAAGTATTTCTGAAAAAAACCCGATACCTTTCGTTCTCAACTTCTCGATGGAATATGGCTATAACATTGACCTATGAAGATTCTTATTCAATTGGAAAACCTCGAATAAAATGAGTAGGATAGTATGTGAGCTATCAATTTATTTCAGTAGAAAATTTTCTCTGTTATATTATTGTGTCAGTAACATTACTTTTAGTGTTAATGAAGCGTTGAAGCAAATATATTTTCGACAAAAGTCTAAAACTCGTATCTAGTACAAATCAAACAGAAACCTGTAATCTTTTATGCATATTTTAGTGTCACACGTGGTTTTTGTCCAATTCATTGAGTATTTTGAAGGTCAACTTCACCATGATATCAAAGTGACGATCGATCAAATATGATTTTACTTAGTAGTAACTGCTCATGTCGCTACATGAGAGACTAGTATTGAATAGATTAATATCTTCTATTGGGGCAAAAATTCAAGATGATAATATCAATAGATAATAAATTCCATGATTAAAACTAGCGGATATTTATTGAGTTTTTCATTGGAAATAATAAATAAAATAAATACTTCACGTTTATGTGAACTTCATCCGTCCTATTAGCTTAATAAAAATGAAATCCAATAATTAATACAATATTAGAGTATAGAAAGAAAGTAAATAAATCATTTTAAGGTAAACGAATAAGTTGAATAATAACATTTTCATCTCTATTTTGCAATAAAATTTCACCTTCAAATTTTAGGTAACCATGTTTACGGGCTTTCAATAGAATGCCAACTAATTTATCTGAGATGTTTGAAAATATCTAAAGCAAAGGAAGAGAATTTTGTTTCTAATACGTTGTATTTTAACAAAAAAATTTCGAATACTTCAAATAAATGGCCAAATGAAATCATTGTTGTTCCATCTTCTTGTCGTTGCCCATTAGTTTGAATTACCTGACATAATTGTTTCATTTCTTCTAAAATATACTCTTGAACTTCATGTCCTCGGTGAGCTAAACTAAAAATATAATAAAATCAATTCGTTTTATGCCTCACATATTAAATTAACGAACTCCGCTTGATTAGCCGATGGTGGTGCACCACTTTGATTGACTATTTCTTGAAATTTATTAACTCGACTAGCCAAATGGTTCTTTTTTTCCTTTGGACGCTTAACAAAAGTTTTATCATATTCTATACTTTTGTCACTTGTATCCATCATTAAGTTTAGTAGAACGAAACTACTATTAATGTACTATTAAATGTTTCTAGAAAGAAAAACTGACAATATCAGAAGTCGGATATCTATAATAACAAAAAAAGGAATAGATATATACAAGTATGTATATGTTTACAAAAGAAAATAACAGTAATACTTAAGTTAAGAAAGAAAAAAAATGCATACAGAATATAATCATGCGCTAGCTGACGGTGTACTAAGTCACGTATATAGATACAGAGCATCCGAGGAATATGTACAAATAATGATGACAGAAGAAGGGAAAAAAAGAAGGTTCTATTGATAGGAATCAGCTTTGGTTGTTGTATAATATTGTCCACGATATGATTTTATTCTTTGTATGTTAGCACTTATATTGCTGAACTAAATAAAAAATAAATACGTAACAAACTGTTGATCGAGTTATCAAAACAAAACACATAAACATGTATAATGAATTGTTTGCATTTAGACTTATGTTACTAATTTTAGTACGTAGAAGCTGCGTGACAAGCATTCTTTCAGTATGAGGCGCAATCTTCATTTTGAATAAAGAAATAATCATGTATTTTATTTCAAAGAAAAATTTCTTCACAATGTGATTTATTCATACGAGCGAATACAGAATGTGGAAATGACTGGAAATTTATGAATAATACATATGCTACAAGGTCGTTTTTAGACGAGAAAGATGTAATTAACAATAATAGAAAAATAATAAACGCAATAAATGTGGCAATAGTTTCTGATTAATTATTCTTTTGATATAGCGTTGAAATGTAATACCACATGTATTTTCATTCTTTTGTTTCTCGAGAGAATAAAATGTCTAATGCTAAATAAACATATCTATTGTAATCTCTTAGTCGCGTCTCTTACACACTACAGTTAATTTATCGTAGAACGAAAATCGCTTTTGAACTCATCTATGAGAATTGGTCTACATAATAAAAAGTCTATCTGAAATATAGAGATAAAACTAAGCCATTAAAGTATAAGGACAAATTGGTGGAGCTGTTGGTGTCAGCCAACAGTACATGCATTCTCAATCTGGCATTGAGGCAATGGAAACGAGTATTTGACTGCATATCTCATAGAGACGTTCTGCAATATTCTAGACAAGATCATTCTATGAAAGACTGGATCAATAACGATTATGAACTAAGAAAAATCAATAACATCACAAAATGTCACCAAAGCATTTCGATGAGTCATCATGAAATAGACAGGATATTTCTGTTCATTTTAACGCGAAGCGTGCTGTGTCTATGTACTAAAAAGCTTGATATAGATGAATATTAAAATAAAGCCTGATAGTAGATGAAATTCTCTCGGAATTCATGATGTTACAAAGGAGTTCTCCAATGAATTCTTTCAATCGAACGGAAATATATCCTACACAACTCATTTGTTGTATAATTTTTTTATTAAACATCGAGCATTTTCTACAATATCCAGTCTAGCTTATGAAGTGATAACAAGCAATCATAAATTTTCTACAATTTCCGTATCAATATTACAGTCAAATAGAGCTATATTGACATTTCTCTATATCAATGATTAATAAATTTCTGGAATACAATTGAAAAAATCCAAAAACTTCCTATTGATCATTAGGAATAAAAGTGTTGTTTTCCTACGAACTTTAATCATGCATCAAGTTTATTACTTATATTAGTGACTATGGCAACTTCATATTTGCTAGGGTATAATATTATTATGCGTCCTATGCAATTATCACAAAAAATGACGTGATGTTGTGTTCTTTTCTCATTCCGTGAACTTTTCAATAGTGAAATTATCATGAAAACAATTTATATCTCACAATAAAATGAATTATTCTTATACCTATGAAATTTCATCAAAATCCTCAAAATTTATTGTATCCTAATCACTTCATTTGATACAAAACTAGCAGCTGAATATACATACAGTGCCAATGTAAAATCTCACTCTGGAAAAAAATGAATTAATTTTTATTTTTTGTATGAAAGTCAAATGTAACTCTAATCATGAAATAGATATAAAAACAATTATCATGACTACAATGGGAGCAGTTAACATAGCGTCCATTAGAATTAAAGCTCATATTCTCGTTCTATATCATTATCGCATGTGTACGTGATTTCACTTTAATCAATGAATAGAGTTAGTTCTGTTGTTACAATGAAAAATCACAATCCAGGAACATTATTACAGATATTCTATATAGATTAAATATTTGATGCAAAAAATATAATATTATAAATTGTTATTTTAAAAGAAGATAAATTTAAAAAATGAAATAACATATTTATTTTTCTCGTCTGTCGACGTAACAGCAAAAAGCAAAACAATCAAGCATTCGTAAAATAAATGCAATCTTTTAATCAAGCCTTTTAAAATAAGGATTTTTTCTTGTTTTATTTCATTGAATAAAACGGTGAAGCTCAAAGAAAGAAAAAAAATCGATTCGCACATGCTTCTTGTATGTATTTAGTTTAAACATGCAATCACCCGATGAAAACCAGCCAGCAATATTCCATAAAAATCTGATTACTGTGGATCGACCGGATTCATCACAGGTAGATAAATCAATACAATAATTGATAAACTCTTGTTTAGTTTGTTGACCTTCATGTTTATATAATACCAAAAAAAGTCTGGAAAGGACGTCAAAATCTAGCCGAAAATGAAGTAATCACACAAGCTGTATCAGCAGGTTTTGTTCAGTAAGTCATTGGAATAAATTTGCACGTATATGTATATTTTTGATTTGTTTCTGAAAGCGTTCCTGAGAACTCAACAATTGATGAACTTCGTCAATATATTACTCATGTTTGTGGTGAAGATGCTAGTTTCCCAAAAGACTTCATGTATCTTCGAAGTGTTGGACGCTGTTTAACTAAGGTTAAACATAATCAAGAAAACGAACTACAAGTGAAACATTATCGACCACCAATGGTTTGTAGATTGTTAAATATTTCAATAGAGAGAGGCTGTTCCGTTTACTCATTTGAGACGTTTCAGCCCAAAAAGAATTGAAGGTCGTAAACAGTGTTTCCAATGGCCAGTGTACACAGCAGAAGCAAAATGTACAGAGCATCTGCTAGTTTTGATTTACACTCTACTATACACTTGCCCAGAAAAACAAAGTGTACAATGTACACTTTGCTAAAATAGTTTACACTCTGATTTCTTTGATCTCTGAACCTTAAAAGCCGCATATAGTTTTAAATTAATTAAGTATGGTATTTTTTTGTTCGCTAGTGATCGAAATGCTTGTTTCATGAGATAAAAAATGGCGAAAATTATATTTTGTTTTCTAGATTGTGAAAATTGGGCTTTTGTACAATTTGCTAAAAAAAGTAAAGTGTAATGTACATTTTGCTCTTAAAAAACAAAGTGTACATTGCATTTTGATTTAGATTTCCATTGGAAACACTGGTCGTAAGCAAGAATAGAGTAGATGTGAAAAAAGAATAGACTACAATAGCTTTGTGTTCCCATGCTCATTTGTATTTATATATATATATGCGTATCTATTGTAGACATTGGCACCTGAAGTATGTTATATTTCTTTGTTCTAAATCAAATACGTAGAAATAATCTCCTAGATTTATATAATTGGAGTGCATCATAATGATGATTCATCCAGAGTAGAATATGAACCAAATCCTTCATCGATGAGTGAACAATTTACTAATTCCCAATTTTGGACAAATTCGTTGAATGAACTGCCAACACCTTATCCATTGTTAAATCATAATCATCATAAACAAGAAAGTCCAACAATAAATTTTACATTTTCAAAGTAAATATTTCAAGGAAAAATTTTTTCTTCTCATAATCCAAAGGAGGTACTCAATACATTTAAGTGAACTCAATTTACTATAGAAACTTTCTTATTAATCAAACTTTAAAACTAATATTGACTATCCTAGAAATCTAACAAAGCTACGTGAAGAACAAAAACGTCTTTATTTACAACAGCAAGCGTTAGCTCGAAAACGTCATGAATTAGAAGACCGAGATAGAAAAGAAAAAGCAGCTGCTAGGATTCAAGCTGCATATCGAGCTTATTGTATGCATCGACGTAATAATACAAAAAAACAAGAAGAGTAAGTTACTTATATCATTTTGAAATCAAAATCTATTATTAATTTAATGCAGACATACAGATGATCTATTTCATCATGAATAGAGGTTGTATTAGTGTTTATTTCACTTATCTAATACTTACATTTTCTTTTATAAATTCATAGTAAAATTTTACTTCGTTGATAGACACTCATCATCGGTTCAATTTCTCTTAAAATCACAAAAGTTTATGCTTAACGGATAACATTTTATGAATCAGTTTTGTTGTTATTTTATTTTCTTCTTTGTTGTAGTATTTTCGTTAGAGGAAAAAGGGAATGTGTATATTCATCATTGAATTTCGCGTTTAATCATTCTATCTCTTTTTGTAGAGTTATACCAACTATTGAATATGAACGTTTCGAACCAGAAGAACAAAAAATAACTATTGAATATGAATGTTTCGAACCAGAAGAACCAAAACCACCTATTGAATACGAATGTTTCGAACCAGAAGAACCAAAGCCAACTATTGAATATGAACGTTTCGAACTAGAAGAACCAAAACCAACTATTGAATACGAATGTTTCGAACCAGAAGAACAAAAAAGAACTATTGAATATGAACGTTTCGAACCAGAAGAACGAAAACCAACTATTGAATATGAACGTTTCGAACCAGAAGAACGAAAACCAACTATTGAATATGAATGTTTCGAACCAGAAAGGCCAAAACCAACCAATGAAATTTATACAGAAGAAAATAAAACACATGAAGGTAGATCAATTGATCCTAAAAGGAAACGTTGAATTCATTAGTTTATAGTTTCGTTGTAGATGTTCCGACTCGTTTGAAAGTATTAAAATCAAAACGTACTCAATTAGAAAGTGATCGTACAGTTCTTGTTCATCGATTACAACAATTGAATGCTGAAATTTCTCGTCGACGACGTGAAGGTTTGAATAAAAGAAATAATTTCGGTTTTTTTCATTTAATTGTGCGTTTTTTTTAAGAAAAGGATTTATGGAAAAAGAAGTATATTATTGAAAAAAATACAATATTATCTGTGGTAAAACGAGATTACATAGCTTTAGTAGATAATTATGTATAAGTAAAATTTGATTTCTTCATTTCTTTTTTTTTTTCTAGACACACACATCAGATATTCAACGTGAACGCGCGACAATTCGCTTGAATGATGCTACTAAAGTAAGCGAAATACGTATAAGAATGTTTTGCTTCTTTATCATAACGATAGAAAACAAGCAGTAAACTTCATGTAATTTCATGAAACACGAAAAATACAGTCTACAGTTCTACACTTTGTTAAGTGACTAGAACGTTGATTACTCACGCATATTTTAGTTCTCGTAAAATATTCGAAGAAAAATATTTCATTTCTCTCTCTATTTAAGCTACGCCAACAGGCTGAATATGAATCTCGTTTACTACGACAAGAATTACAAAAAATTAGTTCAAATTTGAATAAACTGGGAAGATATCGGCTACCAAAAGAACCATTTGAATCCGAAGAAACAGAGCCTATTTCATTGAGTATCACATGGCATTTTTAAATCTAATCTAATTAATTGTTTTTTTTGTCAACGTACAGCTTGATTGTATCTAACTAAAAATATCGATCATTCATTTTCAATAAACGTATTTGATTTATGCATAAATATCACGATGATATCTTTCATTCCTCTGCTGTTAGTAACAGTTTTCTCGAGATCTCAAAAATACATTCATATGTGTTTGTAATTTCGACATATTTGAATTTCAGATGGGTAAATAGACTTTTGATCCCCAAAAAAATGGCTATTGATCACCAGAATGTGTTAGTTGTGAAATGATCACAACAAATATATTCGATCACCGAATTTATTATCAATACAATAAGAGATAGAATAATAAATAACAACACTAGTTACACAAAATACAATAAACAAGAGAAACAGAAAATATGTTCTACCAAAATCATGGTAACCACGCTGTTCGAACTTTTTTGTACTTGACATTTTTAGTTTTCTGCATTGTTATGATAGAACATTTTGTGTAACTATTCTCAGTTAATGAGATCATTTTGATCCAATTATGATTATTGTTTAATTATGTCTTATCAATCTGTTGTCTTTTGAGATAAACACGTTATCTACCACAACTAACACATTTTGGTGATCAATAGGCACTTTTTTGGGGATCAAAAATATTGCTACCCGTTTCAGATATTCAATGGTTGAATTCAATTTAAGCAGTTTGAAATATATGAATTTTATAATAGGCTTCAGGTTTCATTCATGAGTATTCACATTTCGATTATTATTTTCTATGATAGCAACTGAATCAACTTATCTATGGATCACTTTAAATGTATTTTAAATTAAAAAACAACAGATAATTCTATGAAAAATGATAATAAAATACAAATCAGAATTACATAAGCTGATTTAATTGCGATCGAACTAGTTGAGGTTGTTGTGAGGCTTGTTGTTGATATCAATGTTGTATTTGGTATTTGTGTCGTTGTAGTAGTAATAGAGTCGATTTGAATACTTGCATTAATTAAAGCATTATCAATTGCATTAGTACTGCTGATAGTTTTCAGTTCAAATTGCATATCGTCAAGTTGTTGTTGATTAATTGCATTTTTGATAATCATATCCACTATACTTACGCCAGACTAGTATAAATAGAAAACAAAAATAGAAGAAAATTTTCTTACGTACTAGTCTTACATGTTTATTGTTTGTTGTTTGATAATCATGAATACATGCGATCAATGCATTCTTATGTCGTTCTGGATCATCTGCAAGACCTAAGCTGATGGATGCATCGATGGCTGCCATTAAGTATTGTTCACATATCAGTTTAGATAAAGAATTCTCAATATTTTCCTGTTCAATACTATTTTCAATATCACAACTCATGGCTGATGGTAAAATACAGAGACCACTCGATCGATGAATCAATGCATATGGCATCCGCACACTTATGTCATACCATTGTACCTATAATAATAATAATAATAATAAGTCAAATGAACGCGTTTATCTTTAGCACTAAAATTCATATACATCATATTGATGTGAAACAATGGAGATGTATAATCTAGAAGTCGTATATAAAATGTCCATTTGTGTTAGACTTGGACGAGTTATTCGAATTTCTATTTAGAATAAGTCGATGAAAAATAACATCATTTAATTATAACAGTTACCTGAATTATTACAATACTGTTCATTGTCAGTAACTGTACAAATAATGGATCCGTTGGATTGGAGCAATTTTATGATAAACTATTAGTAAAGTTTGAAAACGAAATATATGTATTCTTGTGAATATTCAAACAAACTTTATCGATCAACCAAGTTTGTTCTTGAACAAAAGCTATCATTTCAACATAATCATTTTTAATAACACGATGTTCCCCCGATATTTTACACCAATATTGGTCTTGCGTTGCATTTGATTGTTGTGCGAAAGGAATAACATGAGGATCACCATAAACATGACATATACCCACATAATTATCATCATTTTTAAAATTAGGAACAGAAATGAAAGTATTGTTAGTTTTCGCTGCTAAAACGATGACAATAAATCGTTACCGTATAGAAAAGTTGTTGACTTACATTTCAAACTTGTTGCATTTGACGTCTTTACAGAGATGTTAATATCTAACATTGCATCTGATTGTGATTCATCTGCAGGAAAATTTTCAACGGTGAAATCATCAACTGTACGAAGCGTTTCTTCTAATATATAATTAATCTTTTCTAGATCATTATTTGTTTGATCTTTGTTCATATTGAAATTATTTACAGTTTCAAATAGGAATAATTGTAGAACACTTTTTGCAAACTATCAACAAAATAGTTAACATACATGAATAATTTCCGAATGAACATTTACTTGTTTATTTCCTGTTGATTCGAGATCGTTAATACAAGATATTATCAATTTGTCTTTTGTTGTTTGACTAATAAAAGATAGTCCTAATTTTCTCATCATCCGACGTACGGAATTATGATAATGATTACAGATCTCTTCAGCTTTTTCATGAACCATCAGTTGCTCGTCTGTTGGATTAACCACTTCTAGTTGATTTCGATGGCGTATACTTTTCATAGCCAACGGATCTATTTCACAATGTGTTGATCCATGAATGCACAATCCTTTTGATTGAGGAAAAATTGTCGTGTTCCTTTGATGTAATATTATATCATAGTATGGTTCCTATAAGATGAAAAGACCGTAGGAATAGTAGAGCATTACAATTATATATTATAATAATTTAAGTTTTACATTTCCATATCGAACAATAATTATGCGTAGAAATGCCATTGGATAGACGATTTGTGTAATTAAACTCCATGTTTTTATTTCGATCGCTATAGGGATGATTTCGAAAATATATCAAGACAAATATTCTACGAAAATAGAATTATTTTACTTTCATGATTACAAATATTTTGACTACTATCAATTGTGCATAAGACCGTATTGTGATGTTTAAATATCATTTTGTACTAAATAGCGTAAAAACAAATTGTAAATGCGTATATTAGATTCGGTTTATTGAAGCATGATGTTTTCTCTTCTACATCTTACTTTTCGATTCCAACTTGGAAAATCTGTGACAGTGATAAGAATTTGAATCCATTCATTTTCATACGCAACATAGTCACCACTTTTTTTGCACCACAATAATGATTGAGGCTGATCAAGCCGCTCATGAAACATTCTGAAGTGAAGACTTCCGTATATTTGGCATGAGCTCACTGCTAATTCATCAGAGTGATCAATGTCCACTGCGTGACCTAAAGCATACAAAGAAATGTCTATGCATTACTGTTTTCGTTATTGAGGTAGTAGGAATTACAAAAAAAGAAAATTGTAGATCAAACTTCTCCCAAAGCTCTAGGAGTCAATCTAGTATGAAACTGCTTTTAGTGGTTTGGTGAACTGGAATCTAAACAATTAGAGGATTTTGTGAGAAGTCACGAGGGACACTTTATTAAAGATTTTGTCGAGTTCAAACATAAAATACACCGAGTCCGAGAATTCACGTTTTTTCTTGGAATTCTTATGAAACAAAATCGAATCTTATCTATCTGTCTCTATTCACCATTGAAAAATTATTGTCGAACATGCCGGATGACATTTGTTTTCCATCATAGACATATGAATATATTTATTTCTGACGATGCGTAAGATATTCTAGCACTGATGAATAAGGAATTAGAATTGTTCTTTAACTATTGCTCAGTATCCATAACATTTTAGATTAATAAACGGACGTTACCTTGTCCTGCAATACAGCATACAATTATCATCCAACGAATGTATTCAAGACTCTGCAGCATCGAATACATACTGAGAATCCTTTAAAATAACGGTTCTATTGAAGAAAGAAAAATCTGATTCGTAAATAATCAAATATATGCATATATAAGTTTGCTGATAAATATCCATTATCAATAAGAATCAAGTATTTAATCTGCGCACAGGTCGTATCTATTGGGAGAGAAAAAAATATATAATATTTTCATTCATATTATTTGATAATCTCTACTTGAGAAATCCTAAAAAAAACATGAAACCATTGTTTTGCACTTATTTCATATTGGTAACTATTTATTCAACACGTCAAATAAATATATTTTATCTTGATAAAATAAATTATGTACATTGGTCCATCGTAAAATAGCCGCTTTCAGATAAATGAATCAGAAAATAAGAGTAATCTGTTAAAACAATAAAAAGATTTTAATTCGATTCGTTGAATAACTTTTTTGCATTTTATTTATTAATTCATCTGAGTTTTTAGTTTTACTGTATTCTATATAATGATGCATGCTACTTCGCAAGTAATAAACTGAAACATCGAGAAAATTCAATTTAATTTTCAAATGATAATTTTTTCTCAAATATAAGGATAATAATAATCGACGTAAGACTCTTCTCACAGTAAATTTAAAACGTACTTTAATGCTTTCTGGAAATTTTAGTCATTCGGTATCTATAATTTTAGAGCATAAATATAAGCTAATGAGAACTAGTTGTCATAAATGAATATAATTAACTTCTATGAAGAGGATGAAAAGAAAGCAAATTGATCATTTATGACGAAAAAAATTATTATAAAGGCAGCATAGAAAATAGATTTTTTCAAAATTTTGCAAATTTTCAAAAATAAAACTGTCAAACTAAAAATTAATTTAATATCTATGAATCGTAGAAAAATTTTCAGCACAGGTCTTCTGTATTTTAATGAAAGATATTTGGAGATAAAGATATCAAAACACAAAGTGCGTTCAATTCCTATACGTCATCCATGATTTGCAATTTCAGTTAAGTTGATCAAAATCTATGATACAATGAGAGGATTCTACATTGTAAATGTATCAGTACGGAGCAGTATATACGCTAATAATAATAATAAACCTCTTTTCATTCACGGGTAATAATTTTCGTACTTAGAACAGAATATTCGTAGTAGACAATGAATATTTTCGATTATTTTTAACGCACGTTGTATTCCGGTCACAAAAAAAAACAAAACAAAACGCTTTTATACATATACATATGGTTAAAGAATATGTTACACGCGAGAAAATCTATAACTAACAATAATTGAACACAGAAACAGAAAATATAGATTACAAAGAGATTATAGAGAGCATGTAACAGTTTTTCCAGACGGATAGTCGTTTAATTTCATATCGCATAATCAATAAAGTTCACATGAAATAAGCGTTTGTCGGAAAAGAGATTTCTCTATGTGTTAAATAAGCCGTACGCTGATTATGACCTTTAGAATAATTGAATAGATCGAAAACATGAGACATATAATTAAGCACATTCGTAGGTAATTAATAATAAAGATAAAAAGTTCTTAGAAAAACCTTTTTACAAGCCACCCTATAAACCTTGATCTCTATGGAAATTAAAAGTTTATGAAGTATTTTTTTTTTAATTGTGATCATAAAGAATTGCCATCACTGGCAATAAGATCTCTCAAAAGTTTTTTCGTCGAATTTTCATTTTTCTATCATTTCATACACTCAATTGTAGTTAATTATATCTCAGACATTCTGCAATCAATTATACTGACAAACTTATTCTGATAGAATTTCTGTTCGATAAAAACAAAAAGTTTATAGGTGATATGCGATTTGAAATTAAATCAATATTAACTAAGAAAAATGTTGTTACATACTCAATATTTATGTATACATATATATTGCAACGAGATTTGACGATCTCGAAGTACTGACTAGAAGAAGAAATAATTAAAAACAAAAACTTTATGTTTCTCGTTTAAATTCATTTAAGATTGGCATCGACGTTGCTGATAAAAACGAATCATAATATGGATATTGATGGGATGGTTGAAGAAAAGAAACTTGTGAAGATGATGATGATGATGAGGAATCTTTTCTTGATGTCATCATTGACATCGCCATAGACATCTTGTTGGTTGGATTATGCTCAAGTGAATTTGACATTTGTTGATATTTTAATAAACGTGACTTATTTTCTTCATCGGGATCTTTCGATATTCCTGTATGAATAGATAAATTATTATTATTATTATTATTATTATTATTATTATTATTATTATGTTCCATTATTGGAATAACATCACAATCATTTGAATCATCAATATTATCTGTATCGTCTTCTTCGCTCCATGAGCTAACACCAATAGATGTTGTTTCATTTTCTGTATAACGCAAACATTTTTTCTTTCGTCTAAAAGAACAAATAGATGTAGCCGACGTTTTAAAATTTTCATATAGAATGTTTGTTTTTTAGGAAAAAATTATTACTTGCAATGTTTGCACCAATTAGCTTGTTGATCAAGACCAAATCGAGCTCGACATTTCTTTTGATTGAGACATTCTGTTCAAAAAAAAACAATAATGTAAAAGATAATTTGAATAAATCAAATAATTCACCTCCATTTTCACCTTGATTTTTTTCTCGTTTTTTCCCTTTATTTCCTCGTTTTTTCCTTGCACCATAGTTATCCCTTGCTGACCATCCAGGATATAGTTGCATGTGTCTTATACGTTCATCACGTGCCATATCATAATATTTTTGTTGAACATTACGATCAAGTTCATGCCACTTAAGAAAAATAAAATCATGAAATGTTTTTTCTCTTACCACCGGTGATCTTCTAACACTAATAGTAAGTACTCAAAATATACCAAGAGTAGATCGTCATAGGATTAAAAAAAGCTCTCACTCAACAAACTCTTATTCGTCTTATTCACGGGTAGGATATGTTGGTCATTTAATAGAACAAACAGGGAGAAATATCTCTTCTCTCGGAAAAAACTTCTCAATACTGATTGGAACATTTCCTTAAGGTTATATAAATATGATTCTATTGTGTTCGGATTTGAATTATTCTACTCATTTGTTTTCTGTGAGATTCGAATCACATGAAAATGAAAATTTCTTAATGTTTACTTTTCGTCCCAGAATTTGATTTATTGCAGCACTTTCACGCAGTGTACATTCTTGCACAACTTGTGCTCGCTGTTCTTTCATAAATAACATAAAAGCATTTAACGGCTTTTTAATATGAGATCGTTTTTGCTTATGATCCTCGTGAAATAAAGATTGTTTAGGTTGTTGTTGTTGTTGTTGAGAATTGTCTTCCATAATTCGTCGAATATTTGTTGATCGTTTTTGTGTCGGTGAAGCTGAATGAGATGAAGAACTTTGAGGTAATGGATAGTTTGGCGGAAATACAAATGGAAACATATGTGGACGCCTGAAATAAATGTGTTTGAATTGAATATCGAATATAACAAGAAAAATCTATACCAATGTTCCGAATATGGTGATTGAAAAGAAGCTGGTGATGGTAGCGGATAGATTGAATTGTGCATACCTTTGACAAACAAAATTTTAAATAAGATTAAAACCAAGAAAATAATTCTAAATTTTTCATACGAGAATGTATTGAAGAAATGGAATAACTAGACAATTTCTTCGTCTTCAAGTAGTTACATGACTATTTTTACTTATAACTTTTCACGTATTTGTGCGCAGACATGGCTTCAAAACTTTCAGAATTCATGGCCGGTCATTAGAACCTTCTATAACTATTGATGCAAACGATGGCGCTTCAATCAGCATCTTGATATTTTAATAGATTTTTATTATTAATCATTATTTTAGCTCAGACACATGCCTGAGTGAATAAATACCTATTATGTTCCCGCTCAACAAGAATTAAATCAATGATTTGAACGTAAAATATTCTTTTATATCAAAATTTGAAAAGTATACACTTCTGCGATCAAGGAAAATTGCTTTCGACAATGTTCATACAATCCTAAATGCTGATGTATTGTTACCGATGGCTCATTAACTATATATATTTTTATTATACACTTTTTATAAAGGCGTTTTTTTAACTCCAACATAGCCAAATTTTAAGTACCGAAAATCGTGCTATTCATATATTTATGTGTTTAAAAAGCAGTAGCCATTTTTAAAATAGAATATATGAATAATTCAACTATGAATATATCTCAATTAAGATCAAAGAGACAAATTTTCTTTTTTTTTAAGTGCAAATAAGCACGAACTGTTTTTTTCTTATCGCAAAAAAAGAAATTTTGAATAGTTTAGAGCAAAATCAAATCAAATTTTGTTTATCAAATATAGACAATTATCTTGATTATGGGACGTATTCTATAGCATTTCGCTCACGTATCAAATTGAACATTCTCTTTTATTCTATCGTTCACATTCATTGTCTTGTATCTCGTTAACAAGATCATCTTCCACTTTGTTAAACGCCAACGAACGACATGTATGTCTATTAGTATTGCATGAATAATCACGCTTGTTTATTAGTAAAAGACCACCTTTTTTGTTCTTACAATTGATTGATTTTCCTTTTTTTTCCTTCTTTTTTTGGTGAAAATTGAGAGAAAGAAAGATTCTTCTAATCAAGTACTAAATGTATTTCCTTTTTTTCTATTTAATTTTTTTGATCGCTTCGTCTTTCCTACTGACGAACGATTGTTGACTAATAATTGATTTATATCTATTCATCGAGTGTGTGAAAGCGAGACGTTTGTTTTAAAGTATAATGTTATGAAGAATTCATAATAAATGATTAACCCCTTTTTTCTCTCACTTTTTATATACGTATATATGTGAAGAGCTCAAGCGCATGCAACTTCACCTCATCATAAAACAATTAGAGAATATATATCAATCGGATGAATAGAAAAGAAATGTCTGCGTTTCCGAAATAATGAAATGTTTTGCTTACCTGTATTTTGGTCAAGGCTTAAATTAGAATTGGATATATGAGCTGGTGGTGGAGACATGAATTTTGATAAAGATTCTAATGAAGCCAATTTATCCTAAAAATAAAATTTTCAATTAGCATCGAAATAGTTTAGTCGAGATTGTGATTTAGAACATTTCTACGGCAGAATCGAAGCTTTAAGGGTTAGATTAAACATAATTACATGTTAATTTCTGTTCAATAGGGTTTGATTCTTTGTTCTACACATTCAAAACGGACATATTAAAAATATTCACTTGATTAATCTTTTCTGTTTCAATCCAAGTTTTTTCTATTTTCAATAAATAACCTTTGATGATAGATACATAGTTAATCAAATTTTCTTATTTTAATCATGAATCAGCTCAACACCGTTTTGTTATCTTGTTTTACTGAACTCTATAAATGTTAATTAGAAACAATCAATAGATAAAGCTTATCCGTCTATTCCTTTATAATTAATCTCAAGTAGATAGATTGTTGTTGTTGTTGTTTTCTTGCTCATAGCTCATCGCGATTTATCAATTGGATTTTTTTTGTATGTGTCAAGGATAAACTGCATGCAATGTTCATCTGCATTCGATCATCCGACATCAAAAAAAAAAAAAGAAAAACCTTACCAAAGATTGTGATCCATTACTTGGATGATAATATGGTGATATAAAATATGGGAAAAAGCTATGGAATTGTTGTTCACTGTTTAAACGATCTTCAATAATACAAAAAAGCAAAAATGATTGAATTAAAAAGAAACTATATATATATATCAAAGTACCAGTAAGATTTGTAGACGAAGCTTGTTGTGGTGATGACTTGAAAATATAGAAAATCGCAATTAATGAAAACAATGGTATTCTGTTTCCTTCTTACTTCTTCTTCTTTAATGACAGGTGAAAGTCGACCATTATCCGTACCATCATCGTCAATATCAACATCTTCTTCATGTGTCTCACATTCGAAGATTTTAACTTCATCATTATCTATTATTGAATTATTACCACCACCAGGATCAGAAGTAGTTAATGATGGTGAAACATTATCAACTGTTGTTGCTTTTATTGATGACATTGATCGTTTCAATGAAGTTTTGATTGAAAGATCGAGTGTTAAATCAGTTGTATTTGACTGAAATAGAAAGATTGTAATTAGGGAAAAAAGTAAACCTACAAGACAAAGAGAAATAGCTAGAACGATAGTAGGATCGCTTCCTCGCTCTCTCTCTCTCTCTCTCACTTTTTCTCTCTCGGCGCTTCTTCTTTTTTGTTCGTAAAAGCTGAAGAAGAAAAAAAGAAAAACTTACTATGAAGATATTTGTCGGCATTGTTAATTATATTCTATAACTATCATTATTTAATTGTTAACTATCAAAATGCTAAAAAAAGAAAAACGAAATGAATGAGGATCAGTTAAGATTAATTATAAGAAGAATCATATAATCAAAAAGATTTCTTCTTTTGGACAAAATTATAAGTAATGTTATAGACATTAACGGCTTATGAATTCTTCTTCTTCTTCTTCTTCTTCTTTTTTTTCTATGTGTGTAATGATGATCATCATAGAGAAAGGTTAGTCTTTCTAGGGAAAAAAAAACAACAATTGAATTATATGATGGCCTTCATGTGAGAATGAAGTGGCGGGCACCCATCAAAACTGACCAGCATATTCATTCTTCTTTTTTTCTTCTCTGGTGTGCGTATACGCGCTCGCGTTGACCTTCAATGTATAGTATACTATGTTTTGTGTTTATCCAAAGAACACACAGCTCAATAGCGGCGTCCATTGGCCAGCAAACGAAAGAGAGAAGAGAAAGAGAATGTGTTCTTTCATCTCTATTCTTTTCGATATGCGTGTACGAACATGTTTCTCTCTATTCATCAATTTATTGTTTTACAAATAGATCAGAAAGTAATTAAAAACAAAAATTTTATACAAACTCAAATTCGACTCGTTTATTATAACTTAAAATAAATACAACGAATCGTTTTGTATCAATAGTTGTAAGAATAATATTTGCATTAGCTTTTTGTTATGACATAGCAACAGCATAGCATCTTGTTCGACAGGCATTGTTTAACTAATGCGATACTCAACTTTTTTTCTGTTCAGTTGGGACAAGACAGAATACAGCGAGGCATTATTAAAGTTTTTACTATGCCTTATTGAACGAAGAGCACGAAACATTGCATTGATTCGTACTTTCAATATGAAGTTTCATTGAATTTCAGCCATGGTTTGGCTTGTGATTCTCAGTGTTTTTAAATATTGAGTATATTCAGAATTGACAAATCTTCGAAAATGACAAAAAATTTTCTGAAATTCGATAGCCTTCTTCGTCTAGATTCAAACTTACATAAGTTTCCTGATAATTTTTAATTTAACTCTAACTAACAATTGATATACGCTCGTTGCTCAAGTGCAATCACTAAACAATAAAGAGTTTGAAAAGCAGCTAAAATGAAATATTTTCATGTGTCTGAAGTTGCGCAGTATTGTAAAACTATATAGATTTTAGAATAAGGATCTGACTGCCAGTGTAAACGCGGTGAACGAGAAGATTCCGTCTCGCATCACACATATCTAAGCCTTGGCAAAGGTCACATTTGTCTCGCAGTGAAGAAATTCTTATTAAGTTGTCATAACTCCATTGTGCCTTGAATTTCTCTTCAAGGAAATCATGTGTGTCTCAAATATGCTATGTTCTGTGTGTTTTTGTATACGATCGTAATATGGCGACATGGAAAACGCTGTGAACTGACCATTTGGCCTCATCTACTGGCTTATGACTTTACAGGATATTTTTCGTTACTTTGTCCCTTGCTAAACAACCCACACGAATGTACTGTTTTCGTTACTGTAGTCATTCTGCTGATAGAGTGAGGTCTAGGACGATGTTAGCCAGAGGAGAAAAACAATATTTTCCTACTATTATTATTATGATTCGTTCTTCTAAGGTGAAAAAAATATACGAACCTTCTTTGTATTATAGTCTACACAATAAAAGTTACTATCATTGACAAATGAAATCGAATTAATTGATTCAAACATCGAATCTACGTATAAATTCGTTTTTCAATAATACTGATCAAAAATTTGCACACATTGAAACTATTCACCTTTAGATATATTTAGAAGATAATGATCGGTGAGTTCTAGAAAAATGCAACGATGTATTTACTTGAAGACGCTTGTGCAAATCAATGCAAAACAATGAAACTAAGAATTTTCTAAATTCAAGCATATACGTATATAGGCATCATAGGCCGAACGCATACGACTAAGTCTAGTTTAGTTCAGCATTTACTTGGAAATGGCAGAGATCAACGTGCCGGACGTGTCAATCAGTATCGCATATGTAAATTTTAAGGTTGAACATGTGAGAACTTAAACATGGCTGAAGCAAAATGAGCTCGGTCAACATGATCGGATACCCAACCAAAATGACCTCACGTGGGCAAATTTAAGAATCTTAATGCATATTAAAATCAAGGAAAATCTGTTTATAATAGCGTCTGTGAATGAATACAGAGTTTAAAATAACAGAAGAATATTTTTACAAAGAAAACATTCAAGTTTTTTTATGTCAAGTGATATTATACATAATTATATCAACGTTCACAAGTTCGTTTTCAAGACAAAGTATAGATCTTGAAGGTGTGAGGAATCAAAAACTATTTATGAGATTTAATGATTTATTTGAATGTTATCGAGGAAATTTTGCATTCGAAATCTACTCTTTTTCTTCTATAGATAGAATTTTTTCCTCAAGGGCAAAAAGAAATATTTTACTATGAAATTGTCGAATTTATTGTGGATTCAATTAATAAATGGAATATTCGAAAACTAAGAAGATCATTGCTGACAGATATTCAATATTGTTGAGAAATTAGTCAGTTATGTTATTGCTTCATAAAATAATCTTCATGAAAATGTACAAAACAGAGTTGCCTTCTTATATAGATTGATGTCGTTTTAGTGATCAAACCGCTTTTTGTTAGTCCAATAGTACTGATTCTGCACTCTATATCTAGTACATCAAGTGATTTAGTATTCTATTGAAATTTATCATTAAATGCAAGCAGTTTATTTTATAATCTATAAACTGATGCCCGTTCTATTGATTTTGCCGGTTCTTTTGTGAAAAAGTCAAGATTATTGTACTACAGATTTTGGAAACCAATGATTGTAGCACGTTACGAATGGGTGCATATGCTGTTGTATTTACAGTAAAAAATTTATTCAGAGTTCTATATGTTTGATCATCATTTCGTTATGCTTTTGGTGAAAATTCAATGGCATCAGAAACATCTCTTATATGATCGGCAATAGATACAATTAAAAAACATGATCATCTGATTGATGAAGATAAAGTCGTGAATAATTTATATACAATATAAAAATTAGTTCGGTATTATTTACTGAAATACCAGATTCTTTTTTTTTCTAATAAATTTTCCGAAATAATGAGATAGATTTCGATCGGTAATCGGCATGTAACTTCTTTCTGCATTGAACAGAATTGGCTCACTTTGAATTCTAGTTTGGTGAAAATACTTGTAATAAAAAAAAAGTGAATAGTATTTGATATCGATTCATTTTATCCTCTGTTCTGTTTTTGTAGTAGAAAATAACCGATTAAGAAAGAAAAAGTAAGCAGTATTTATCAATAATTAACAGAAGTTTACAACCATAATAGACGATAATATAACAGTGGGCGTACACAAGAAAAGATTTGTGCTTAGATCAAGCATACGCCCTGCAACAAAACAGAAGAAGGAGTTCTCACAATGGAATGAAATGACATTTTGATCTCTTATTCAATAAAATATCTAGGTAATAAAACGAAGTCAGTAATAATAATAGAAGTATTAGAATGAAAAACAGATAAGATTACGGCTATAACGTGTTATTCGGTCGTTTTATTTTTGTGGTAAAAGTGACGCTATATGAACAAATCTAAATAATAAACAAGGAAAAAATTGAGTTGTCATACTCAATAATCCGAATACGAAGGACTATATTACGATAATTGTCTAAAGCATGGTAGAAATTCTCCAGAGATCGAAAATACATACCTGGTTGATAGGTTGAAATGGTTCACTTTTATTTATTGAGGCCTTAATATCAAATTTTTTGATATTTACAATGTCTTGATTTTATCTTATAAGAAATCAGTATTTCGTTTTTTTTCTGAGTTCGTGACGTTTCATGAGTTTAATTGTTACTACGAATAAATTTGTACTCGATGTATATTTTATTGAATGGGTATTCTCTTATTTCAAGTATTTTGGATTTAAACCAGAATAATCTTAATGTCCACGGAACAACTGCTGGTGGATGGGAATTTGTTCAACACTTATTTACAAAACTTTTTTATTCCAGGACAAGATTTAGGAGCATTCCTTTCAATTTATTATAAAGGAAAACAAGTTGTTGATCTATGGGATGGTTGGTTTGATGAATCGAAAGCTAAGCCTTACGGCAGTGATACATTACAAATTCCTTTTTCAACAACAAAAGGTTTGGTAGCAGCGGTTGTTGCATTATGTGTTCAAAGAGGTTTACTCGATTATTCAACACCGGTTAGAAAATATTGACCCGAATATGGACAACATGGAAAGGAAAATACAACAGTTGCTGATATTGTCTCAACATCGTGCTGGATTACCTGCATATATCATTCCATTTGAACTCGTAGTAAACTGGACAGAGATTGTTCATATATTTGAACAACGAAAGCCAGAATGACCACCTGGAACAGCGCATGACTATCATGGTTTAACTTACGGTTGGTTAGCTGGGGAACTTGTTCGAAGAGTTGATCCAAGGAAACGAAAATTTGGGCAATTTGTTCGAGATGAAATTACAAATCCATTAAAAATTGAATTTCATATTGGTTTACCAAAGGAGGAAGAATATCGTGTATCACCATGATATTTTGATGCGAATGCGTATACGATTTTAGGTGCAACCGCTATTTCTGAGTTAGCCATATTCAATGATAATCGATATCATCAAGCAGAGATTCCTGGTGTCAATGGAATAACAAATGCTCGATCTGTTGCACGTCTATATGCATCTTTAATCGATGATCTCGACAATGGCAAGCAGAAACGATTGTTGAATGAAGAAATAATGAAAAAAGCAACAACATCGAATACACCTGACAATGAAATTGATCGTATCCGAGGATATTCAAATTCATTTGCCATGGGTTTTCAAACGTCCGATGATGATCTAAAAATATTTGCATCAGGTACATTTGGTCACGAAGGTAAACTGCGTGTTGATGAAGACAAATTTATGTGCCTATGAATCTATATTAATTTTAGGAGCCGGTGGTAGTATTGTTTTTGCTGCTCCTGATAAAAGTCTTGCATTTGCTTATACAGTGAACCAATATGGTGTGAAGAAGAATCGACAAGAAATAAGTCCTCGAACACAAGCCATCATCAAACATATAGCATGATTGATCGATGATAATCATATTCGTTGAAACATTGATTCTTCAGTATCACATGACTTTTCACATTTGAAAACACACAATAATCGATTCTTTTGATTTTAATTAGATAAAAATAGTTGTTTAATCAGCAATCTTCGTTGCCAGTAAAAGCAGACTGACAGAAGCGAATGATTGCAAAAATTAGAAAGGACCTTCTTCGATCATACTGATTACGTACAATTGTTTTTCTATACAACTAAGAAATAATATTAGTCTATTGTTGCTATCAGAAATCATATCAATGACGAAATGAGCAGCCATGTTTATTTATCGAGTGACTTATTCTATGATTTGCAGGAAAACTACATATATGGCAATAGATAAAAAGAGATTTTTTGCGAATATCTTTCCTTTTTCAGAATGTGACTCATCTAGATTAGTCTTACTTGATTATAATAGTTTGATCAGATGATAGATACTTTTCGATTTAATAAAAAAAAAAGAAAATAGTCTCTGATTATTTTGATTACTTTCTTGATAAACTCAAGACAAGTCGTTAAAACAAAATTGAAAGACAAGGATGTGAATCCATGAGATACATCAATGCCAATAAATACAGTTCATTGATTTAAAATAATGAAACACGAAAACATTGTGCGTTAGCTGCGTAAACGAATCATACTGTAGTTTCCAATGTCCTAAACATCGAACAAAATAAAAATTTTAATACCTTTCCGAACAAATGTTTACATAAAACTTACAATAAGAAATAGAGCAGCAAGCGCAACAACTTTCATTCGAACATCGAGGTTCAATGGAACTAAAAAAGATGTACATGAAAAGTAAAATATAATTGATCGATTTTTTTCTTCTACATCATTAGAAGAAACTTTCTTTTGTTTTTTACTCACAGTTCAATGTAAAAGCCACAGAATTTGCTGTTGACACTCGTACACTATTGAAATATTGCTTATCAATTGATCCAATTTCGGTTATTCGATCAGTACCCAACAACTATCAAAAACAAAATTATATAAAACAAATGAAAATTCGTAAGCTATCGTCACTGGATTTGCTCAAACGTTTTTTTTTGTCATTAGCTTTCCTTATAAAAAAAAAAGAATTTTTAGGTTGAGCTGGATTATTCATGGAACTATATGAATTCATTAGTTTTTTTTACGACGTCAGTAGGAATATAAAATTCTGATTATGGCCAATAGTCATTTTTTTTCAACAAAAAATGCATTCAATCGAGTATCACTAACTGCGTATTTATTTTCGCAACCACACGAATGAGTACCATCACAAATACAGCATGGTCCCATTATAAATAACATCGGTGTATCATTGGCATCTTTAAGAACATATTTCATACCGGAAAAACTGAATCTAAATGGAAATAAAATCAATAAAATTATATTTTTTTAATGATGTTCATACTCTTGCTCAACAGCGCCAAGAATATGTCCTGGTGGTGATTCGACGGTAACATGTTGTTTACAATTTTCACAGTTAGCAAGACAGCAGCATCCAGAGCAACTTTGTCGTTCACGATGAACTCTAATGAGTTCCTAGTAGTACAGATAACAATGTTTTCAAATTTGAAAAAAACATCTATTTTATTTAGTAATGGAAAATAGAGAACTTAACGAGTCTCTCGTGAAATATAATTGCTTTCCAAGAAATCAAATTCACAGGGTGAAGATCTGTTTTATGTATTTTTGCTCGACGTTATATTTTTCTCATATTGTTAATAACTGTTTATTTTTGTTTTTAGTTTAACATCGTGTTTTTTCTAGGCAGTGAATCGGTTAGAGAATCAGTCTGCTTCACATATTCATTAAATCGGAAGGCATTTTTATATATCTTAATGAACTCATTAATATAGATATTGGTGATTTTTGTGTACTCAAAAAAAGTGAGTACACTATAGAATCGGTCAGTGTGTCCGGCCGGCCGTTAACACGATAACCTTTGAAAGCCTCCTCCAACTGTCATGAAATTTTGTACACATAATGATCTCATTAATATCNACAACATGTTACCGTCGAATCACCACCAGGACATATTCTTGGCGCTGTTGAGCAAGAGTATGAACATCATTAAAAAAATATAATTTTATTGATTTTATTTCCATTTAGATTCAGTTTTTGCAGTACACATAACAGTCGGATGCGAATCCGACGTTTCCTCATTTATTATAAATTATAATTGAAATAATACATGCTTTTTATGTCGTTCAAATGATAAACCACTGCTTCACTATTCATCTTCATTCACATGCTAAACATAGATTTTTATTTTGTATGAATATCTAAAACTGAAATTTAAACCTATTTCTACCATTGAAATTTCTAGAACGAGTTTAGGCAGACTTTCAAAAATTTAAGTTATGTCCATTTTTCAGTTCAAAAGATTTTCAAAAAAACTAAACTAATACTTGAGGAAAGTGCGTAATGAAGAGATGAAGCCTGAAAGAGTTGACTTAAAATTTACGCTGTCTGTTTTTCCTCAATGATATGTATGAGTTCTACAAAAAGCAGATTAGCTTTTATTTAAACGTACGCGACTTTGATTATCAACAACATGCATAGTAAATTTTCGCTCATTTGTACAACAAACTTGATCAAATAAATTTGATTCTTAATTTGAAATAGAAAATATTTTATGATTCACTAGTGATTTTTTTTTACATCATGTACCTTCAAAAGCATAAAAAAGTTGCTCGCCTTGATTGTTAAATATACCGTATTTGGGTCGCACAGGAAAGCCGGTCAATACTGATAAACAAAATAAAAACAGTTACTATGATATTTATCAAAAAGAGCAAAAACGAATTAAATTAACTATTAACTTTTTCTGCTTCTCACCTTGCTTTAAAGAGAATCCATGATTGATCGATAATGAATCAATAAATTTGAATTGTTCAATACCATCAGCATCAGATTTTGCTATTGATGTCCATGACATCTGCTCTTGTCTTATACGAGACATTCTTGTTCTAATTATGAAATTATATCTTAAATAAAAACTATATCATCAACTTAAAAAAACAGGAACTGCGTGTTCTTAAAATTCATTTAACAATTTTAATGAATCTACACATTGATTTATCAGTTAGCGTTTTCTATTCTATCTAGAAGACTAAGACTTATACAAGTAGATAATAATTATATCGTCGACTTACTTTATTATGTTCAATTTGAGTATTTTAATAATATTAATTTTCGATCGTACCTCTAAGAAAAACAAGATCGACTTGAATAGAAATGAGCTAAACGAACGGATGATCCGTGGACTGGTGAACAGTGAATAAGCGTTCGTTTCTAAAACTTAGACAATGCAACACACTTATGCATTATATTATACAAACGCTTTCTGCGTATTAAACCTGATTTAAATATAATGCATTTTCAATTTTATGATGAGAAAAAATACATATATTGGGTGTATATATTTTTTGTATAAAAAAGTCATCATGGTTGAGGGTACACCAATCGCAAAGTGTCTTGAAGAAGCATAAACTGTCAGAAAGAATATCAACGTGTGTGACAGTTTCGTTCTTTTTCACATCGTTGGATTTTTTCGCGAGTTTAATATAAATCTCTTCTGACAATCTTCGATTTAATTTCTATATTATAACTTTTCAAACAATTAAATTTTGATTATTCGCTCATCGAATGAAACAGTTTACAAACAAGAGATGTGTTCACCAAAAAGGTGTTCTTATCTACAATTTTTTTGAGATTGAACACCAAGTTCGTTTCGATAGCTTTACGTCAAATTATAACGTTGTGAAACAAGAGATAAATAGAAAAAAATTAGATCAAGTTTCAAATGAAACAAAAAAAACTGTTATTGATTATGAATATTTTTTTAATTATGCATAAATTAAAAAGGAAAGAAGGTTGGCTGGTGAAAAGTCAACTAAAGCACCACCATGAGCTACTAGATTAGGAGACTTCTCAAATATAAAGATTCATTTTAAGACAATAAACCACAAGGAATACCTGCATAAACAGTAGTCATTACATGTATCGCTACCATGCTAAGCCTTCTCAGTGAATCATACAAAATTAGCGACATCTATATTATATTTTTATTATTGCACCCAAAATCCTTTTGCACATTTCTTAGTTGGCGTTTTTTAGTTGGAAATAAATTAGAATCTTAATTCGTAGTGCGTTTGGATGCGCGAAGTGTAGCTGAGAAACAAATCTCTGATACTAAGCCAATCGATTGCACCAGACCACGGGTCATGGCAAGTCATTTGCTACTTGAAAGAGAATGGTGTCATCCATAACCAATAGTAGAAATGACATGAATAACATAAAACGGTTTTCATTTTTTTTCTTTTTAAATATATCATTTTTTTGAATATTCTATCTGCTTTTGTGTCTGATGTACAGAACGAGAAGAAAAATCTTGAATATTCTTGTTGACTTTATGGTTAACAAGAAAAAAAAACGAAAGACGAACAAAACAACTAATATCAATGATAAAATAAGTTGACGTCAATGAGATAGACACAAACGATAAAAAAAAGCCTTTTCTTTTCTGGTCGCCTTCAACTTGATGACTAAAATGAGCCGGTAGAACAAAATATGTTTTTATTACAAATCTGGATTATAACAACAATCATATTCAATATTGAACTCAGAATAATAATACCATATGTTCTGATGCCAAAATGAATATACTTGGGATTCGTTCACGATTGAATATCATAATATTGTCTGTCATAAAAACGTGATATATGATTATAATCTTATCATTCTGACGCGTACGTCGGAGCAAAAATAAAATAAAAGATTAGCGTATACGTCAATAACAAAAAACACCCTCATACAAAAAATCATATTAAAATTTGTTTCTTTGATTAAGCCAGAGTATAATATATCATTAATTTGAGAACAAGCCTCTATCATAGGTTCACCCAGGAATTCATTCAAGTTGAACACAATATTGATTGAGATGCCAGTAACAACTGTCATTTATCACTACTGAACTACTGTATGCCAGAAATATTCTAGACTCTCTAATCCTAATAGTACAATACTATACTTCTACAATATTTCATTATTCTTCGGAGGATATCATAACAGTAACATTTCGATGTATCGAAGTTTGCTGGTATTTTAAAGTTTGTTTTACTCTTGTGAGCTAAGATTTTTCGGCATATTTCACTCAGAACTAAGTTTATCTAGAAGTAACTTTGTGATGATGAAATATTGCTATTAAATGTATTCATGTTTTCCATGTTACAGTCTCAAAATGAAGTAAACATACATCATTAGAAGATAAGGTGTAAGGGGATTTGTTTTTCTAGCGCTTTTAAAATGTCATTGACGTCTTCTGCATACATATTGAGGCTGAACTTCAAATACAATCTACCACTTAAATGAAACTTATTTGTTCCTTGGGAGTTCCTTTGAACTGAATTTGGTTTTTCGAGATTGTGCCGTATTTATACGTATAAAGATGTACATATTATACGTTTTTTTCCAAATGTGTAGTTCATTGCCGTGTATTTATAAAAACAAATTTTTGAAAAAAGCCAACAACTAACTGCAAGCCATCGAAACGTTGGTATTGTAATACTACGTGAAGAAGGAATTCATATTGTAGAGTTGCAGATCTCAATTAGACCTGTACGCGTAGAAAGTTTCTCTAGCCAACCTAAGTTTCGTCAATTTCGACGATACTCTCTTGTTCTACAATAAGTACTTACTTTTCTTGCGTAAACAACTGATAGAACTTTACTCCCGCTCTGTGATAGATTATTGTCTGTTGTAAGTTTTTCTGTTAGTTCTGTGTTTGTTTACTCAATAATATATTGACTCAAATGTCGTTCGTAAGAATAATTTTCACTCGACAAGAATAAAAACTCGTAGAATTGATGCAAACCGTTCGTATTTATGACAATCAAAAATTGTCTCGTTTAGACGATTTAATCGTATACTCATAGTGGTAATTTTGTGAACTCTTAGTTTCATTGCTACAAATTTTATATTTTGTATCATAATATATTAGTTGCTTCATGGTTTTTCTTTCTAGGATTGAATACAAACTATTAGATTTTTTGTCAAATGCTGAATATTTTTTATTTGTGCTTACATTCTTGTATCGTTTAGTTCTTTCGAGCTATTCAATTGGTCTCTTTACTGATCGATTCTATTAGATTAATATCAACATCGCTGGGCTGCGATTTGACCTATTTTTCCTAGAATTTTTATATTTTCAAAAACATCCTATTTTTGTCCTATATTTTCCTAAAAATTCCTATTTTTCCTATATTCTTTAGGCGAAAAAAGACTTTTAATGTGTACAATCATGTGTTTTGGACAAGTCCTTGTATTATAGTGATATTTGTTTTAAAAAGTATTTTTCCTTTCGCCTATTTAGTGGACTGACTGAGAAATTGTTTAATACTAAGACTAAGCACAAAATACAAAATAGTTCAAAACAAAAAAACATTCACAAAGTGATTATGTACTAGTTTCGGATTTTTAGTGAAGCTTTAATTAGATATAAAAGCTATATATATACACCTGGAAAAAAGCTTCACTCTGTATTTTGCGGATATTGTTACCAAAAGAGCATATTCTGAAAGCCCCTTAAATTTTACACCATCCTGTACATATACATTTTCATTTACACTTATTTATTACCAGAAAAAATTGAGTTATGATAAAATACAAAATAAACTTGTCGAAAATAATAAGCGATGAATGCTGCTTATCGGGAGAATAAAATTAGGTTGAGATTTTTTGGGAAGTCATGTCCGTAATCTGAAGCGTCTCCTTTAATTATGAGAAATAGTATTAAAAATTATATAAGGATCTCCACTACGGTTGAACTGTTTATAACAGCTTCATTAAAACGATTTTCAAGCAGAGCAGTTAAAAAACACCAAAACAGTTGAACAGAAATTATGTATAAACGTCCTCTCCTTTTGTCATTTTTTATCGAAAATCCTATATTTTTGACAACCTTGATCCTCTAAGGATTCCTATATTTAAAAAAAGTCCAATCGGAGGGCAGACATCGATATAAACTGTTCTCATATNATTATGTACTAGTTTCGGATTTTTAGTGAAGCTTTAATTAGATATAAAAGCTATATATATACACCTGGAAAAAAGCTTCACTCTGTATTTTGCGGATATTGTTACCAAAAGAGCATATTCTTTTAAACAGTAAGGACATATTCTGAAAGCCCCTGAAATTTTACACCATCCTGTACATATACATTTTCATTTACACTTATTTATTACCAGAAAAAATTGAGTTATGATAAAATACAAAATAAACTTGTGGAAAATAATAAGCGATGAATGCTGCTTATCGGGAGAATAAAATTAGGCTGAGATTTTTTGGGAAGTCATGTCCGTAATCAGAAGCGTCTCCTTTAATTATGAGAAATAGTATTAAAAATTATATAAGGATCTCCACTACGGTTGAACTGTGTATAACAGCTTCATTAAAACGATTTTCAAGCAGAGCAGTTAAAAAACACCAAAACAGTTGAACAGAAATGATGTATAAACGTCCTCTCCTTTTGTCACTTTTTATCGAAAATCCTATATTTTTGACAACCTTGATCCTCTAAGGATTCCTATATTTAAAAAAAGTCCAATCGGAGGGCAGACATCGATATAAACTGTTCTCATATAACATCTATGTCTGATATTCCATGTTTAGAAGACGGTGGTTTTAGGTTTACGAACCATATCTTCAACTTGTTCTGTATGTAGGACTACCAACAAGAGATCCTTTTTCCGCACTTGTGCCCATTTCACTTGCTATAATTCTATTAAATAAGAGGATGCTTTTGATTCAAAATGAAGTTTCATTTTAAATCCGAACTCATCTATATAAATGTTCGTGATGGACATAGTCGTTTGTTAGGTCTCTACAATCTCATCTTTTAACAATCATCACCTCTAATTTTTATTTCTATCATTTCCCAACTTAAATCATCATCTTCATCACTAGTCTGATTATATTGTTACTCCATAACCATCCTAAATATAAAATAGAATTTTATACTGAATCAAAATGATTTCATAATTTTAAATTACACAATAAAACTCATCTAATAAATAGTTGCATATTAACAGACAGCGATAGAATCCTTGATGGAAACATAACCACGAGTCGGTTTCTTTTAGAAAGAAAAATGATACACAAGTGTCTGTGAAAATGACTTCTTTGCTCATTTTTATCGGCTGGTGTTTATGTATACTAACATGTTGCTATATAACTCGTTCAATTTCTAATAAATTAGTGCGCTTTCTTTTAACATGTTTGCCTTGTATATTATTAACTTATTTAAATTGTGAAAATCTTACACAATACAATACACGTTCAATACTAACAGTTTCAATATGTTGGTTTATGTCCATTAATTTAATCTCTTTGACAGTATTTCCAAGACAACCATTGATTGCATCACCATTGGTACTTACACCTTTCGTTGAAAAAGGATCTCCATTTTTGATGCTCAAGCCTCCACCATTCGTCGACATTGAATGAATACCGAAACCATCTATACCTAATTTTTGTCCATCTTAAACGATACTGAAATTTTGTGATTCATATACGAAAAATATTCATTATTTTTATTTACGTGTTAAAATATTTATCATCTAGAAATATGCCATTCAATAGTATATTCAAAATAACTTTAGATGTTGTTAATAATACTGATACTGATTTCGCCTAAGTGAAATTCATATGTGGCCAGGTTTGAATTAGGGTAAAGTGTAGGTGTTTGTAAATGAATGTGTGCAATGTTAGACTGCGTGGCGAAATATGACACATTCAAGGAAAGTCACCCTCGTCCCACGTCTAACAACCTCTAAATCACTAACGAAACTATTTCAAGTTATTCTGCCATTATATTACGAAAAAATATTGAAGTACAAGGCGAGAAAACTGATTTACATTTCTCATGCTTAGTCGCTAAAAAGGCTGTGAGCGTGATTTTCCTCGAATAAACTACTTTCAATAACTCAAAACCATCCACTTGGATAAAAAAACTGATCTAGTAAAATGGAACATTTCCACTGTTTTCTTTCCGCTCAGTTATTTTCTAAGCATTCAACAAGTGCACTAAATAAATTTTTGGTTAACTGTGCACAAAACCGAACCATTTTTCTGAAATAACCAGTTTTTACTTTCATTTTCTTTCTTTTGGCTTATGTCAGAATTGATGTGACAAATAACCCCCCCCCCACCCCCACAATAAAAGACCCCGAGTCTTCTATTATGTTCCAACGTAAAAATTTTCCAGGAGAGTCTCGTATTAAGAACCGCATTTTTTCCTAATATTTAATTTAAAAGGTTTTCNCAAAACACCCCCCCCCCCCCCGCAATTATAGAAGACCCCCCCTGAAGAAAAAGTTTGTCCGACATAATAGAAGACCCCTTTAATTAATTAATTTTTGCTAACTGCGAACTTTAATTAGCGTTTTCCCATCAAAATATGCCTGATTCTTAGCATTTTAAGCTGGAAATATTAAGAGAATATGTTCACAATTATAATGACACCCTTAAAACCCTGAAAATTCTGATGGAAATCCTGAAAATCGCCTTGGTTTCCTGGAAAACCTTTTAAATTAAATATTAGGAAAAAATGCGGTTCTTAATACGAGACTCTCCTGGAAAATTTTTACGTTGGAACATAATAGAAGACTCGGGGTCTTTTATTGTGGGGGTGAGGGTTACAATAGGACCAAATCAATACTACGTATATAAGTTTTGAAACTCAAAGCGCATGTATCTGTAAAATGAATAGAACATTCCGTGCTACAACTGGAGAACGCCAAATATTTTTCAGTTTAATAAAGTACACAAATCAAGTTTACTAAATAGTAAGCCATGATGCTTTTACTTTTCATAGAATAACCATTGAATAGAGAAATATTTCGCGTTCTTAGTTTAACTATGAATTATTTACAATCAAATATATGTTAATTCGTGCATTTTCTATATGCTCCATCACACACTAAACAAGCCATTGGAATCGTAACGTAATGTGTTCTATTCTATTGAGTGAATATTATTTAGCTTGAAACGTGTCACATCTATCTTTAAATACAATTTTTGTTTAAGGTTAACTATTGAAAACATTTAAAATTTTATCTCAACCGAATGAATTTCACGTCGAGAATAAATCTTGATTAAATTTTCTGATGTACCGAAAAAGCCTTTTTCTATTCATCAACGTGAAAGCCTCGCGTACCTATTGTTCGAAAGTTAAAAATAAGAATTTTTCTGAAATTTAACACTGAATTTTTGTAAAGACATTTTATTCTTTTGATATTCTCTTTTTGTGTACTCAAAAAAAAAAGAGTACACTATAGAATCGGTCAGTGTGTCCGGCCGTTTATTCGATAACTCTTCAGAATTACATTCGATTGAGCTGAAATTTTGTGCACAGAATTGTCTTATCAATATCTAGGTCGAGTTCGAAGATGAGAAGGATCCGTCAAGAAATGGCTGAGTTGTCGAAAAAATTGTCATTTTTGATCAGACCATCCCTGAGGGGGAGTACAGGGATTTTTCAAAAAAAAAATTTTCTCAGAATTATTCACAACATATATAAATCGACTCAGTTTTTAACGCTGATTCTAAATCTGATATTAGTTTTGAACTAAGTCATAGCTTTCTAACGAAACATCGCCTGAAAAACGTCTCAAAATTCACAAAAACTCCATCCAGAAATCAAATTGTCTAGTTTTTCATGATAATTTTCGTGTTCAGGCATTCTAGAATGACTCATATGTCGCATGCACTTTTTGCAGTACACATAACTCTCGGATGAAATCCGAAGTTTCCACATTTATTTCTAATTGAATGTAAACATGGAATCATACAAATCATTAGTTTTCTGTCACCGATCGAGAGAAAAAAGCCCATCAGTATCATGAAATTCATCTTTCTATTAATATTTTGTTATTATAAATAAGAACACTAACATCATGTTCACAATCATGTACATAGTAAATATATACTTTAATGTCTGCAGAAAGTTTTTTTCAAAGAAGCTTTTATTTTTATCACTTCATGGACACATTTCGATAATTGCATGTTTAAATATTATATGCATAGAAACTGAAGAAAAAAAGTAACAAAAAGAGACCGAACACATTCAGGTAAGATCATTTTCAAATAAAATGTTGATGAATGATGTGAGATCGTGTAGGATGCACATAGATTTTTCTTGCTCATTCAAATATAAGGTCGTCTAATATTGTTTGTGAAGTAAGCGTTATTTGGTAAAGAAAACAAATGCCATCATAGTATCTAACAAAAATATCCATCATACAATTTCGTTCACATCTCGACTTATTCTATAGTAAGATCAAATCATACAAGCAAAAGCAAGTACTGTATGTAATTCAATGTCACTTGGAGATTTCAATAGAGTTATATACATTCTTTTTAGTCTTTTATTGAAAAGCTCCTAAAATATCTGCATATAGCGTACGATAAAATTTTCCAGTTCCTGCAACTACATTAATTATTTTCACAAATCTAAACTCTACTATAGATACACGTATGGTTCATTTTAAGTGTATTATCAATGTTAACTGTTCCTATGAAGCAAAGAGAGATTTTTTTATACATTTTTATCAATCCATAGCTGGAAATCACACTCGACTGTAACAATACCCTTTACTAATGATTAAAATTAACCAAGTCGTATGAGACTTCTACTCCTAATATCTTAAAAAGTAAATAGATATTGAAGTTACTCAATATTACTGTATTACACGATACAATCAGCAATGACTTAGCATCCATAAAAAGAATCTATAGATCGTAGAATGAATTTCATTTCGTATCCAATAGAATTATAGTTTAAATTGATGACATTATACTTGACCAATCTAAATAAATAATTACGTCGGTAGAAATCATTAGGATTATATCATCAAATAGTTTAAAATGATTGACAGTTCCGTTTTCTTTTTTTTTCCTATAAACTATAATTGACTGATTACTGATACAAATCCTTCAGAAAAAGTCAACTGCTGTCTGTCATCTGTTTATTATCATTCTATTGTTTGTAATACGGTGCAACGTTAGAAGGATACATCAACAGGTGTTAGATTCTTGTCATCGATGACATAATCGATTGCAATCAAGTGTAAAACATTGAGTTTTATTCATACAAACATGTAAGTAATCATTATTAGTATTGTCATTATTAAAAAATAATCTTTCTAATCAAATACATAAAGAAAGAAAAAATTCTCATTGAAAAGAAAACAATGTTTTTTTTTCTTCTCTTCTTTCTATAAGTTACAAGTCAGTCTAGTCATCAGAAATTATAATTACACAAAATAATTTTAGTGCTCAGCTTTCTGCTGCTTTTTGGTATAAAATTATTTTGTGTGCCAGGTGATCTTCAATTCATTCGTCGCGAATATACCGCCTTCATCTATATTTATTATACATTCGGCTATAATATTAAGATAAAAAATCAAAACCTTTTTATCATACACAAGATTTTAGGTGAATGCCTGGATTCATATCAATTTCAAACTGAATTTATATTGACATTATAGACAAGTAAGAATTTAAAGAAAGAATGCGGTAAAAGATAGGGGCCGTAGAATATGAAAATAAAAAGATCTCTCCTTCTCCCTCTCTATCTTTATATGTGCGTATCCTATAGTCAATAGTAGTTTCATAACAATTGATTATTTTGTTTCAGTTACTATGATATAGAAAGATTCTATTTCATTATCTGTTACTACTTAGAATAAGACGATAAAAATGACAACATTCATGTTGTCCTTCTTTCCTGGCTTTGAATGACATGAGCGAGAGTAAATGATGATAGGTGCATATCCTTGTTGGCCTAATAACTACTCTCTCCAGTTGGTAACTTGAGTATGTTCGGTGGTTTATACATATTAATATGCTACTATACTATACAAAAAAAAACCAGACATCAGATCTCTTTTGATTGACTGGTGTTAGAACAAATAGATAAGTGAGTTATATATGATTCGAAGTTTTTTCTTTTTTGTTCGGCACTGAACTATCAAGTCTTATGATGGATTGTTGTCAATAGAAAAATAAAGAAAAGAATATAAAATTCTTTAGATAAAGCATCATAAAAAAAAAAGAAAAAGAAATGATACGAAACTAAACTAAACTAAACTCATAAAATGACAAAGAAAAAAATTTTTTTTTTCGATGGATTTTATTTGATAAATAAGATTACTCAAATTCACAACAACTTTCTATGTTTTGTTTGGCTATTACTCATTGTTTAATCGATTAAAAATTACATATATAACCAATGTGAAACAGTGCACATTTGGGACGTGCTTTTATCGCTTCACTCTTCGATTAAAACATTTCATACAGAGCGACTTACTATATGTTAATGTTCGTTGGTAATATAACAGTAGAAGAACAAGTTGTTGTTAGCCACATAAACACAGTCATTAGAGAAGAAAAAGAAACGAAAAATGTTGATCGTCAGTATGTCGAAATTATTATCATTGACGACGTATTGCTGATACGAGATAAAAATATTCGAGTGTGGTTTTAGAAATTAGTGAACTAAAATTTTAGAATTCCTACGGGAAATTTTTCAATCGAACTAATTTTGATTTCATTCCTAGAAAAATGATGTCATTTTATTTCTAGAGGATTTCATTTTATTTATTAAATCTATTATGAATTCAATTTACAAGCAAGACCGATCAATCACACATCTCGTTAAAACTCAGTCATTGATTGATTTACTGGAAAAAGATCATGATGACTTAATAAAACAATCTTATTCAATATCTTATTATCACTCAAATATCGATCGGGATCAAGCTGAACAATTATTAAGAACAAAATATAGTGCTTCTCCATGTGAGGGCTTATTTCTACTACGTGATTGTTCAGCATCACCATATGATTTTAGTTTATCACTTATTCATAACAAAACATTTTTTCATTATAAAATACAGCTTATTTATGATATTTATTTTTCTATAGGTAAAAATTGTATAAAGACAAATTTCTCTTTTCATTTATTTTGTTTTCGATTCTCTGTGATAGACTCGGGTCCACAAATAGCTGGCATAGAAAATCTAATACGCTTCTATCAAGAGAATGCGGATGGTCTTATTTGCATTCTATCTAAAGAATTTGTAAAAGGTCAACCGCCACCAGTTACACTAAGACTCATAGGTTTTACGAATACATTACATCGTGCTTGTCAACAAGGTAATTTTGATATTGTTAAGAAGATTCTTTCATCAGAATATTATATTCATCGACCTGATATTAATGCAAAAGATTCACAAGGTTCTACAGCATTACATCGAGCAAGTTTTATTGGTCATGATGATATTGTTCGATTATTAATTAAAGAAGGTAGCCATGTTCTTGCTCGCGATGCCAATGGTGCAACAACTTTACATAGAGTAAATCATACAAAATCATTTCAAAAGAAAAAATCGAAGAAATTCTGATTTGTTTTAGGCAGCTGCTGGCAACCGTCCATCGGCATTAGCCATTTTAATTAATGAAGGTCTGGTAAATTGTGAAGAACGTAATTATAAAAATTGTTGGGTTCCATTACATGAAGCCGCATTTCATAATTCAGCAGCATGCGTTCGAGTATTACTCGATTGTGGTGCTCCACTTCGTCCACGTACTGACCAAGGAAAAACTCCACTTGAATTAGCTGAAGAATCTAAATCTACTGAATCAATTAATATATTACGTCAATATAAAACTCCTCCGGCTAAATCATCGCGTCTGGACTGGTTACATGATCAATCGAATTTCGATCGTCATAGTGCTAAACAATTAATGGAATCTAGCATTGATGGACCTACTATGGGAATGTTTGTTGTTCGTCGTAGTTCAACAAATTTAGATAACTATGCTTTAACAATTTTTTATGATAATGATTTTTTTAATTTCGAAATTATTCATCCCAATGAAACAACTTATTATATTGATGATGGACCTTTTTTTGATTCACTCGAACATTTAGTTGATCATTATTGCCGAATACCAGATGGATTGCCAACAACGTTGATATGCTCAGTTAACAGGTCAAAAGAAATTGTTCTAAGTCGTATGCAACCATGTATTACTTCCTATATGAATCATCAAACAAAAGGTAAATCAGTAATGTTGAATTATTAGTTTTTTATTCAAGAATTTTAGACATAATAAATTCTAACAAGAAACATTTTCGCAGCCGAAGTCTTTAGCTTATTTTAGTAGATATTTCTCACTTATAGGATAGTTTTTTCATGACTATTTTGATCTGTCATGAATTGATTTACTAATATTTTGAAACACTAACACGATAACAAGATTGAAAACATTCATAGAATAAAACATAATTTTTGTTTAGTACTGTTTTCTCTGCAGATTCAAATAAAGATTCGATAATCACATACTTTTGTATTCTTGAAGGAATACATAGGAAATATTTATTGTTCAGACCGAGTCAATACTTTCCACTTGAAGTCGATTTATGAATTTATGAGCTTTGTTTAGAAGGCAATTACTCGAAAATTAAATTATATCTTTTTAAAGATTAGTAGCTTGCATCTCAATGAAAGAGTAGAATGTTCGAATGATAATTTATCTAAAACAACCAAAACGTTGGTAGCATTTGTGAAGAACTCAAAAACAAAATGATTGTAATACATATTTTGCCTATTACAACGATTCTCAAAACCAAACTAGTTGTATTTTGAAGTCTATAGTACTCTGTTAAGGTTTCGTCAGTTTCCTACGAAGCATTCAAGTTTTCTTACATACTTTTGACTTTTCCAGACTAAAATCGTTCTATTTTCAACGTCTAGCTTTACTGATTTCTCCAAAATGAATTGATAGACTAATCTAATTAATAATCATAGTTGTAAAAATGAATTCTCCTTTTTTCTCCGAAATGTCTAATTAACAATAGACGGTACATTTCGATATCATTGCATTGTTGTTTTAGACATTACAACAGGTTTAAAATACAATTTCAACCATCAGAAAAGTTTCGAGAACACGAAAAGTCTTCCAAATATTCAACCATCAACGTCATCAATTCATCGTCCAAAAGTATTATCTTCCCTGAATAGTTCAATGAATTCGTTGAGCTCATTATCATCTCGTTCACGTGCTTCGTCAGGACAAGAAAATCTCTTATCCAACTCATCATCAAGTTTGTCCCTTTCAAGTCCATTGAGTTCATTAAAACCAATAATATCATTAAATAAAGATGAAAATTCTGCGAAACATCTAAAATCATTTGTTGATCGACGAAATATAGTCGGTGGCAAAATAAGACCGTTTACGCCTGATTTTCAAACCAAATCAAGATCTAATCAATTAAAAATACCAGGAATGGAAAGAGAAACGTACAAGTACTACGAATTAAATCTTATTTCACCTGATCAAATTAACAGAACTGCAAAATTAGGTAATAGAGAGAATAGAAGAAGAAGAAGAAGAAGAAGAAAAATAATTCTAATCAATTTATATTATAAACATTTAGGTGAGGGTGAATTTGGTGAAGTTTATGAAGGGTTCTATCGAGAAACATCTACGACTATTCCTGTAGCAATAAAAGTTTTGAAAGATTATTCATATTCAGCTAAACAAGATTTTCTTCGTGAAGCTGAACACATGTCAAAATTGAATCATCACTGCATCTGTAAACTATATGGTATTGTAGATTCTAACGATACTGATATGATGATGATTATTGAATTACTTTTATTTGGTTCAATGCTTGATTATTTATTGAAATATAAACTTCGTGTAAGTGAATATCGATTAAAATTATGGGCATCGCAAATTGCTGATGGAATGGAATATATGGAATCTAAAGGAATTATTCATCGAGACCTAGCAGCAAGAAATATACTTTTACAATCGACTGATCAAGTAAAAATTAGGTAAAATATATAAAAAAATAAATACATGCAATTAACCGCTGAATTTATTCTAGTGATTTTGGTTTATCAAGATGTATTGATTCAGATGTTTATGTGCAGAAATCCGATAGTAAAATTCCAGTTAAATGGTATGAAATCGATTTTAAAAAACTATTGATAGTTCTTTGATTTTTTGTTTCTCCAGGTATGCACCTGAAGCAATTAGCCTTGGTAAATTTACTTCCAAGTCTGATGTATGGTCTGTTGGTGTTACTTTTTGGGAAATGTTCTCCTATGGAGCTGTACCTTATGGTTAGCTTTATATTGCTTCTTTTTTTCCTTCGATTAATATTTAGATGAATTTTTATCTAAGGTGATATGAGTGGTAGTGATGTATATTATTCATTGAAACAGGGAAAACGTTTAGAACAATCAACGTATTGCCCAGAATATATGTATCAAATAATGCTTAAATGTTGGGAATGGGACGAAAAAAAACGACCATCATTTCATGAGCTTGTACAACTATTGCAAAATGAGTTTACCCCTCTTCCGCCGAATAGAACCCGACGAAAATCGTCTTTCATAGGTGATTTAACTAAAGAACAAACCAATGAGCAACATGGAATGAATAATAATAATGATAATAATCACGAATCAAGCAATATCACCAAATTATAGCGAACAAAAACTACAAAAAAAAAACAATAAAAGTTTTGATTTTGAATAATTCATTTTTTTAATTCAACCGGTTTCCTTAACCTGCAAATGGGTTTCTTTTTTATAGTGTGTCTGTACATAGCTATTTTGATACAGTAATAATAAACCAATGAATGGTTAGGAAGAAGGAAAATATGCTTCTTTTTTGTTCATATTTAAATTAAATACAAATAATTTGTTGAAAATTTATATCAAATATAAAAGCCGATAAAAAAGAACTCGTCTATTTTATTTGTATACATTGATCGACCTTGGCATACTATAGATTCGTCTACATCCGATATTCATTTTTTCCATCTGCTGGATCTATTTAAATTTACTTGATTGGAACGCATAGACTAGATCATGCAAGCAGTCATCTGACAACTAATTTTATTTGCACCATCGAACTGAATACAATGATGCTAATAACAATAAGAAGAAGAAAAGAAAAAAACAGAAGAGTCGACAAATCATAAGCGTTATTCACTCCACTGATGTCTCCTTTTTTTTCTTCATACATATATTTGTAAAGATTTTTATCTGTTAACATTTTCAAGGATATGTTCAAGAAGCAAAACAAGACAATAACTGATGCATACCAATGCACATATGTAAACTGCTCGCATTCATTCGATTGTTACTATGTAGTACTGATATTTGAAATAGATTGTTTCTATTCATGTGTATAAAGACGTTCGCATCATAGTGCGTAATTGTGATATACAAAAGAAATCAAGTACAGAAGTTGTTGGCATACATCTTTCAGCATGGCAAAGATTTTCTATTTTTTGGGTCTCATCACTTCCCAGTCACGTACTTTTTCTTGATTTCTATTTTTTCTTCTTTGTTAATCTTGATGACGGCTTAATCCAGCTATGTCAACAATGTACTGTAATGACGGAAATCAGTTTTTTAGATACACTGTTCGAGTAACCTTTGATTTTGATGACATAAAGTTCCATTGATATCCATATTTTTATTTTGTTCTTACTGGGTAAGCATATTAGTATAGAGAATATTTCAATATCGACTAGTAAAACATGCTTTTTCTTCGCAGACGAATATTGTAATGCACCGTTGTCAACGATCAGAACCCAATGAAATACTTTTCGAAGATCAAGTTACATTAAGTGATGGCCGTTCGAAACCATATCTTGTTTTGCTTCAATTAACTTCTGAATCATTAATAATTCGACCTCGCAATACAATTTCAACGTCGTCATTGAATAACAAAGAAATTCAAACAGTCGAGCCAAGACATGTTATCATTGCAAGAAATTCAATTACACGTTCATTTGGTTTTTCAATTAAAGGTGGCAGTGACACTGGTAAATGAACGACATAAGAAGAAGAATTTCAAAATAATACTTTAACATTTTTTAAATAAAAATCTGTTTCTTAATAGGTTTTCCTATTCTTATTTCGCGTGTTCTTGATATCAATGCTCATTTGTTAAATATTGGTGATGCAATTTTCAAAATTAATAATGAAGATATATCGAATTTAACTCATGATCAAGTTATTTCAAAACTACGTGATGTTCGAAATAATCACGTTAATCTAACTATCAAATATATGAATAACATGGCTACCTATTTACGTTTAACATCACAAAAATTTAGACCGTCAGTTTCAATACTACAGAATTATCTGACAATACCAAATATATTGTCAAATAGAGCTAGACGAGATCAAAAAGTCAGATCAGCAATATATCCATATGAATATAATAGTTATGCTAAACAAAATGATTTACCATTGGCAATATCAGAGAAACTAAAAGTAATGAAATTGAATTCATTTTTTTAACGTGTATAAAACATTCACGAAAAATAAAATTCCTTCATGAGGAGAGCAGAAAATGTGAAGGTGAACATAACCTTTGAAAGTTTCTTCCCAATTTCCTAACGAAGTAAATATTTTTACATCCAAATCTGGCATGCATGGCAACAAAAAAAAAAGAAAAACTTAGAAATTTATCTGATATAAAACACTCACTATAGTATCAAAAAATGAAAGTCTAAAGTAGAACTTGTCCAAATCTATTCAAATAAAAAATTTCAATGTTTCTTGCTGCTGCGTTTTAGTTCCTAAGTAGATGTATATCTATTTGACAACTTGATGAAGAGTGAGAATTGTATAATACAATTCCTAGTTAGTTAGCTCCTTTAGTTTATTAACGATAGTTTAAGCTATGAACAACTCCATATGGATCATGTAAGCTTAGCTCTACATGTGATTTAAATTAGAATTGTTATGCATAGATAGAATCAAGTCGTCTAAAGTCCTAACTCGTATTTAAAATAAATGAGGAAACATCGGATTCGCATCCGACTGTTATGTGTACTGCAAAAACTGAGTCGATTTATATATGTTGTGAATAATTCTAAAGAAAAAGTTTTTTTTGAAAAAATCCCTGTACCCCCCCTCAGGGATGGTCTGGTCAATACTGACAATTTTTTCGATAGCTCAGCCATTTCTTGACGGATCCTTCTCATTTTCGAACTCGACTGCGATATTAATGAGATCATTATGTGTACAAAATTTCATGACAATTGGATGAGGCTTTCAAAGGTTATCGTGTTAACCGGCCGGACACACTGAACAAATCTAGAGTGTACTCACTTCTTTCGAGTACACAAAAAGATTGTATGCATTTTTCGGACTAGATCTCTTCATCTGATTATGAACAACAATTTGAAAAATTCCATTAGAATTAGCTTCATATTTATGAAAAGTTTTATATTTATACTTTGCGTACGTTTGACATGAATTTACTATTTGTTTTTAGAATACTGATGATTCCATCGTTAATCTAACAGATCAATTTCGAAAATATTCTCTTCTATATGCGTATGTTAGCCAATATATAAATGGTACAGATGAATGCCGTATCAATGCTTTTCAATTACATACTCTGAGTGGGTCTCAAACAGGTATTATCATAACTGATACAGCCATGGAACAAAACATGTGGATATCACGTATAAATATAGTTATACAAAATCTAACAGCACGTCTATTAGCTGAACTAAATCAAACATTGGTATCATGTGAACAAGTATTTTATGCTACGTGGATTCATGAACGAATTATGTATCCAAATGAAAATCATTTACCAGAATGGCAAGCTATATTTATAGTCTTTAAAGGTGCTAATCTTTATATATTTGATCGAAATCAATCGCCACCATTATGCAATTCTGACTTTATATGTTGTACTCGTGTATATCCTCTAATTGAAATATTTATTGGAACTGTCACATCAAAATGTTCTATTAAACATCGTCGATATTGTATTAAACTAGTTTTACCAAATCATTCAACAAATGAATGTCGTTATTTAAGTTTAGAAAGAAAACACGAATATGATGATTTTATATTAAATTATCAACGATCAATTTGTATGTCTGTTTATTCAATTAAAAATCGAACATTTGGTTGTGTTTATCGAGGACAAATATGTCGTTTAATAATTGACATCAATAACGGTTTTGAAATGTATAATAATCAAACAAATATTATTTTATGGGCATTTGCATTCGAACAACTTCAGTCAACTTCTGATAATGGACATGATAAAATATATCTTCAATTTAAATTTAACATACCATCAAATAATAACGAAATAATTATAGACATGAATATTCAATGTCAACATTTAAGAATACTTGTTCATGTAATTAATGCATTTTTAACTGCTAGATTTATTAGTCGACGCGATCATACGATTGATAACATCAAAATATATTGAGTTTCATTTTTGAACGTTTTCTTCTTCTTGTTTGAACGAATACAAGTTTTCAAAAGAATCCAATAAATTTATTTTCAAGCACTGAAAAATTATAACATAAGGTACAAAGAAAAACGAATGCCATAGAACTTATTTCAAACATAGTTACAGGAGACTATGCTATCTTCTGGTTGGATTTATTTAATATATGCTTCAACAGTAGTATTAACTATATCGTGATAATTTAATATTTATACATACGAATGCTTCAAAAACGATTCGATCAAATTTATCTTGAATTATCTTCCACTGTCGGAAACTCTACAAACAGTCTTATAAAGAAAAATTGATTGCTAGTTTACCTAAGATAAGACCCGTGAAAAATTAAAAAAGCCACATTAATTGCTTAGCTTCTATAAAACTTGAGAATAAAACATACTGTCAATTAGCTAAAGTAATTCACCACACAATGTTAAACTAGATCAAATATCTTTCAGCTATCTATAATTATTTTTTTAAATCGAACTATATGAATATTATGCAAGTCGTAGAAAACTTTTCTATTATTTCGAATGAAAATATATTTTTTGTGACTTTCATAAGCTTAAATAGAGTTCGATCAAGAAACATTGTAGCGAATTAGAAGACCGTTGCTACTATAGAACATCGTTCGTGTTATCATTGTAGGAAATCATATTTGACACTTTTTAAAAAAATCTATGGTTGAAAGAACAAACATTATTTTTATCGTCAGGAAATGATTCTTAGATAGAAGCTTTTCTAATTCAAGTAGTAGTTGGAGTCTTCTTAGTGTTTACGACAGTGGAAAATAAATTTTCAATAAATTTAAACGAATAACACTGATGATCATGATATTAGATCAAAAAGTTCTTTGGAATCAATGTCTTTTTAGATAGATTCTTGCGGCCAAATGAATTACGAATACCAACGAAGATCTATATATTTGAAACAAAGAAAAGTTCTCGCATTCTTTTCTAAACAAAGAAAAAATCTAATACATACGAAATCGATTGCATAGGTCAAAATAGCTGCTAAGACATAATTCTGAGCAAGAATATCAATGAAGAGAAATGTAATCATATTCCATATAACTAAAGTACTTTGTTCACCGCAAAATAAAATATTTGTAAAAGTTTTTTCATTATCTAAATAAAGAAAAATTTTCATATCGATAGATGCATTTTTTTTAGATTTCCTACCAGTAAAAAAGAAATTAGTTATTTGCCCATCAAAATCAGATCTTGTTCGAACGCGAAATTCATAATCGAGAATTCTCTCTAGAAAGAATCGATTACGAAGTATATATTGGTGTGAAGACAATGATTGGTCAATAAATGCACATAAAAATCCATTTAAGTTTTGATAAGCTTGCAGAAGTAGATCTGTATAGCGTTCAGCGTCTTGTCGTGTTTTTCGTGGTCCAGTATAGCCCTAAACAGAGGTGAGCCCATATTTTGGATGTGTACGGAGAGAAAATGTATACTGAAAAAATGTGTAAAGAAGCTGCAACGCATGAATTTTTCAATAAAGTTGTAACGATTTTGTTGAATTTTTAATCGTAGAACAGTGTATCGATAAAAATATCAAACATAGTATTTATTTTACTTCAAATTTCGTCCATTAGTAGATCTTTTCATTTTAAGAAGCTACTCTACCTGTTCGAATGTGAAAATCAAGACTTTCTTCGTTTTTCATTGTTACCGATAGGCATAGTTAAAATCATGCTTTATCAATCTGCGAAAACGAAACTTCTAATCAAATCTAAAATAACTATTTTCGACATTCTCCTATGTAAACCTTCACATTCTACAAATTCATCGATGATTTAGTCTCTGAGAATGGCTTTTCAAAAGCGATAGAATAGATGAGCACTCAGCCGCGAGTTTATATTTATTTTGAAACCAATTGTGACACTCAATTAGTATTATTTTCTTTTCGTTTCTCTAGCAAACTAACAGAAATCCCTTTCTTTAATGTTTAGTAATTATAAAAGGGAAACCATGTTAACTTCTTTTAAGTCTAATATCTCATCAGAGAAACACTGTTTCTTTTTGACTGATACTCCCTGAATGTACCCAATAGTATGAGACGTGTCAATTTTACAAAAAAAAAAAATTCTACTACCATTCCTTTCTATGAGCTCATATTTTTGTAAGATTACGTAATTCAAAATAAATGTTGTATTGCCATCTAAAATATGCTCGAGTAATCGTCTCACTGATCATTATTAATGGCTCAGTTAGATTCGTTAAGTTGTAGGTGGCTGTTTCATTATTGACTATCGCAATAGAATAAACATATCTATAACCCTTTATGCAGTACATATGAATGAGAACGAGAGCTGAGCATGCTGAATATCATATAGAGAAAAGCGAATATATAGTTGTCAATACTATTTAGTAATTCAATCACCATTAGTATTATACAGCAGTTCCATTGTTAATGAAACCGTACAGAAAGAAAATGTTTGTCGCATGTAATGTAATACAAACAGTTATTTTAAAGTGTACATGGTGAGCGAAACTTGTTTAATAATTTTGTATGTCCTACTTCGCAAACTTATCTGCATTGCTATTCTCAGATTTTATCTCGATCTTCACTCTCATAGATTATATAGTACAGCAAACGAAATAATTCCATAGAACTATTCTTACATAATAAGTTCGGAGCAATGATTGATATTGTCTTTGAAAGCTTCTATTAATTTTCATGATAAATATTTGTTCATCTGAATTTGGTTCTAAACCTCTGGTACCACTCATTCTATTTTCTTCACGATATAAATTCATAACTGTATCTTTCATATTGACATCGGTCATTCCGTGCGGTGATCGACCATGAATATAATATCCATGCAAATTTTCATCAAGAATAAATACACTTATATTTGATACTGAGCATAAATCAATGAAATTAGTGATTTTATCTTCAATAAAACGTTGATAAAAGATTGTAAAAAATAAATTTTGAACAACAGCTGTAATAAAAAAAAATATGAAACAGTAAAATAAAATAAGCTGCAGACATACATACCAGTCCCAAGTAATACGAAGAAAGCAACAGCTATGCGAACAATCGCATCGGATCGCAAACAATTGAAGTTAGACAATGAAGAGATAAATGTGTCATCACCACAAGAATAACTTTCAAAATTAATCACCTAAAGAAATCTTTTTTTCAAACAACATTACAAGCGAAGGAAAATTTTACTTTAAGAAAAAATAAAACAAATAAAAGTTGAAAAGGCACATTTACACGACGAAACGTTTGGATTTCATTCAATTCATTGGCAGCAAAATATGTTCGCCAGACTGATACATTCTCAGAACTACCTAAAATAGAGTAAGCCTCATTTTCGTTTTTTTTAAATTCTTGATATCGGATTTTTTCGACTTCTATTTAAGTAATTTTAAAAACAAACGTATATATATATATATGTATTTATTTACTCGCCTTTTTTTGGTCTTTCCCAATCCATAAAAAATATTTCGATTCTTGTTTGTCTTATGATTATATGAATTATATCGACTAATTTTAATACAAATGAAGTAATTAAAAAAGTTTCCAATAAATTTTTTATTTGTTCTTTATTTGTATCAGTAATTTCAGGTATATTCTAATAAAATGGAATAAATTATTAATTGATACATAAAACAATATAATTTAACTTTGATAAATATTAGATACCAAATTGAAACACCAGCTGTAACAAGCAAAAGAACGGTACCAATAATGCCGCATATGTATGCAAAAAATTTACCGATTGTCTATTGATATTAAAAAGAAAGGTTTGCTTTTGTTAAATATAAAAATAATGAATTCTTACTGCTAAATCGATTACGTCTCTTCCAGATCTTGAAAACCATTTCCATGTTCTTGCAAAAGCAAGAATAATTCCTGCACCTGATAAAGCTCCAAATGCAATGAGAGCATTACCATTTTGACTAGCGGCATCCATACAATATTTTAAAAGTCTTTCAATATCTGATCACGAGAAAAACGAGAAGGTATGATGATTATATTAGACAATGAAACGGACATATCTGCTTGCTAAGAGCAATACTAAATACACGTTATCGATAAGAACTTCTATTGACAAACACTTCTCTTCTTCTGCTTTTTCTTTCGTTGTCTTGAATCAACTTGTTGATAGTAGTGATAGCAACTGATTATTCTACTCACTATTAATAACCCTGAACTCTTCTAAAAGTCATAAAATTTAAGAGTTTCTTAATCTTTTACAATTTTTTTTGTTGTAAATATTATGTTTCAACTAAATTTTAGTGAATAAAAGAGAGACAGAGATAAACACAATTTTGCTTTAACTGATTCCTTCAAAAAAAAAAAAACATGTGGCTAGTTTGTTATCATTCAGCTATGAAACAGATGCACAACTGTTCATTTCGAAGAAGAAAAGCTTACGTTAAGATTAAATAATCAAAATTGAACGGAAATGGCTCTGTTGATATTTGCTAATTGACTTTTACAATCGATCCAACTTATATATATATATATATATATAATGAAAACGTTTTATTAAAAAAAGAAAAAAAAAATACCGTCGTTTTGAAATATGATATCTAAATGGTGACTGGCAAATGAATGAAAAAACGACTGCTTTGTTCGAAAGAAAAGCAAACAATCTGCAAAATGATCTAGTTACATAGCTTATTCGCTTGAACTTGCATTCATAGACGATTGCATTGACTAAATCAAACTTGTCTTAAACGGAAGGGAAAAAAAAGTAATTTGTTTTGATTTAAAACATCGACCATTTTATGAGTATGGATGAAGTTGATGGATTAAATAACATACATACTCTGATTGATGATACATAAATAGAAGATTTTTTTTTCTCTCTCCGATATCACGACTTATATGATGCGTATCTTCTGAAATTAATTGTCATTATTCTAGAAAAGTTGCTGGTCACGGTTTTGAAATGACAATATTCACTTCATAATGACAAAGTAATAACTAGCAACAACAATAATGCATCTCAATGAAGTAGTGAATCTTGAAAATGACTGATGACAATTGAACTAAATGGCATACACACGAAGACGATAATGAAAATTCAATGTGAAGCGAACCTTCAAACTAGATCTATTATCAATGATATTAAAGAAATTTGTATTAATTGAAATCAATATGGAACAATTTTATTTTCGGCATGATAAAAATAAAAGGTATGTAAAAATATTATGAAAAATAGGCTTCTAAAGATTCATTACTGATCCTCTCTATAACCATAACATTCGATCAAGTGAGTGTACACTCACTGATAATGGTAGTACTCATTTTCAGCATCTCAAAAGAAAAGAAGAAGACAGTAGTAGCGTTAAAATCTTCATTTTGCAAAGTGAACTGAAAAAATGATAGAGATTAACATTATAATTTTGAAGGAAAACAACTGATCACCTGAAAACATGAAAGAGTTCGTGATCGATCACGCGTATGAAGGCGACATGTCGTTAGTATGTCTATTTTGAAACATGTAACAGAGAAAAACTGTCAAAACTACCATACTGTACAACAAGATGAGTAGAAACTAGATCATGACAAAAATAAATTTTCTTTTCTACAAACAATGAAAAAGTCTTCTGGAAGTATAGAATACAACAGAATTTTCCAAAACTTAACTAATTCTATTATTGATAATATCAAATTAACTATATCATTGTTCTGTGTCATGTATTTTTATTGCATACAGCAAACAAATCCATGCAGAATCAGTTCTTACAATGAACACATTCTTCGAAACGTATTTAAGAAATATTTTATAATCAACTCAAAATAATAGATTGACGGAAATATTAGGATAACTCTTCAAAAGTGATTTTCATCGATAAACCCATGACTTTCTAATTTGATGTTCTTTGAACTATTCAAATATTTCGCTAAAACAACACCAATAGCAGCATCCAAAGCTCTCCCAGTAATACCGTCTTCTGAACGACAGTTTGTATAACTAATCGTAATTAAATCTTTAGCAGATGCAATCCAAAATACCGTGTTTTGTCCAAAAGCATCTCCATCATGAAACAGTGCTTGACCAGGCAATGCCCATGTACGATTAAATACTAGAACTCCTAGGCCGTAACCCTCGATACCAATATAGGGCTGTTTTAATTTAGTTGCTGTAGCTGCACTTAAATATCCTGTTTTTTCTCCAACTACATGGGCGTGTAAGAATTTAGCAAAATCATGAAGTGAACAAGCAACAAAACCCGAAGGACCTGATGATGCATGTTCAACATGAAGTATTTGTGTAGTAAGCATTGGACGTGGAATAGGTATTGTGTGGTTGGGAAGAAGTTCATGACCAACAGGTGCTTTAGGAGGAAGAGTATTATCATAAACTGGACCAATTCTAGCGCTGGTCATTTCCAATGGAATAAAAACATGTTCACGTATTAAGGATTCCCAATCTTGACCCGTTACTTGTTCCATCATAACAGCTGCAACTGTATAACCTTGATTAGAATAGAGATATTCATCAGGTGGTACTTCGGGTGTATCTTTTAGAACAGTATCAGCAACCCATCGACGAATTTGACTTATGTTACCGTTTTGCGAAATAAAAGCTAGTCCATGTCGATCGAAGAATGTTGAAGTTTTTTGAACACCAGCACGATGTGCTAATAATTGTTCTAAAGTAGCATTTCGAAACAGACTATTGAAAGAAGCATAGTTCGAAAAACATTCATGAATTTTGGTGGTCCATGACAGGAGTTTTCGATCGACTAAACGACCAGCTAGCGTAGCTGTCATCCATTTGGAACATGAACCAATATTAACAGCGTCTGAAATCAGAAGCGGAGACGAATAATTTTGTAGTCGATATCCACTTGCTCCTTGTCCTACAAGTACACCGTGTTTTAAGGCCAGCGCAGATAGGCCCGGCATGTTATATTGCACCCGTATTCGTTCCAAATCGCTAGAAACATCGTCAACTGGGGGTGTAATTGCACAACTTTCATATTGTTCAAAACAAAAAAAGATTAATATAAAAAAGGTTATTTTTCGAGCCACTTTATAATAATAATTCATCATTTATTTGTACCGAAAACGAGATAGAAAAAAATTGTGGTACTGCCGATAAATATATATATATCACACTTGGTGCATAAAATGTCGACATAGGATAATATTTACGCAATGTCATGAGTCTAGTTTAATCTCTACCACAAATAAATCATAGAATAATAAAAAACAGCGCAAATAAAAAGTTGTATTATCCTCTCATGAATAAAACTCAACAAGATTTTAATTATCTTAAAACTGAAAATAAATATTCAAGAAAAAGATCATACATCATCAAGTTTATTTTTAATGATGCAGACGCGTTCTTATCAATAATAAATTCCAGAGAAAAGAAAACATATCGAACAGCAATATAGAAGTAACTGATAGGAATGCACCGAAAAGGGTTTTTTAACTAACAATGATTAATTCAAAATTTGGATCGCAATCAAACAGAGACGAAGAGAATCATGCAATTTATAACTGCAAATTTACCCTTAAGATTTAAAATCGTATGTGAAAGATTTATTTTATCATATTTTTGTACAGTTAAGTACATGGATAACAGTTATTATTTCGTATCGAACTTTTGAACATTATACTTAAACGACAAGACTGTAAATTGTGATGAATTGCATTAACAGTCAGCATAAGACTCGTATGAGGAAAAACGAGAAATATCATCGAAATAGTTTGTTTAATTAGATTGTTATTGAATATTGTACAAATACCACTCGACCTATCAATATTAATAAATAAAACATTGATAAAGATCCCTATAGACATAAGAATTAAAAATAACGAAAGAACAGTTCACATACAAATTAATGAAATAATTGTAATTACTCATGTTATATCAAACACATATTTTATTGATTCTTTCATATAGTGAATTTTTCGTCACTGTATTTGCTTATAATAAAGTTCCGTTTAGATAAATATGTTCTATGTGACAAAACCAATGATAAACATAAGAAGCGATTGCTACATTTTGTTATCGAGAAATGATACTTTAAACAATTTCCGTATAGAGAATTTGCATTTAAACTGCTATCTTCTTTCATTGAACTCAAGCGCAATAACAAAATCACATACAGATGTGTTTATAGAAATTCTAAGATACGGAAGATATTTTTATTCTTCAGTCATGCCTATAAATACAACGAAAAAGAAACATGTTAGTAACAAACAACACAAACATTTCATGATATATTCAAAAAAAAATATTTAAAGAAGAAAATTTGTTGGAATCAGTGTTTTTTTCGATAAATTCTTTTGGCCTAATGAGGTACGTGCGCTTTCGGCAATCTATCAATGATACGACGAAAAAAGAAAACAGTTAAAGAACAATGAATAGTTTCATATAAAAATAAGTCTTACCGAATTGAGTAAATAAGTAATAACAGCAGCTAGGATATAATTAAACGCAAAATAATCAACAAAAAGAAATATTGCCATATTCCACATGAACAGCGAATTTTCATAACCAGCAAATAATGTTTTAGCAAAATTTCTGTCAGCATCTGTTGAGGCAGAAGAAAAAAAAGAAAATTCACTTCCTATTTTCTAGTATTTTTCACATACCAACATAGAAAATGCATTCTGCTTCGTTTGGTGGCGCAGATCTTTTAACAGAATCGGTAAATTCAAAATTAAGGATTTTTTCTAGTAGCCAACGTTGGCGCACAACGTAATTGTATGCTGGTAATGAATGATCAATAAAAGCACAGAAGAATTCATTTAAGTTTTTATACGATGTTAATAAAACATCGGAAACACGTTCGTCATTTTTTTTGTTTACACGTGATAACATTCGATGCTAAAGTATAGAATTACAAAAAGAAATCTTAATATATATATATATGTTTTCATCATCTATTTTTACTTCATAATTTCGAACTAAACGATCATATTGAGATCGAAATATTCGATCGATTTTAACAATAAAAATTTGGTCGTCCGAACCGACTTCTAAACCGCGTTTGCCAATTTTCGCATTCGATTCTCGTTCTAAATTAATAAGCATATCTTTTACGTTTACATCGGATGTTCCATTGGGTGATCTGCCGTGAATATAATATCCATAATGTTTGTCCGAAAGTATAAATACACTTATGTTTGATACTGAACATATATCAATGAAATTAATGATTTTATCTTCAACGAAACGTTGATAAAATATTATATAAATCAAGTATTGAAAAACAGCTAAAATAAATCGAGTTAAACATAATTCAACAGTAGAAAAAAAACATGTATCTACCACAGACAAGCCACATGGAAAATGCAATACCAACACGTAAAATACCATTAAAACCTGGAGTATAGTCAGCGGAAGTTGGAAAAAGAATTGTTTCTGGTTGAGCTCTAGCTGCATATTCTAAGTTAATCACCTAAAGAAAAGTTTTTGCTCCAAGTACTACTGCAGTTAAACGAAAAACAAATTCTTTGATTACTTTCAAAAAGAATAAAACAGAAAGTAGTAGAAATGTCACGTTAATACGTCGAAATGTTTGAATTTCACTATATTCATTTGCTACAAAAAATGTTCGCCAAATTGATACATTATTTCTGTCTCCTAAGAAAACAAATATATTAACTCAATGTTCAAATCTCAATCATTTTTTTCGTCAAACCTGTTCGCGGTTTTTCCCAATCAATAAAAAATATATCAACACCCGCTTGCCGAATTATTAAATGTATAATATCGAATGTTTTTAGTATAAATGCGATAATAACAAGTGCTGTAAATGACGCTTGTTGAGAAGTAGATGGCAAAACAAGAAAAGCTGAACCTTCTCTCTACACAACGACAGTTTAAAGAAATAACTAAACATTAATATGAATTGTGTGACTATTTTTTACTTTAAAAAATATTAACCACCAAAGTGAAACACCAGCCATAACAATGAAAAAAACTGTGCCAAGAATATTAATCATAAAAAGTACGAATTTGCCAATAATCTTTTGAATAGTTAAAATAAAAATATCAATTAAAAAGCAAACTCAACAAAATGATCTTCCTACTTCTAAGTCAACGGTTTGTTTTCCAGCTCTTGAATACCAAACTTTTGTTTGAATCAATGCAAATATTATACCTAAACCAGATAGAACACCAATAGCTATCCATATATTCTGAATTTGTCCATCAAGATTCATTCGATATTGCGTTTCAAATTTTACCTTTTGGAATAAAAAAAATTCATTAGAACTCTCTCGATTATGATGGTTTTTCTAAAACTAAGTATATAAGTGTAGAGAGAAAAAACTATTCTTACGTCTACAATAGTTCCTGTGCCTATATTAGTTAGAGACAATTCTTCATATTGTATAACAATTACTGGTGGCTGAAAGTATGCACCACCATTTGATAATGTATTTAGAATTGTGATTGATTGTGCATAATGAACATTTCTTAATTCTATAGTAAAATAAAAATAAAAATAAATTGAGTCAATTATAAATAGTTACCCTTATTATTTACAACTCCAGATGTTCTATCAACTAGAAAAAAACGACGATGATAAACCCATTGTGATTCATCATCTAAATAAATTTGATCTTAAACAATGCTTTTCGAACAATAAATGATAATTACTATTTTTATTTGGAGTAGCGCCAGTATCGGTTTTATAATTTCTTAAAACAACGGGTGTCGGCAACATATAATCAGAATTTGATTTGGTAAATAGGAAATCTAAACAGATACAACTCAATCATATAAGTGAAATCATTGAGACAATCGATCAAGAGCATCACTTGAAGCATAGTATAGCTGATATTACTAACCACAGAAAAATAATTTCATTCGATTTATGTTAGAACATTTCTATTCACCATTTATTTTCCGTTTTTCTTCAGAAAGAAAATTTCTACTGATAAAGAGATGTTATTAATATACAATCTACACGGGATTAAGGATAGCTCTAGATATGGGCCAATATACTCTTTAGATTATGTTTCTTATAAATTAGATGATTAGAAGAAAACTTACATGGGTCAAAAAAAGCAGTTTCATATAACGTTGAATTCCATAATGCATCGGCACGAATAGAACACTAAAAGAATAGATATAAAATGAGATTATATTTAGGTATCATTAATCGTTTATATTCTCTGATATTAAAATTTCATGATAAAAATATTACTTTCTTCTAAATTATCATTCATTAATCAATGTAAAGATGATGATAATTGAGGAATCTTCTCATTTAGGAAATCAAAATTGCAGGCGTGGTTAACTTAACAAGATGACTAAATACGCATAGTTTCAGAGCTTTAAATCAAAGCAAATGAACTTGATGAAGCGAATAATTTGAAACTTTTGGTTTGATCAGTTCCGATATATATTCTCAAAATAAACAAAAACTAGAAGCTTAACCATAGTAGTGAAACAGACAAAGCCTCTACAGCAAGCAAATAGCAGCAGAGTTCTAAACACAAACCATTTTTCGTTTACAATGTCGAATAATCGATTTTTTTTCTTCTTCTGTTGCTATTTATTCTGGAATATCAAAATAGAACAGTTGGTTAGAAGAGCTATTTTATTTTTATTTAACAAAATCAATCGGATTGGTTCGAGTGTAGTTTTAATTTAAAAAAAAAGATTCTTTTTTTCATACTTTTAACTAGACCGGTATAAAAATTCAAATAGCTTGTGTAATTTTCTTACTGTTCTTTTGTATTGTGTTCCAAATGTAAAAGCCGGTTTACCATCCGTATAGGCACCACCGCACAATTGAATATATGCATCAAAAGCATCAAACAAACCTAAATATTCTCCTATTGGAGAATATTTTGCTAATTTTAATCTCATTGTATTTGCACCATCAAGCGATGATGGTATCCAATCATAAGAAGCATTATTTATTTCTTGATAATATGTTGAAGGATAAGCAAGAAATGGTATTGATGTTCTATAGAAATAAAATAATAATTATAGTAGTCTATCCATCGTGATCTTCAATTTACCTCGTAGACGCCGCTGTCCATATTTGTGATGATGTTGGTTGCCATATATAGCTTTGATATAAACCATAAGCATAGTTAATTGCTGGATAAAAGAATTGCATAGCAGCCATATTAGCTAATATTTGACAGGCTGTTCCATTCGATAGCAATGTGCGATTTATGGATCGAGCTGTGGATGCATTCAAATTCATCTATAAAAATAGTTTAAAAAAGCACATTGAATTTGATATCAAAGACGAGCGATTGTATTTACTAGACAAAGATAAACAGACGCATCGAGATGCTGTTGAAAAAAAGAAGATGTTGCTGGATTCTATATTTTAAGAAAATTATTTTACAAGAACATCAATGAGGAATAATTAAAACATACTTGAAATGTATTTAAATAAGACGGTGAAAAACTTATACCTATTGAATTGATTACGTAGCTTAAACAAATGCCATCCTTAATAAAACAAAAAACAAAAAAGAAGCATAGAATACATATAAATCGCTTGAAATAACTCACTTGTATATCAGTACTGTTCGTGCCGCAGCAATTGATCGTAGCTGGTGGCGTTCCGGTATGAGGAGTAACGTTGGCACATGGAAAACATCTAAAATAAGACTATCAATATTTGTAACTCATAAGAGATTCTAATTAACCGTTGGCTGTTTGGATACGCCCATGTACCATTCGAACATGTTGTACATTGTTTACTACTTTGGCTTGGTTGCACTGATGCTGAGTTGTTTGTATACAAACTTCCATCAAGGCGCGATTCCGCTAAAAAAATAACGATTTCATGAACTTAGTACAAGAAACGATTAAAATGTTTCAATACAAGGAACTATGTTGTTAAATGCTGTTGTACATGCAGAATTATCAATAATGCATCCAAAACCATCCGTTGATCGTGCCTTAAAAGATGATATATGATTTATTAGTCAAAACAAAATAAAATTATATACACATACATATGATGTTGGACATGGTACACAAAGTAATGAACCACCACCTTGATTAACACCATAATAAAATGTTTGATTAGTGCATTCACATTGTGTTTGGTCTATGTAAGAAAGAAACGATTTAGAAATACATAACTACGATATTGTTCTCTATCTCTATATTCTGTTTAAATTTTTAATCTATATTATCCTATTTTTTCGCTTCCACTTTGGATACGTTTCAATACGTAGATAATAACAAGTTATTAGTCCTCTGAAAATAAGATTATTTAGAAATATTAATTCATTATTGAATTCGAATGAAATACACGATGAAGCGTAGTCAAAATAAAGACGATATTCTTTTATATATTTTAAATTCATAGTTTTATTCATAAATTATTAATGTAAAAAATATCAAAAATATTCATCAATGTAGTGTTTACTTTTATTGAAGCATATCTTTCATTTTACTATGAAACTATGAAAAGAATTTTATGATTAGTAATCAAATGGAAAGTTGAATTGCCTGAGTATGTTCTTCGCAGAAACTTAAATCCCTTCTTAGGCTAATTACGATCGTTGCACATGAATGCACACAATCTTTCCGAGCAGAGCTAGCCTTTGCTAGCTACTCTACAACGTGTCAAAAACGTTTCGTTTTTCAAATTTCCGTTTGTAAGTTATTTCTCTAATTATACAATCAAATGAATTATGGAAAGTATTACAACAGAAAAGAATTCCATTCAAAGTACCCCACTCAAATGGAGTATTTATTAGTATTTGAAAGAAATAATTTTTCTTACCTGTTATTTTTTGTATAGCATTAGCTGGACAAGATGAACATTGTAGTAGAGCAATGTCATAATATTGATCCGGTGAACATATTGTAACATATCGGAAAGAAAATTGATAAGCTGTATACGTGGTAACTTGAGCAAAAACCACTGATGTTGGAAGATAAAGTAAAAAAAACCATGGAATAGATTTGAATAAAACCATCGTGAGAATTATCGGAAAAAATGAATTAAAGATTGATCAGTTAGGAATCGGCATTTTTCTTTATTGTTGCTTAGCAATAGTCATCACCTATGTTGCACAAAGAAGGCAAACTAAATCTGATTGGTGAAAAATTTTCTCTAATCAGAGAATAATCATATATACAATACAACGTATACAACATGTTTCATCAACTTTATAATAATCATTAAAATAGTAAATGAATGGATGCTCTTATTCCTATTCTCAATAAACTTCAAGACGCATTTAATACTGTCGGTTCTGAGAGTATTCAGTTACCACAAATTGTTGTCGTTGGTTCACAAGTTTGTTGAATAAAACGTTATTGTCTTATTTCATCATACATTTCCATTTGTAGAGTGCTGGTAAAAGTTCAGTGTTAGAATGTATAGTTGGACGAGATTTTCTTCCACGTGGTTCTGGCATTGTAACAAGACGTCCATTAACGCTTCAATTGATTCATACGCCTGTTGAAGACAAAGAAGTTCAATGTCAACGTTTAGAAAGTAAGCTTTGCTCATTTGGATAGTATAAGAGCATTTGAATCTATTTTACAGTCACTGTGCCGAATGAAAATGAATTTGGTATATTTACACATATTAAAAATCGAGTTTATACGGATTTTAATGAAATTCGACTAGAAATTGAAGCGGAAACAGATCGAATCAGTGGGAAAAAGGTTCACTTTTTGTTGCTGTTACGATTATTTTATTTGTTAATTGTTTTTTTCCATACAGAATATTTGTAAGGAACCAATAACATTACAAATTTATTCGCCAAAAGTTGTTACATTGACATTAATTGATTTACCTGGTTTAACAAAAGTATACATTTTTAATTAAACTAGTTTTTCTTGTTACATTGTATCATCTAGATACCTGTTGATGATCAACCAGTTGATATTGAACAACAAGTGCGAAATCTTATCATACATTATATATCAAATCCAAATGCTATCATCCTGGCGATTACACCTGCAAATGTCGATTTTTCAACATCAGAAGCAGTGAAATTTGCTAAAGAAGTTGATCCCGAAGGTTCGTTTTTTCTCATAGATTCTGTAATGCTAAGTTTTTCATTTTAAATATTCATTCGGAATAAGATAAAGCTATTTTTCTTTGATTCATATTCTTTATGAATTGTAGTTTGATTAAAACGATTTACAAGGCGTTTAACGTCATTTAACTAAGCACTGCAATTGTTTTTTGAGAATATATTTTTGCGTGTATTTTGTTGATATAACGAAAACGAGTAATGATTTTTTAATTCATTGACTAAATTGAAGGTGACTATTATTTTTGACCTGTCGAAATATTTTAATCTTAAACAATAGAAGTTTAGTCGTGTTTTTCAGTTGTTATGCGATGAATTGAAGAATCTAGCTAACACGAAGGGATAACATCACTTAGTTTAATTCTAGATAAATGAATACAGTAAACAGGATGCTAATGCGTTTGAATCTATCGGTTTTTACCATCAATATTTGTGCCATTAGATGAAGTTCGATAATAAAGAAATTAGTATTGCAGATTTCAGCTTCCGACACATCAATAGACCAAGACTCTAATAAAGTGAAAAATATGTTTACATTATAGATGCTCCAAAACAGTTTTATTAACGTTCAGCAAATACCAATGTGCACAAGAGAAAACCTGTAGTTGCTATTTCCTAGTCACGAGCTCCAGCTTGAATAGAATATCTGAAAGATAAAACTTTGAAAATCATGAAAATATGCTACAGCTTAATAACAGGCTTTCTGCACATTATACGCAGTTTTATGTGGACGACTGATGAATATCGAATAGAGAGAATGTTATTACCGATGCCAAATTATTAATTCATTTACTTTTCACGCAAAATGTTCTGTACCTTAAAACAGATCATGATTATAATAAACATTCACTTCTCTACAACAAGTAGCTTTTTTTCTCAAAAGATGATTGTGATTAGAGATAATCTTTATGGATGCTACTAGTTTCTAATATTGATATCTTGTAGATACGAAATTATGGATAAGATATAGTCAATCATAACAAAGATAAATATATTTAGGTATAGTTCTATTAACATCTTTGTTTCTATATTTCATAGGACAAAGAACATTAGCTGTTTTAACAAAACTTGATTTAATGGATCGTGGAACGGATGCATACGATGTTCTCTGCGGACGAGTTATTCCAGTTAAATTAGGTATCATTGGTGTTGTAAATCGAAGTCAAGAAGATATTAATAAGAAAAAGGTTTGTTTTTTCAATGTATCATTTTTTCATCATGAAAAAAATGTTTTCAATCACGTTTTTTAGCCAATCGATGAAGCATTACGATATGAATCTGCTTTTCTTCAAAAAACATATCCATCAATTGCTAGTCGTAATGGAACACCATTTCTTGCTAAAACATTAAATCGAGTATATTTTATCAAATTCGTATAAAACAAGTGCAAAAATTTTTATTTCTACAGTTACTCATGTATCATATTCGTGATTGTCTACCGTCATTAAAAGCTCGTATTAATCAAATGGTATCTCATTTTCAAACACTTGTTAATTCATTTGGTGAACCCATTGAAGATAAAGTACATAATCGTTTTTCTTTTGAAATTCATTAATAAAGAAATTCTCATTAGGGTCGCCTACTACTTCAAATTATAACAAAGTTTGCTTCAAATTATTGTGGAACAATTGAGGGCACAGCAAAAAATATTGAAGTTTCAGAATTGTTTGTATTTATAAAACTTAATCAAATGGATTTCTAGTTTTTCCTTACCGTTCAGATGTGGTGGTGCACGAATATGTTATATATTTCATGAAACGTTTGCACGCGCTCTTGAATCAATTAATCCATTGGATAATTTAACTACATTTGATATTCTAACAGCTATAAGAAATGCAAATGTATTATAGAAATCATTTCTTTTATTTATTTAAAACTATTCCTTTACAATTTTTGTTTTATTCAAGGGTTCAAGGCCTGCTTTATTTGTTCCAGAAATTTCGTTCGAATTACTTGTTAAACGTCAAATAAAACGGTTAGAAGATCCAAGTTTACGTTGTGTTGAATTAGTACATGAAGAATTACAAAGAATTATTCAACATTGCGGTGCTCAAGTAAACATTTTATTTAAAGAAGATATAAAGGCGTCTCTGTTTCGAACATTTCACATCAAATCTTGATATCTGTATTTTATTTCATAGTTTTATCCTTCAAATTTTGATTTCTAAATGAAACTTCATGTATGTTATTCTGAATCAGTAATCAAAATTGAGGGTATTCACAAGAATATTAGAGATTTTTACGATTACATTTCTTCCTCGAAAGTTCATACTCGATTCATTTTAAGAATTCATTTTTGACGAACAAAACCGTCGTGAAATTCTTTCCTATTGGTATTAATTCATATCATTTGAATTCCAGGTTCAGACTAGTGTGTTATCTATCATTCTGAGCAAAAATAAAAATGTCATCAGAAAATTCTATTCTGAATAAAAATATTCAAGATACAACAAATAACAAGAGTAAATACTCTGGTTCTTCAGTGAATCACAGTTCTATTTGTTTGTAAAAAAAAAGAATTTTTACATATCTCAATCTACTTTTGATATCAAAACTTGATTCTATTTCCTACACAATCTGTGAAAATGGATTCATTTCATGCTCATAGAAATTCATCACCAACCAAATTGAAATTCAAATATTCGCGACGTGATTCACATTTTTATTGCATTTTATTTCTAGCAAGAATTTATTCGTTTTCCTCGTTTACATGAAAAAATTGTTGATGTTGTTACACAATTGTTACGTCGTCGGTTACCAGAAACAAATCGAATGGTGGAAAATCTTGTTGGAATTGAATTAGCATATGTTAATACCAAGCATCCAGATTTTCATGAAGCTGTATTTATTCATAGAGCTTTAACAGGTGAAGATGTTATTGCCAGTGCTAATCAAACGCAGAATAAACCTAAGCGTGATGGTCGAGTTAGTTTGAACGGATAGTAATATGAAAAACATTTTTATATCGACTTCTGGTAATGCTTTAGAATAACGACCAATCCACATCAGAAAGATCAAGTCCAATAAATCGACCATTAGTTCAACGTAACGATGGCAACGAACTACAGATTAATGGTGTGAAATCTCCAACACTAGTATCAATGGCATCGTTAGGCGATGGAGTAAGTATTGTATTATTGCATTTTGACGTTGATTTTACCCATTTTAAATCAGTTAGGAGAATATTCATTCAGACAGAGAACAGAAGTATTTCATATAAATAAAAAGAAGTTAAAGTCAGTAATTAGAAAATCAGTTTTTCATACTCGAAACGAGAGTCGTCTTTGTTTAATACACAATGAATTTCTTTTTTCAATACATAGATTAAACAATTTTTATTTATAACTTTATCCGATGACATACCATAAGTAAGAAGCTGTAAAATATTAAAATCAGAGTCATCTGCACTTCCCAGTGAAATCAATTTACGCTCATTAAAATATATATATATTATTAGATTTACTTTTCGTTTGTTTTAGGCAGGTATTAATGATCGTAAACTTTCACCACGTGAAAAACGCGATTGTGAAGTAATTGGTATGCAATTTAAACTTGCAAATTTTTCCATTCATATCTCTTATTCTTTATTTTTTTAGAACGGTTAATTCGGTCTTATTTTTTAATTGTGCGAAAAAATATTCAAGATAGCGTACCAAAGGCTGTCATGCACTTTCTTGTTAATTTTGTTAAAGATCAATTACAAAGTGAACTTGTAGCCCTATTATACAAAGCAACAGCTAATGAACATGACGAATTACTTAACGAATCAAGTCATATTGCACAACGACGTAAAGATGCACAAGAAATGCTTGAAGTAATTACGAATAGTTTTTTTTTTGTTTCAATAAAAGTGATTTTATACTTTCTAGGCATTACAAAAAGCAAATCAAATTATATGTGAAGTGCGAGAAGCTCATCTCTGGTGAAACTAATAGACCATATTGACGATTAAAAATAAACTTCCCATTAGATATTTATTTTTTTTTGCGTGTGCATGTAGTATGTCAATATCTTTTGTTGTATTCGAATAAAATCTGTATCCTTTTGATATTTAAAACAAGCAAATATAAACCAGAAAAGTAATAAATAATTTGAAATTTCAACTGAAACAAGATTTTTGCAAAAAAGAAAAAAAAACATCAAATGAATATAAAACACTAATTCACTAAAATCAGGACAATTATATAGGATCATAATAGCAAGAATTGTTTTATATATTGAATATGAAAGGTAATTTTCATAGTAAAGAAATAATCATCATTTGGAAAAGAAACATATTAAATGTCTCGTATAGTGTGAATATTTTTGGATTAAGGTATGCTACCAAAGTAAAGATGCGTGGTTATGGTAGGAGCTGTGAAATGTACTTCTCTTCAATCATACTAAAGCTCCACAATCGGCTCGGAGATGATTGACTGAATTTTACAACGAGAAGCTTGCAATCACATGTCCCTTGATGGAAACCATACAAACAATAGTTGCTCGATGCTTTGCGAGTTTTTTTCTCATTGTTGCACAGTCGCAAATATTTTTTGCATATGTTTCTCTCTCCGTATGAGTGCTTCAAGTAAGAAAGAATGGAATCGAAAAATGTAAACTACAGCAGAGCATTAATTAGCAATCGCTTCTCTATCGTCGGTTTTCAATGTCGAATTCATGAAAAGCCTATTCCGTGACAAAATATCGATGCAAATCATAGTTTGCCACCAAGTGACGATACTGCTGAAACTCATTTTTTTGCTGAAATTTATTACTTCAACGAATTTCGTCTATTATATCAAAAATTTATTGATTAAGATGGCATTTCAGTACACCTATAGCGTGTCCTGTATAGAAAATCGATTAATAGATGTTCATATTTGAAGTATATTATTCTATAGAGTATTAAGTTGTTCTCGAATAAACGTGAAATTTTTACGGAAGTTTCTATAATTCTAAGATCGTTTGTTTGCTCTAGATTTTGAATTGATAATCTAATTTCTTCTATATATTGCTCGCTCGATTGGATTCGATTATTGTTGCCTTGCATCAATACTTGTATCTTGACAGTTTCAATAAATCAACTATTTTTACATCCACTTACATGCGCTGTACTGTCTCAACCAAAGTAAAATTATTATTCCTTAGTTTATTGCTCATTTTGATCTGGCAAACAAGCCTATTCTACTGTGAAAATCGGTGTCCCATTCATGAAAATGTTGCTCCTATCATTATTGAAACATCTCTCAGCTCAACACAACTTTATTCCACTACTCGTTCCAACTTGTCGTCTTCTCCCTCTACATCAAGTCCTGCATTTATGCTGACTTCAAAGATTTCAAAATCCAAGATTATTCACGCTGCCGTAGTCTTATCACTTTCTAAACAGACATCTCATATCGCCGAATTTCATCTACTCTATGAATCATGGCGCTTCCTGCAAATATTTGCTCCACTTTCAGAGCAAGTGATTGTCGATTTAATTGTATTCTGTGAAATGCCTAGTTGTTATCAATTACCTTTTACATGTATACCAATTTCATACGGTCACAAATTGGATTCGATTCCGAGATGTTTTTATGAAAAACTAGAACCACGAATTGTCTGGAATTGGAAAGATTATCTTTACATGACATCGATTGCTTTTATGTTGACGCCTCAATATCAACGAGCCACACAAAATTATCGGTGGATATTGCGAGTTGATCAAGATGCTGTACTCAGTCCTGCTCTACTGATGGGTCTAGCTCGGAAACATCCAGTCAAACTACTCGATATGCAATTTGGAGGGATTGGTCATGGAACTGAGTTTACAAACAATCGATTACGTAAAATTGCTCAAAAACTTGGTTACACACATGTTGGAATACATAATCTTTGTTCGACCTGGTTAGTTAATCCACAAGATTCAATCCGTATTGCCAATTTGACTACACATATTGGAAGATATTTGCTTCAAAATGAATTCGGTCGACATGTTACCGGTATTGTCTAGACAGAAACGCCCAGATACACTGCTAGTTTTCAGTTGTGTAAGAGAGAATTTATAGCTTATGGTTATCTCATCAATCGTGAGTTTGAGTATTTAGAATAGTGTAGAAAGTCTCCATGGAATCGAAAAGGTAAAACAAAATGTCGAAGATTTCGCTAAATATAAGTTTTATCAAGAAAAATTCATTTTGAACTTCATTTTCTAGGCATCGAAGACTTGCCGGCTATTGGCGAATGGCCGAAATGGTGGCGTGGTGTCACATCTTTATATGCCGGTGAAATAGCAATCAATCATATATATTCATCAACGTTGAGTCATCAACATGGATCCACCACATTAGATCATTCAGCAGATTCGCAAAGTTCTCTGTGGAATGCTTGGCATATTCATTGTTTACACAATCCCACGTATTTTGCGAAATTTCAACATCGAATTGATCTCTTTTTTTTCGTTCACTACTTTCAAGCTAGTCGAATTCGAACTATTAAGAAATACTATTCTGTTGAGCTCATAATTAAACGAATAATCAACGAATTCGAAGATATGTACATCAGAAATGAAAATATTCAAAGAACGGTTACGGTTCGAGACTATGTAACCGTCTTAGCCTGGCGAAAAGCGTATGCAGCAACTGGTGCTATCAACTTGTAATATTTGCAAAAATAGCCGAATTCAAAACCTTGCTAATATATATCAATCGAATAATTACAAACACTTTTATTCGATAGCTTAGCTTTCTACGAGCTTATTCTTTTTCATACCGATCACATCCGTGTAGAACGGTAAAAAAAATGAATACTTTTCTCATGATACTTGTATGATTCGACTATATTACATACATTCAAAATGCTCGACGAGTCTTCATTTCTTTTTTTACATTGAGCAATCGTCACGATAGAATAAAAATAGACAAAAACGAGTTTATTCTTGTCTAAGACAATGTTTCGTCAAATAATAGTTACCTACTGAATTTATTAATTTGATGAAATATATTATTTGGCGATCGTTAATTATCGGATCGAATTGAGGGCTGGAAAGTGTTCAATGTACCTACGAAATTGTGTACGTTTCATTTGAACAATGAAGCTTTGTAACTTCTATGCTTGTATAATAGAGTATGAAAAAGTTATCCATGATTACACTCTTGTTCAACTTTCCAACTTTTGTCATAAACAAAAATATAATGATTGATATCAAGTTCAAACATGGTAATATCTTGAAAAAGATGCAAAAACAAAGGAATAAATAATTAAATTACACGGAACTAACTGCACTGGCTCCTATTTGAGTTTTTATCTTCGACTATTTTCTTCACTTTTGAATGACAATAGCAACAAATGATTCTTTGTAACATGATCTATTACGAAGAAATGAGTAAACGGACGAGAAAATGTAAATGGCGAAACCTATTTGTTAATTAAGCAAGATGCGTTTACATGTTCAAATAATAAGCACAAGCAACTAGTCAATATATGTAAATGAGAAGACATGAAAGAAAATATCAGTAGAACATGAGAAGTGGACATGTTATAATGGATTATATACGGCAGTATTACGGTGCTCGATTCCGCATCACTCAAATTAATGATTTGTGCATAAGTGAAATTTAAAACACGAAATCTCCGATAATGAATGCTTGCGTAAAATCAAAAATTGAATCTAGACTTCTCAATTGATGCATGGATTTGGCTCTAGATGTTCGGTTCATACGTAAATTTATATATGCTGATCTTTTAATTGGGCTCAGTTTATTCCAACAACGACATATTCATTGGTATGATGGATTTCTTTAAAATTTCAACACGATTATCATGCAGATTGTCGTTGAACCCTTTGGTGAAATTGTGATCCTTGCATATCACATTCTTGAGAGTAGCGTATTTCTAGTGATCCTCTTGCTTTGATAAATTCTCATGATCACTGTTGTTGATACTCTCCAGAAAAATGTACAAATACACAAAATCTTCTACAAATAATACTGCTCAAGATCAGAAATACATGATTTTCATTGGACAAAAATGCTAGATTTTAAGTGTAGTCTTTTTCTTGATAGTAAAAGAACTGTCTGACTCATGTGTAAGCAGCATGTTATTGCGCCATCCCGTCTCATTTTCAACATATGAATGCGTTACACATAACAGAAAAAAATGATGTCAAGGATTCATCGTTACTGAATCAACTTAAAATTTACTAAATTTAAGCAATAACTCAACTAAATATTACGATATGCTGAAAAGCCATATCCGCTACAAAAGCAAGTAATACTAATAAAGTATTACGAACTTTTTAATGTAACTGTTAAGAACATTTTGACTTTATAGTAGGAAAGGATCTTCATGCTCCTAGTTGTTTCTTTATATTTACAGAAGAACGAAAGACATTTTTCAGTTGTTTTATCTTATTCCTTTTCGTCTTGCACGACGACTAAAAATATATCTTCTACATTTTCTTCTGCTTGAGTTTAAAAGAAAGATTTTAAAATCACTAACAAGTCATATTGTTCGTCGCTTTTTTTAACTTTGCTAATAAAAATTAGATTGAACGCTTTTGTATTTCTGCATTATAGGTGTTCATAGAAATTACACGTTTGTGCTTACAGTTAAGAGTATGCTCCTGTATTTGTATGATGGATTGATGAAATGTAACACATTTTTATTTTAGTTTTTATTTAGTTTATAATAAAGTCATCCATGGATTATGAACAACATAGCTAACTTACTTTTGTTAGTTAGTATTGCATTTGAATCTTTGCAAAAATGTATTGTTTCCCAAACAATAATTTTTGTGAGAAGAACAGTATATTTGCTGGAGTGACGCAGAAAAATTGAACCATTTAATTTCTCTTTTCAAGCTGTTTACCATTTTACGAGCGTAATTATTTCATTTGAATGTTAAAAACTTCGGGAACGGTTTTAAACTGAAATTTCTCACAGACAAGAAATTTTACTAGCAAGCTGTGCTTTAGCATAAGAATCCATAGATCTATTGTAGTAGCTAACATTAAATTACGTGTAACGATAAATCACTTCTTTTTCTTTAGAAATCTTCGTTAAAATCTCAAATGAAACTGTGATGTAGAAAACTATATTACCGCGATTGATGATTCATAAATCAGTGCATTTTTTTGCAATTAGCGTTACTCGAAATTTAAATTAAGATCTTTTTCATGCTGTCGTACTTCACTTTAAAATATTTTTTATTTATTCGTCAACATTTTTCTAACAAATTATTTTCGTGCATTAGGGCATTATTCGTCTTTTCTAACGAATTAAATAATATGGTTTGTTACAATAAACGGAAACTATATCATCTCGAATAATAAACCGCAAAATCTATTGATTCAAGTTCTGCACATATTTCTAGAATTGATCATACAAACTATGAAATGGATCTATAAGAATCTAGACTTCATATTCGTAATTTGTAGTAAATAGAACTCATTTTTACACATTCAATGAAATAAGCAATATTGATTTTCTTATATCGTGCATAGTAGAGAAAAAAATAAAAATATTTATTAGTCTCCACAAGAGCATTAAGCATTAGACAATTTTTAAGATTTTTACATAGATCTAGCCTATTGTATCTATAGACAAAGAGCGACTTTAAACTATGTTTGTAATGACGCCTGGTAATAGTCGAAATATATTTTATCACTTAACCAGCATCTAGCATTTTTGTCTCCTTTTAATTTAATTTTGTTTTTTTTAATGTCTGTAAATCATACAGATAAAATTGTTATCTAAGATTTAGTTTCTATTTTTTAAAGGAACTAACTCCTATTGTTTTGAAAGAGAATATGGTGTGTTCAAATGCTCGATCCAATGCTCTGCCATCAAATATTGAATATATTAAAGTACTTCCACGCCATACAAAATTCACCCTTAATTTTAAATACACTTCTTCGTATATGACTAACTATACAAATGAGCTAATGATGAATCACATAGATTGAAATACATATTTTGTCCTCAATGCACTTTGCCAACCTTGAGATTTTTATTAATTAACATCGAATGATCAATACGATGAGTATAATACTGTGATTGACGATGCATAGAAAATTGCGTATTGCCTATTTCATCTTATTTCTTTTTTGATACTGTCATACGACACCTCTATTATTTCTGATCATATACATTTTGATTGTAAAATAGACATAACAGACGACAAAAATTCTATTATTAACGACTAGTTATTACTAACGCATAACTCTTGACACAAGTAACAATGGATCATAATAAAAAATCTTCCACAACAGAAAAACACGGGACCACCGCAGGTGCATCTTCAAAACCTGAAAAAAACAATCAAAAAAAGGACGAAAATGTTTTCTCCAAAGCGGTACATCAAATTGAAGAGAAAGTACATGATCTTACAGATGGTGTAAAAGAAAAAGCACATCATTTAACACATATGGATGATGCGCAAAAAGATAAGAATACTAAGAAAACAAAAGACAATGAAACCATCATCCAAACCTTCGAACGTTGCTAAGAAAGTATCTAGTGATGGCAAAGACGAAAACTTGTCAAAGCCACCAGCTCCGCCATCATCTCCTGCAGGTATTGATACAATTAGAAATTAAACTTCCTTTTTTTAGCAAAAATATTTATTTCTTGTCTGAAGGCACAGATAGAGACCAAACTCTGTGCAGCTATTCACAATCTAGTTTCGAGAATGGAATTAAGTTTCCTTAAATTTGTCTTTATTTCTAGAGCCCCAGTCGGGTCATGAAGTCAACGATGCTAATCCTGAGCATTCTTCTAGTAAGATATTTTTATAATCGGTCTATTTTTAGTATGATCTTTCTTTAGAACCAGCTAGTAACGAAGCTCAGAGTGCAAAATCTGTTGATCCACCAATGAGTAGTGAGTCTAAGCAAACAACTAATAAACCAAATAGTGTGCCGAGTAATGCTATGGAGTCTAATCCATCACCGACAGAAGACAACTCAAATAATAAAGTGCATATTTCATTTAATGGTTTGAAAATTTATCATTCAATTTAGTTTTATAATTTTTCTTCGCTCATTATATTTCAGGCGTCGAAACTGTCGATGATTTACTTGAGCGAATCGATGAAGCTGTTGAAAATGCAAAAGTTGTTGTTGATACTCGCAAAAACAAATCTGCTTCTAATGGAAAAAAAGAAGAAACTTCTAATACAAATGATATTGAGAAGAAAACTGAAGTGGAGACAGAAAAAGAACCAATTCATATAACGTACAATGATGTACATCAGTTAAAAGATCTTTTAGCTCTAGTCAATAATCAACCAGGTCATCGAAAAGTTGTACTTGAAGGTGTACCTAAAAAAACGAACGTTATCACTTTAACAAAAACTGATAATTCTTCAACTGCCAAATTTCCTGAAACAACAAAGAACGAACCAGAAGATGTATCTACAAAAGAAAAGTCAGTGGAAAATGGGTCATGCTCAGTGGATAAATCTTCATCCAAATCCGATTTAATCCATATTAATATTGAAAATATTGAAAACGTTAATGATCTATTAAATCGTATTGATGATGCTGTTGAAAATATTCGAGTAGTGATAGATACAGAATCTCCAACCGACAAAACACCAGGTTCTTGTGTAACACTTTATTATTTATTGTTAACTTATTTTGTCTTATTTTACATAGACGTATCAAAATCAAATGACAAGAGTCAAAGTGAAAGAAACGCTGACAAAAAAGGAACAATTTACAAGAAAGAAATAGCAGCTGCTATGAAATTTCAAAAACCAAACCTTGAAATCGAACCAGTAGATAATCAAGAAATAAAAAAGACCTTCTAAATACGGCCAATTTGTCATGTTGTTCTCGTCTAACCTTAATAAACTTTGAACAATTGATCTCTTGTTTTTGGAGAACAAAAATCGATGTTTTATTTACGCTTGGTGTTCATAAAAGAACTACAATTTAATCAGAATCATTTCTCCAATAAAGTTTATACAAGAAAACTGTGGTGAACAGTCTATATTAAATACACAAGATCTATAATACAGTCATACTGTCTGATGATCGAAATGATTAGTATTTTTTTAATAAAAAATAGAAGAATATAAAGCTAAATTAAAAAATTTATTAAAAATCATCGATTTCGAACTATTGTGCCTCATTATTTATGAGCGATATGCAAATGCAGTGCTTTTCTCATATCAGAGTAGAATCACATTTTACTGCCGCAAGTGCCATAGCGACATCTGTAATATATGGTGTACTTTCGTTAGTAACCATGTCCATTGATAAGAAACCTAGAGAACAAACTTCTTCAAGCTTAGTCATCAATCCATCCATCAATGCAAAATATCATGAAAAATATTCCTATTAATGATTTATAACAAGAATTTTAATTTTAAAAGAAAATGACTGAATAACAGAAAGATTTATTTTGTAAAATGAAATATTAAATTTATATCTCATATCTAGATAAATTCAAATGTCAAAGCGTTTCTTTGAAGGTGCTCAGCATGCAGCTCGTTATGCATTAAATCGACCAACATATCCACCAGAGTTAATGAAAAAAATCATGGATTTTCTTGGCACGAAGGTTTTATATTAGTAAAGCAATTTGACTATGAAAACTATTTATTTATATTTTTTCTCAGTATACAGGCAAGTACGATTATGCGGTTGATATTGGCTGTGGTAGTGGACAAAGTACTGAAATTTTATCACCTTATTTTGAAAAAGTTTATGGTAATTCTGTTTGATTTTTCTTATAATTTTCTTATGAAAACAATATCATTCAAGGTTACGATGTGAGTGAAAATCAAATAAAAGAAGCAAGAACAAGAAATACGATATCAAATATTGAGTACAAGTAAAATCAATATAATCCTATTGTTTCCTGTTCTCTAACCATCCATATTTATTTTAAGAGTCAGTACTAAAAATGTCATACCACATGCCGATGAATCGCTATGTTTAATTACGGTTGCACAGGTGAATCTTTTTTGTTTTAGTTTCATAAAAATTTATTTGATTGACAATCTTTATAGGCAGCACATTGGTTTGATTTACAACAGTTTTATACCGAAGCAAATCGTACTCTTAAAGGAATGGGCGTATTAGCTATCTATGGTTATGGATTAGTGAAATTTGAGGATGAACATGCTTCAGAACTCGATAAGATTTTTCAAAATGTACATTCAAAAATTAACTAACAAAATGCTATTTATTTGTTAAACAAAGTCTATATTTAGTTCTACGACAAACTAAAACCCTATTTTCCACCAGATCGAATTCATATTGACAACAAATATGCTGGTATTATTTTACCGTATGAAGAAAAAATTCGGTATGAAAAAAACATGTTTTGATTATTAACTATGTTAAAATCCATTGTCTATTAGAGATGATAGTGTAAAAATAAAATATGAATGGAATCTTGATCGTTTTTTAGCTTATGTTTCAACATGGTCAGGATATGTTCATTATATGGAAAAATATCCAGATAGAGATATTTTGTTTGACTTACGACATGAGTAAGATAAATTATTTTAAAAGACGTTACTTTCATGTTTCTCATACTTTAGTTTGTTTAAAGCAATGAAAACAGATAATGAAAATGAACTGATGAGACTTTATTTTGAAACTTTCCTTTTACTTGGTCGTAAAAAAAAATGAATTAACTAATTTAAACATCATTTATTCAATTATGCAATAGCCTTTTTCTGTTCTCCGTTTATTTTAGATAAAAAATATGCTCACATATGAAAACATAACCATTGGTCAACGTGTTGACGTTTTTCATCATGATCAAATACTTTATGGAACCGTTCTCTATAAAGGTCCTATTATAGGACATCGTGGAATATGGCTTGGAATTGATTTAAGTACTCCAGATGGTGATAATGATGGAACTTTGAAGGGACGTGTTTATTTTCGAGCTCCACTTAATTATGGAATATTTACGACCATTGATAATGTACGTTTGCCAGAGGGTTTTAAACGAAAGTAAATGAAAAATAAATGAATTTTTTTGAAAATTTAAATTTTCTTGATAGACGACGATCAATTTATCGAACTGTGAATAAAAAAAGTATTGTTGAAGAAGAATTATTTGGTAATACAGGTAAGAAACAATGACTTACATATATATATATATTGATTGTATAGATTTCATTGATTAGATCCCGTTAGCGTACCTGCTCCATCTTCTAATGCAAGTATTTCTAATACTAAAGTAAAATTTTCACTAAAAAACCCACATGAACGTTCACAATCAAGTCTTTTTCCTGAAAATGAAACACGATATCCATTATCACAAACATTAGCCAAAACATACGATGACAAAATTAGAAAGAAACGTGAACAAGACCGTAGAATGTCTACTAGTCAAATCGATACAACGTCTGTATTTATTTTTAAAACAATATTAAATGAAATATGTTTTCTTTCTTTTCTTTTCGCTTAATTAGTGAATTTACATTTGCGCCTTCACCATCGATTCCACCAATTTTCATGCCACCAAGTGAAGTTCACCGTGCTAAACGAACAGGTTTTTTAGGCATGAGTATACCTCGCTATACAGTTGTCCATGATCAACATGATTTTCTTGAATGACTGAACCATTTTTATGTAATTTTTCTAATGCCGTCCGTTTCTTTCTGTTTTTATACTATCAATTTTAACTTCTCACATAATATCGTATGGGTTTTGTATGTTTATTGTAACGTGATATAAAATTAAAATATTTATCTCTGATTAATTGAATCAATGTTTACTAGAAAAAAAAGGAATTTTATTTCATGAGCAACTTTTAAAAGTTTGAAAATCAAATGACATACTTAAGTAATGGTGAATATTTTCCCTCTTTTATGAGTCTCGGTGATTTCAATAATGCCACTCGGTTAGATATTGCTGTTATTTATCAGTATCCAAAGAGTGTTGGCATTCTTTTAGAACATGGTAAGGGTACATCTAACAGTATTGTAACATTATTAACTGGCGCTGACTCTAATCCAGATTATCTTAGTATAAGCGATTTTAACAATGACGATCGACTGGATATTGCCATTACGAATATCGGTGAAAATAACTTCGATATTTTTCTTGAATATGGCAATGGAACTTTTACAGCTCAAATAATATTGCGTACTAATGAAGATGCTTCTCTATCTGCAATCGTTACTAGCGATTTCAATAACGATGGTTTTAAAGACATTGGTGTTACTATATTGAACAATAGTGTAACAATCTATCCTAGAAATTACAAGCCTTCGAATAGAATAAGCCTCAAAATCATCATCTTGTTAGTTTCTCAGTCATACTCTTATCTATTTCTCTTTCTATTTTACACTACGCAGCAGTAATATGGATTGTGTCCTTGGCTCGCGCTTAGTCCCAGGCTGAGTACGCAACATCACCGTTGTAATATTATTCCCACCATCGGGTTGGTGGACTTCAGCATAGCACCAATACGTACTCCTTATCTTGTACACTTTCTCAAGGCCATTATATGCTAGAAAATAGTATCCCATGTCGCAAATTTTCTGTCACTACCGGCGGTAGCGCTGATAAGCTCCGGTCGCACCTAAAAAGGCTTCCAGAAACCCCTTTTTTGTCAAATCCTTATTTATTTCGGAAAAAGAATTCGAATTAATCGAAAACAAAACTACTTTAGAATATATTTTGCGAATTATTATTTTTACAGCGGCATCTTTAATAAAATATCCCATATCGATCGGGCACGCTGGCGACACGTACAGAATGACACATGAAGTTCCGTCACACTTTGGCACTGTGTCATGATGTGTCGATACATGTACGACCGTCGTGTCGCAAACATGCAAGGGGGGGACAGCAGAATCCAGTCCCTTGGATTCATGGATTCTGCTGTGTTCCCCTTGAGTACAGGCCTTCCTGGGTCTTACTGGTTATTACCGACGTTTTATCCAAAACTACGCCAAAATTGCGGAACCGCTTCTGAAACTACTACGATCCAATAACTTCCCATCTTCCGGCTCTCGTCTTGCCTGGAACGATGATTGTACGGCAGCATTCCAAACGTTGAAACAACACCTCATGTTAAACCCAATTATGCACATACCAAATTTTTCTTATCCCTTCATCCTTGAACTCGACGCATGTGGATACGGTATAGGATGCATTCTCACACAGGAATGCGATAAAAAGAAATATGTCATCGCATAGGTAAGTCGCACTCTATGTTCCACTGAACGAAATTACACTGCTGTGGAACATGAAGCTCTAGCTATTGTATGGGCAACCAAACACTTTCGGCAATATCCCGAAGGGGGTTCAGTGATCGTCCGCTCTGATTTCAAAGCTCGCGAATGACTAAAAAATGTTCGAGATCCAACAGGCCGCCTCGCACGATGGTCTATGAAACTATCTCCATACAACATTGTCATACAACATCGACCAGGCACAAGTATCCCAAAACGGCGATTTTATGTCTCGATATTCAATACAGACCAATACTCCCATCTCTCAAAAGCTGAATTCATTAGAATCAAGCCTCAACATCTTAGAAGATGCCAACGTTCTCGACGATATTCGTTCAGCACAACACAAGGCTGTCCGCCTATAACATATCATCCAATCTCTTTCAACGCAACCTCCTCCCCAGCCCACCACTAAACATTCTCCATAGATTGTAATCAACACTATTCTCTACAAAATCCGCCATTTCAATTCTTATACTGACCAGCGATTGCTCCGGCTCCAAACATATCCTTGTTATCCCCCAAACGTTACAAACCGCAATCCTTAAATGGGCACATGATCATTCCACCGCCGGTTATGCTGGACGTATCAAGGCGTTATATCGTCTCTCGTCGCGGGTTTACTGACCCTCCATGCGCAAAGATGTGTTCAACTATGTTCAATCTTGCTTATCATGTCAACAATTCAAACACACCAACGCTCCAACAGCAAACCCTATACAGCTACACACCATATCTCAACCATGGCGTACTATAGGTATCAATATCATGGAACTATTCCCTACAACTTCTCGACAAAAACGTTTTCTTTTAGTGATCGTCGACTACTTCACACGGTGGGTAGAATTATTTGCGTTAAGACAAGCTACGGCTACCCATATCGCTAACATACTCTTCAACGAGATAATCTGTCGGTACGGTGTCCCACTCTATATTTTATCTGACAATGGTCCCCAATTTATTTCCCATCTATTTAATGAGATATGCGCGAATATGGATATTAACCGTAAATTCACGGCCAATTATCAGCCACAAACCAATATGTCCGAACATGTCAACCGGACACTTAAAGCACAAATCGATATCTATGCTCAACGTCGCCCCGGTCTATGGGACAAAGAACTGCAGAAACTGGCCTTCACAATTCGCACGCCTGCCAAGGACACTACGAGTGATACATCCCCATATCTCAATCTAGGCTGCGATCCCGTAATACCATTGGACCTCATCATCAACCAACCAGTTCCTGATTTTCCTTCTAATACGCCTGAATACAAGTTCATTCAACAATACCGAACTCAATTAGCACATGATCGGCAAGTAACATATTATTTCGTTCGTGAGCACTGAAATTCACAAGCTTAGTCAAAAAGCTGCGTACGATACACATACGATAAATCGTCATTTCCATATGGGCGACCTTGTATAGATACAAATACCGACACCTAAAATTGATAATACGAATATCACCCATAAATTACGTTCCACGTTTCAAGGGCCATGCCGTCCCCTCGAACAACTATCCCTGTCCACTTTTATCGCCATGCGCATCAGTGATCACGCCAACATTGGCTCCACCAATATCGACCACATGAGGGTGTGAGTGTGGATGAATGAAGTGATCATTTACACCCACACCCTTACTCATCTGGATATCAGTATATACTGTGTAAATAAAAGAAAAAGAAAACTTTTTTTCTTGGCAACCAATCGAAGATACGGTTGGCATGAATGGCTTCATCTTAATAGTTACTCCCGTAGGGAAGAAGTGAAAAGAAAAAAATTCAAAAGTTACTCATTAATGCTTAAGGAGTGGTGCACTGTTTCTACTCATTTTCTTCTCATGCCGAAATCCACACCGATGCAAAAGTAAAATATATGATCAAATTTTGAGAAAAAAAATGTTATTCTCGTCAAAACAGGCATTTCATCAGTAGCTTTGTGTTAGTATCCAACTTTGTTAATGACAGCCGTTAAATGCTAAGCAAAACATCAGCACTGCTCGCTGAACCACTGCCACAATTATATATCCAATAGGAAATATTGTACGTATCCCCGACGTTGGTTGGAAACGTCTGACTAAGATAATCTGCATAGGTCACAGCCCCATCACAATAGCAATAGGAGCCACTATGAGCCAAAAATGTAACACCACCCCAATTTAAATTGGCTGAATTTGACAAAATGAAAGCAGCGGCACTTGCACCGTATGGATTGCAATAGATCCATGGCGATGAGAGCGAGCCTGTTTCAAAGCCTCCATTGACAATCAGCTGCACACTTGGTGCATTAACGTTGACCACAGATACGTCATCGAGCAGAAACAAACCAATATCTTCTCGAAAAGCGAATGAAATGCGAGTTGCAGTGGCAATTGCTACATATGTATATGTATATTGGGCGTACGGAATTACATTAGCACAATTATCGCAATGATAGAGGATACTGACGCCTGTCCAGTTAGATGTGCAGTCATTGGATGTGATCGCTGAAATATGAAAAATAGAAAAAATATTGTTTTGCTACTCAAAGTTTACTCACTGACAGTGGTCGACGGCTGCGTGGTGGTAGTACCTAAACATAATAACATAATAATTAGATAGCGATCACTAGATTAGATTCATATCCAAATAATTGGTGTCCGTAATTAGATTTAACACATGGATCAATTTTTTTTGTAAATTTTTCCTATAGGACGCAAGATTTTCAACAAAATTATATGTTCGCATTTCAATCTAAGTCTTTGTCTAAGCGAAGACTTTGATTAAAATAGTTTGTAGTTCGAATCATGGAGGCAAAGTTTTAAGTAGAGATTCAAAAGTGAAAAATCTAGGTTCCTAACTTGTTATTCAACCATATTGCTCCACTTGATTATGGCAGCTTTTATTTGAAGGATCCCTCCAGAAATCAAGGATCTACATATTAGCCATAGTTTGAGACAAACATCAATACACTCCGAGTTGTATGAGCCAAATTATAGCTCACCGAAAAAGACTAGAAAAACAGATTGTATGTCCAACTCTTTGCGTGAAAGCAAATACTTTTTTCTAGGTTTGGCAAACTGAAAAGACTATCATCATTTCCAGGATTAATTTTCTGTAACATTAATAATGGAGTTTCTTTGTAAATGCGATACTGAGAAAGAGTTCTGCCTTGACGCTAAAACTTATTTACTGAAAAATCATGCAGACGGAAATTCTGCCATTAGGATTTTTGGTAACTACTTGCGTGGATAAATCCTTTCAAATGTTTTTATAAACCAATTGAACCTAACGAATAAAAATAGTCTTCACTCAAAAAGAGACGTAGCATTTGGAAAGGTTCTCTCATCGGCCAGTTTGTGTAACGTTATATGCGGAGAGCGTCCAAATTTCATCCGGGGGTGTAACGCTCCCGTTCGAGTGTAACCTATACATAATATTTGGTCTTATGGTGCCATTTATTCTCATCATACCTATTGCCTTTATATTTGTCTTTATCTATCATCCTTGTTCGTTCCCTCAAATGGTTGAGTATTTAAACGTGTGCTTTATATGTAATTGATGCGATCTATGATTTGAAGAATTAAATAAAGTGCAATACCGTCAGCACAAGCATCTCTTCTATATAAAATCGTCACAGTCTGAAACTCATTTAGCTCAAAATATTTACAGCATGATAGGGAAATGATCGGGAAATTCTCTATTTCGTTGTCCATATCATTATTAGATTCTGTTTTTTGTTTCTGAATGCTGGAAGAAAAAAGTAACTTTAAAATATCAAATTTTCTGGTAGCTCACTTGTAGTGGTAGCAGTTGTAACACTGGTGGATGTTGCTGTTGTAATTGCTGTTCACCTCAAGAATAGCAATAATCAGTAATACAACGAAAGAAACATTCATACTTGTCGCTTTATTGCTTGTGTTCAGAAGAACAATCAACGTTACTAGTCCAGCGAGTAGCAAAGCCAATAAGACACTCGATACGATACAACAACAGAATGAACAACATGGGCACCAACCGCCACATAGTCGCCGAACATATTTTCGACTTGTGCACGTTTCCGTGTCGTTTAAATCATGGAAATTTCCTCGCTTGCTGTTTATGAGAAGTGAGATGCCAGAAGTGGACCTCGACGCTTGTGAAATTGAAGATTCAGCACTAAACTTGGACAAATGCGTTTCATTTGTCACAGCCTTGCTTGTCTCAACATCAGTCAGTGGTATTATCGTCTAAGAAAGACAACAAACGTTCTTTACTTCGGATATAACAAAAAATTATAATCTGACTTTATTCGATTGAATACGAGACAATAGTGATGAAGTACGACTTGAAACCTATGGATGATTGAAGAAGCAATGCAATGCAATTGCATAAGAAAATGTTAATAGTACTTTGGGTTGAGTAATCACACGAGTTGTTGGCAGTTGAGATACAGGAGCTGACTGCTGTAGACTACTATGGGTTGGCCGCTCATGTTGCTTGTCAACCAGCATCGTCATCTGTAGAGGCTTAGATACACTGAGCACTGATATTGTTTTCTGTGATCTTTCTACTGGTTTTCTTGGTTGCAGTAAGACCCGGCCAATATTAGGTTTTATTTGTAAACTAACATTGATATGTTTTACACTCGAAACCTTCCTAATCTCGGACTTTGCCCGTTTTGGAATAAATGCTTTGATTTGCCTGACGGGAACCACCTTCACCTCGGATACAACCTATGAACAGGGTGTGAATCAATATATTGACGAAAACGAAGAGAATCAATCTACTATACACACGTTTTGATGCTGTTTGTAACAGTGGTCTGGCGTAGATTTCTTGCCAGTAGTGACATGCAACGTTGATGAGTGCTGCATTTTATTACGTAGCTGGATGACTGACTGTTTTTGCATTGCTGAATGCAGCAGTCTTCTTATATGCCATATTTTTTAATTATTTATTCGATTCAAATGGTATGGAAATCCAAATGAATTGATACTTTAATGGTTTTATCTTATTCTCCCGTCGGATCGATTTTTTCTTCTTTCTTTTGTTGACAGAGCATATATCTACACTCAATATTTTTTATTTGAATTAGTTCAGAATTACGAATAATATATTTTTCTATCGGGCGAATTTTCGATAAAATTATATTGTTCTCTATTTCATGGCAATTATGCATATTTTTGAAGAATGCAGTGAGTGTAATTTTAAGAATGACATTTTTGCGACTTCCTCTTCTCCATTACAAACAATAGCAACCCCATTATTGATTACATAAAAATAATATTAAGTTAAAGCAAGGCAAAAAAAATACTAACAGTGTGAAAGAAAAAAGACCCCAGAAAATGGGATGTGGATGTGTCAAGTTGCCAGGATATCGATATTTCATACCAGCAACGAGAATTTTCAAATGACACTTGTTATGAATCAACAAAATTCCGAGAGAATTGCGCGAAACAAAATTCATTCGATACTGTTGCTTGAAAGTAATGATAGAATTTGTTTACACGAAGAAGTCTTGGGATTTTGAATAGTGTTTTGATTCTATCGTTGGTTGCAATTTTTATTGGCACCTGATTGAATGCAAAGAGTCGAGTACTGCGAGTTTCAAAATTTTGCATTGCTATTCAGGATTGAACGGGTTGCTAGGATGATTGCATTGGTTCGATGGGTAATTGTGCAATGGTAAGGTAAAATTATGTAGTATGACAGATTATTGAATAGATAAGTTCAAGTCACATACTTTTGTTTTGTATTTGCTGAAGAAATGTTTCAATGGAGTGTCTTAGATGTAATGATCACTTGTTTGGATTCGTCATGTGTAAGGATGCAAGAAGTTCGAAGAAAAAAATATCCAAAATCAAAATGTTTTTTGTGAACGGTTATGATAGTGTATGATTCGAGGAGTCCATTTTTTTGCTCTTATTATTTCGTTGATGAAAGTAACGAAAGAGAAAAAGAAAATATGACAAAGAAACATGACTAACATAGAAAAAAAACATAGTGTCTTGTACATTGATTTGTCGATCTTTGATGATCCATGTGACATAAATCGCTGCGATTTTTGTGATTTTGCAAAAAAAACTGACGTAAAATCGTGATTGATCGTATTTCACTAAAAAAATTGGTGATTATACCATCTTTTATCGAGATTATAGAGGCAGAGCTGATTTTCAAAAATTGGCGATAAATCAGAACGATAAAATCATCGATTTCGATTATCGATTATGGACTATGAAGTAGCTCAAGAAATATTTCAGTCTTCATCCAAATGAGATCCAAATATAATTTCTTCGCAGTTAACTAGTATATTAAGGAGATTTGAAATCAAAAGAAAGCTTTCATTTCTACATGGATGTCACTACTGTGATATGCATAGGACTGGAAAGGTTTAAGAAACGATAGAACTTGGACTTTTTCACACTCATTCATGTCTTAATGTTTCTTGTGATAATAGATCATTTGTTTTAGATGTTTTCAGTTTAAGTATGTTCACAATTAAAATTGATTCATCCAAATACAGTTTTAAATAGTTTTTATAGATGCACGGTATATGCGTACCGAGCAAATTTTATTTTCTTTTATATAAGAATAACTTCGATCATCATCATCATCATCATAGGTAGTTCTGTGCTAGTCATTTAGTTTTCATTTATTTTCTTTCATCTTAGATTCTTAATTTATGAATAAAAAATGATAGAATCTCTCAAGTAAAAGTTCAGTGTAAATCTCAATTCCTGTACAGGGACGTTTAACTTTTCGCTTTCATTTAAAATAAAAAGGCTCACTCATCTATCATTGTAAAATGTTATATCGCCTATCTATTTTTGTTTCTATTACATAATGCATTCAGGCAAAGTAATATAAGCATTCAATTTTTCCGGAAAAAATATTCTTGTAATTAAATTCAAAATTAAAGTTTTGAATATGGTCAGAAGAACTAAGTACGTATATGCATGAAATCACATAGAATATTGGCGAATAGAGGATTAAAATTGACTACAAAATTGCAATTTATCGCAAAAACCAGCGATTTCGAGGACATGTAACCACTTGCGTAGTTGTGGAAAGTGATTAATCGTTTGAATTAACCTCGAATCAACCTTTCTTTGATTGATTCAACTAATAAACACCCCCTAGTAGCCTTAATGAAGGTATTGTGTCTTCGTATACACGTTTGTAGACGAATATGTGTGTCAAAATGAGTTGGTTTGGACTTTTCATCTACTCCTTGATAAGGTTCTATGAAAATGCTACGTCTGAGATAACCTTTTATAGTTTTTCAGTCGCTTAAACCCTTTGATAAATCTTTCTGCTGTGGGTATTTCAACTTTATAAACCATTTTATTTAGTCTTTTAATGGTTAGATAAAAAGGTATATGCCGTGCTAATAAACGATGGAAAAAGGTATACCATACGTAATCTTTTCTTCATGAGTTAATGCTCGATCGGTACTGTTGCTAAGCACCAAACAGGATGGATTGTTTGTTATCGGTGACGAAGAAGAAGAAGTATAAGATTGATTTGAGGCAGTGTTGTTCCTTGTAGACGATAATGTTACGGTAGAAGCACCGAGCTGGCCCGATTCCAAAACGTCTTTTAAACATTGTAGATGTTTTGGGCGTTCAAAATGATATTTAACGTTAGTACAACCTCCGTTGGCACAGCTTAGTTCGATATTGCACGCAGTACATATGAATATGAACGTATTCTTTTCTTTACCTTAACGTAGCCAAACGGAACATGGTTTGCCCGTCGAGTCAGCTTTTTGTAGCCACTTTGATGAAAAACTAGTGTATTTTGGCATCTAACGTCTTTAATGTGTTTATTAAGAAATGTTGAATACTTTGCACTATTTTTACGAAACATGCATTTTCATCTACACTTTACGAAAAAGTTAATTGAATTACATATGTATGTAGTGAAAAATATTTCTTTTCATTTATCAACAGATTGAGCCACCGTGTATTAAAATCATATCGGTCTGATCTCTTTGAAAAAATGTAACGAAAAGTACCGTCCTATTTCTTTTTGATTATTCATGTTATTCTCTTTCATATTCGTTCTTTCTTTTATTCCATGATCTATATTATAGGCTTCATATCTATGGCTTGATTTTCCCCAGATAAATATTTGCCCTATGAGTGAGATAGAGAATCTATCACTCGCAAAACTCAAAATAAACGACAATATTTTGATATCGGCACTTCGTTCATCAAACTTGCTGCAGATCGATATTTTCTTACTAGAAAAGGCAATAGCAGCAACTGATATTGTGGTGACAACAAAAATCATCTTTCATAAGTATTAGAAGTCAAGCTATCATATAATTGAAATAGTTTGAGAATTTTTTCGTATTAGTATTAGATTCATAGATTGCTTTCGCTCAGAGCAAAGCTACAATCAATTTTGTTCGTGCCGGTCCTGTTCAATCTTCACCTGATCTATTTTTATTTTTATTGTAGGACGGTACATTTGGATGAATTCCTTCTTTACAATTAATTTTCTTCTTTGTAAGAAAAAATTTCCTTCTCAAGATCCTTCTTTTTATCAAACTCCGCTGCGGAGCGTGTACACTGCAATCCGACACAAGTTTTCATCCATTATCTTCCAGCTTTTCTTTTTATTTCATTGTGTGTAAAATTTTATCAAAAAAATATTTTCCACTGAAATGCATTTAGTTACTACTATCTAAAGCATTTCTCTTATTTACTCTTTCTCGAGAAAAAGAATTGTAATTAATCTAAAATGAAATGTAAAAGAGAGAATGTATCAGTATTTTATATTCTATCATTTCGTAGAACAAGTTTTGCTCTATCTTTTCCTGTATAACAGTAATTAGGAAAATTCGAAAGTGTTGCATGATTTTTTCAATTGAAATGTAGGCCACTTTTCACCATTATAAAATCTTATAGTTGACACTTCATCGAATTTTAGTTGTCGCATATTCGTTCCATAGTAATTTCAAGATTCGGAATAATATTGTTCTCGATATTACATTTAAAATTGAATAAAACTAGTCTTTTCAGAAAGTTGTCCGATGAAAAAACTACACATAATGAAAGCCTAGAAAAAAAATAATAATATAAAAAAACACCCAAAAAGTAGCTGCATAATTTTACAAGAAGAAAACTATGAAAAGTCTACTTCTGAAAAACATAGATGCTAAGGTAATTTCTTCAATCGAAATACATCAACATGATCAGCTAATTGAACTCTACCAAATAAATGGAGTTTTCACCTTGATAGGAGATACTCTTGTATAACATCGTTATATTATTTTCAACAGATAAACATCTCTGAAAAATGTTTCTTATAGAAACTAAAGGAAAAGCAATATTAGCATTCGCGATTTTTCATAAACATTTTCATTAATCATGTATCTAAGAATTTCATAAGAATTTCTTTTAGTTGAAAATTATTTTCTGTAATAAAATCTATTCTTTGATTTCTTGTAAATATTGCTATTAAGAATAAAAAGCGAAAACTACTTTGTTTTTAAATATTTTATTTTCACATTACCCGAATACAAAATTCTTTTACTTCATTGATGAAATGTGTTAATTGAGATAAAGTAATATTGATGACTTTTATCCTGTTTGTAATATATCACTTGAATTTAAATTTAGAAAATTCTCTTCTCTTTTTCATCTCCACTATTCAAAGTCAACAACGTGATTTTTAACTAAAATTTGAAAAATTTATTTATCGAATTTTCCTAAACGAAGAAAAATCAAATACATACAAATATAGATACACGGAAATGAGGATATGAGTACTCAATATCCACTAGCATTGTCGGATCTGCTTGTGTTTTTGAAAAACAAAATTCATTTCGACAATATCTTTTTTTGAATCTTAAACCTTTTTTTCTCTCTTGACACTGATATTGAGTGTGCCAATGTTCAAAAAAGAGCATCTTATCAATAAATAAATAAATCATTATGATTTCTGAATTCAGAACTAGATTCAATAACAAATATGAAAATCAATGAAATAAGTCGACTTGCTTTCTCTATGAATCATATTTATTACATGAACACGAACTACAGAAAAAATAAACAAACAACTACAATATGAGAACAATAACAGAATAAATACATCAACTAGCAAAACGTTTTCCTATTTCATGTTTGATGCCATCAAAATTTGGTGATTGGGTAAAAGATTTAATTAACTTTAATAATTTACAATAATTCTCATCCGTACGTTTTATACCATTCCAAAAGTCAAATAATTTCGATACTTTGTTTTTAACAGACAAGACTTCTTTAACTGATATCATTGTAGCTCTAATGCTCTTATCTGTCATATACATCATGATATTTATTGCACATTGTAGATCAAACGTTCGTTCATACTCATAATCGAAAGTATCTGAATCACTCGATAGTAATCCTAAATAATAAATTAGAAATGTTAAGCCAGCATATGAAATTGCTCCTTCAATAGGGAGTGCCTTTGGCATTTCATCGGTTTCATAAGTTGTAGCAAAACCAAAATCAATTAATTTTATATGTTCTTGGTTCAAATCTAACATCAAATTATCTGGACGTAAATCACGATGAAGAATACGACAATTATATAAATATTCAATGATGTTAATAAGTTGTTGCGACTGAATTAATGTTAATGATTCCAAGCGTGTCAAGTAATTTTCAAAATATTACAAAATTACCTGAAAAAAAAATAAACAAATTATTTTTAAAATAAAATAGTATTTCAATGATCGTGAAATAAAGATTTTCTATATGAAATTTTTCTAATTGCAAATTTATATTCAATTAGATACAAATTCAAAACAGAACTGATTTTATTAATAAGAGATAGACTTAAATCATGTGTTTTGTTTATTCATTTTTCAATCTAAACTTATATATAAGAACATCGAAAAATACTCAATTACAATTGTTGAACTAGACGAAAGTTAATGTAATAAATCTAATTTTAAGATGAACATTTAAACGCAACCATTTTATTAACAAGAATTCAACTTATTTCTTCATTAATGAATAATTTTCTATCTAATATTTTGAAATGCAAATAAACAATTTGACCCATCATCAACTAGCTATTGTAAAATTTGATCTAAATCTTTATTGATGATTCATGATATTTAAAACTCAACAATGTAGTTAAGTTAAATGAGAAATCATATGCGAGAAAGTATTTAAAACTTAAGAAATTACATTTAAAAGACAAACTGATCAATCCTAGAAAAATTAAACTTGAAGAAAACTCTTCTTTTTTTTCTTCTTTTTATTAAACAAAAAACTTGATAGTTTATTGAGAATAAAAATTCAAATAATTTTCACCGAATTTCTATTCATTCTCAGCAATCGGAAAGTTTTCTCGAAAAGGAAGTCAATTTATTTCGATTTTCTTCATGAGCAATATTGAAGCTGGGCAACTCGAAGGTATTTCAAATTACAAGTCAAGTGGCATCTCAACATTTTTGTTCTCCAACTAACTTAATTTGGAGGAAATCGAACTGAGCAAGTCAAGTCAATGAAATGGTTCAGAGAAAAACGACAAAAATGGTGGAAAACATTAGGCATTCAACTGCTTAAAGCTGATCAGTTGCTTTAAAATTGTAGTGTCAAATTAACAAATACCGATAATCAAAAGTGTTCAATCGAAATCATCCAGTAACACTTATCTTCGTTAAGAATTCAAAACATTTCACTCCCTAGAAGAATAACTTGATGGAAACTAGAAACTCGTTAGTAGATTAAAAAAAGCGTCTTATCACCTAAAGTCAGAGTTTGACTTGACTCGCTCAGCTCTAATAAATATATCATTAGAACTCAATCTGAAATCTAAAACATATTGAGAACATTAATAGTTCACTTGTTTAAATCAGAACTCGTACGAGAGTATTTGAAATTGCACTTTTCATACTTTTTCAAAAGTACAAATATCAACTATTGATCAAATGCACTTTGTATTTATACTTGTGATTTAGGAAAAGTATTTTATACCTATAGTTCAATTTGAAGACAAATGCTTTTCTATTAAGGATCAACTACAAAAACACTTGTACTTTGTACATTTATTTATCCTTTGAAGCAATGTCTCTTTGATCGTTTTACATATGTTAATGTTTATTCAAAAATATCGCACTACTTCGGTAACTGATAAGTATGTTTCAAATCTTAATGATAAGCTAAGAATATTTGAATGAAACTTCTTCAAGAAAATTTAAATATAAATTTTATAATTTACATATTGTTTTTATTAATCTATAAATTTGATTTATTTCGACTCTTTATTTTACAATTATATGTACACTGAAAAAGAAACAAGGTGCCACGAAGATTCCTTTTTTTCTTTCCGAAAAAAGGATTCCGTAATAGAATTTTTTTTCACCAGATTCAATATTCTACTAATAGATTCATGCATCACTCTAACTGTTACAGACGTCCCTACTATGTAACGCGTCTATTTCTATCCATTTAGGCTTATAACTAACCATTTTTTTGTGTTTTTATAAAATTCTATCTCATTTATTCTACACCAGTCTCTTACTCGTAATGAATATATACCTAATCTCTTACATCTATTCTTAGTAGAGATATACGGGATCAATTTCTTTCAGACTAGAACTCGTGAATTTTTTTCGGATCATGGTTCCGATAGACCTTTTCCACTTCTGACTCAATTCCATTAAAATTCATTTCTTTTTCGTTCTAGTCCTAGTCTCTCTGACTTTAGCTTTTCTTGTAGATGATTAATTTACAATTAGAAAACATTTACTAAGTCCAGAAAAACAACTTGAAAAATTTCAATTTAGCACCAAACTTCATGAATTTTTATTCATTGTTAATTCAAGTTCATTTTAAACTAAAATTTTCTGAAATTTGAAATTAATTAACCGGAAAATGACACCCCTAATTTTTCTGTTACTTGGCCGCATTGAGAGAAACTAGTAGAATCTGTTGGTTTTCAATCTTGAATAATTCGTAGGAGTTGGAATTTTTCTAGTCAACGACAGATATTTGCGTGAGTAAAATTTTATTTTTTTCAGTCTCGATCCCTATGACTTATAGTTTATGGTTTCTGCCCGGTACATCTCTAATCTTGACTTCCCCCAAAATCTATCCTCAACATTCATTCCTCAATCTTTACCATGAAATATATTCTTTAATCACCTATTCCTTAATCCATATGACTGAATCTAAACTCATAATTCTATTCACTTAAACCTATTCGAAATTCCTTATTTGTGAATCGAAATTTTGAGATATTTTCTTAACGTTCTAAATCCAACGATAACTCCTTATTCCAAATTGTGTGAATCCTCGAATTTATTCGTAAAACTAATTCAGAAATTTAAATTGCTTAAGAGACGTTGATAACTTTTTCATTTCGATGCAATGCAAATAACTAACATGTCATGTCGGACCATTTTTTCTCAAAACTCTGAACCTAAAAAACTTGTAAGGTAGTATTTCATTGATCTATCAAGTAGTATGACAGATGAATAATACTAGTTATCAAAGAAATTTTCCTTCATTTTTCAAGAAAACTAAACTTAAACAATGATTGACCATAGCTAGTGACTTATTTTTTAATACGAAATAACAATCATAGAGCTATTTACAGTTGGTAAGTAGATTCTAATCTCAAAGTTGACTAGTTGTATAGTAAAAAATATATTAGCCCGCTTTATGTATATGAATGACATCTCCTTTCATGAATAAAAACTTAGATCTGCTCTCAAATCTTAGAAAAAAAAACTCTTCTCGCTTAATTAAAGAGTGACAACAAATATTCAAGTTCGCTTTTTCTTATCTACTGAATTCTGAGACAATCATCTATGTAGATACATACATGATCATCAAAAACCAAAAATATTAAATATTTATATTAAATAAAATTTTGCATTAAAATCATCTCATTTCAACTTTTATATTTACATAAATACAGAAAAAAAATGTAAACTTATGTAGTTTTGTGTTCTTTTTTTACTACTTATAAAAATCCCAGAAAACGAGCGCATAAAAAAAATTTGATCATAGACTAATTTTCAATAATTTTAAATTTTTCTTCTAATTTATTTCATATCTAATCAATAGAGAAAAAATAATTTATTTTACTCGAATTATTCTCTTAACAGAAAATTAATCTTCATGTTGTCCATTTATTATGATGAGGAATTCATTTTCTTCCAACTCTTATTCAAACAAAGCCTACTCAAAATATTAATTCTAATTTTAATCAAGAAAATTTACCTGTAGGCGATGATGCGAAAATATTTTCAAAATATTTTTTGAAGTTAATTGAATCTTCTGATTGTTTCAATTGTCTTAACATTTTAACTTCATTTTTGAAATAATCTGAATATTCATTGCGTTTTGAGATTTTTATTGCACAACGTTTTGTACCAGTATTGACATTTGTATTTTGGTCTAAAGCATAAACTATTGAAGTTAAACCGCTTCCTCATTTGACTTCTATGTTAAATTTATCGTGATGTAAATAATCATACGGACTTATGTTTAACATTGAGTAGCCATAAAAGTGCCAATCCTTTGTTAAAAATTTCATAAATATTTTCAATGTATCCGTATTCCAACAAATTTCATTCGATTTTTCATTTGTTGTTTGGCGAACATTATGTGACGATGATGATGACGACGTTTTGGGAACGGCAGTATAAAAGTGGAATGGTTTGCTTTCGTAATAATCACATAAATCTAACCCTTCAACCTTTTTAAGACAATAAAATTTAATTTGTTGTGTATTTGTCAAAAATCCGTAGATTTTCTCACGTTTTTGCTGAATTAATACATAGTAGAGATAACGCGATATTTGCTCAACGACACCCTTCAGCCCAATATATACACCTGGTTTCTTTAATTCACCGGCGCAAACGATAAAATCTGTTAAAACTTGCTTTTGGTTCTCCTTGGTAATGTTAATATTTTTGAATACAAAACCACAATCAGGAGCTTTCCCATCTAAATAACGGCATTGTGGTGTGCTTAAATATTTCAATGATGTTAAATGAGCAATTTTATGTAATGCAGCATTTATTGAATCATCAACTGCTTCTTGAATACGATCTTCATTAGCTTTACCACATGATTTCCAAGGACCAAAACACTTTTCAATAACACTCATCATATCATCCTTAATATGAATATTATCATTTAATAAAGTTTCCATGTCCAGGTCCTGAATATGATCATTTGCATGAATGTTGAAAAAACCAGGATTATGAAATGCTGCAGTGACTGCTTTTATGCTGGATGATGATTGTCCAGCTAGAATATGCGTTCGCTTTGACCCTTCGATTTCTTCTGTGCTTGGTCTTTTTCGTTTTTGTCGCAGCTCTTTTTGTTTTGTTTTTTGTTCCTCTTGTTTTGCTTTTGCTTCTTCTTGTCTTGCTTTTGTTTCTTCAATTTTTAATCGGAATTGCAGTTGTGCTACAGTTTCCGAAAAAACATTGTCACCTGTAGCCATGTTTGTAATTGCCACTTTTTATTTATCTATAAAAGAACGATAACATTTTTTATTCTAAACGTATTGGAATCAGATTCATGACTGTGACTGATATTGACTGTTTATACTTGCCAAGTATAAACAAAGTGACCATTGTTTCAATTATATCGTTATATTGTCTTCCTTCATAGAGAAAACATAGAAAAGAGAGCGCTCGTTCACGATGAGTCGGATCGAGTTCTCAATAGAATATTGTTGAAATGAAAAATAGGAAATTTTCATACTATTTTTGTAATTGTAGTTGAGCCATGCGTGGTGAATTAAGGAATTTTTTTTATCTTCTTTGCGCTGTATATCTGTCATTTTGGGAGATAAAAGAATTGCTCGTCATTGACTATACATGTTTTCAAAATCGTTTCTGGGAACTGTCTCTACGCTCGTTTTTGTCAGAGTCCGATAGCGTTATCGATTCACCTCATTCTTGATTGAATAAAGAATCAATCATTGTGTAGTGGAACGAGTGTATCAAGCAACCTATGTAAACTGGGCATTCTAAAATAAAATTTTCGGTCATGTCTCGGTATAATTTTAACTCACTCTCACTATCAAACATGTTCAGTTCACTTAGTTCTACAAGATGATGCTAGTTTGATCATCTCGTAATGATTTTATCTACTTGATTTTGATTAAAAATGACGAAAAAAATCATAGTTTTCGCGGGAATAGCAGTTTTTTTTATAATTAAAGTTGATTAATAATTCTCTCTAACATTACGCGACCAGCATTATCGTACTCTATGTATGACAAGAGCATCATTTTAGAGTTTTTATAGAAATCAGAAGGTATAAGATGAATAATAGAATGTGCTCAGTAGGTATGATGTTCAGTTTTTGTAAGGAAGAGAACACAGTCGATTATTCGATGGGGTGGAGAGGCATATTTATTGGTATTTTAATTTGACGTGTTAAATTAGCATCTGACATTGCCGGATTGTTCATTTTTGTTCATGATATTGTGGTATACTGAAATGGAGGTATTTGTGTTGTTTCCGAGATTTAAGATCGATCTTCGGAAACTTGAGATGTGCTGAACTTTTACTTTGAGTAAGTTTCATGAAGCTCGGCTTTTCTTCTCGAGTATTACTCACAATGGGAATCATTTTCAATAAGTAAGATGAAAAAATTCTCGTAGGAATAGTTTATAGATGAGAGTGAACTATCAATGTAGGGATAGATGCTGTGCATATGGTGATACAGATATGTATTCATGCTATACTCATCATCGATATGTTGGTTATATTCATTCACTGCATTCTGTCATGTTTGGATTATATGCAGAATCCAAGAAATATGGAGGAAGATTTCTGAGTCTTTGCGATTTTTTTCCGGCAGTAAATACAGGTTGATGGGCATGGACCATTGGAATGAAATTTTTAAAGGTTTTCTTAAATTTTCCTGGACGAGGTCTGTTGTACGTTCAAACCTTTGACTTGTTTTATATATTTTAGGAAAGCAAGATACCTGATTTTTCAGGTATTTTGGTAATGCCATTCACTGAGGAAATACCCAAGTTTTACTACGATATCAGGACTGTTTCCGCGTCGGCGAAATAAAAATAGCTTTCACTTTTTGTTATTTAGTTATTGAAGAACATGTGACAAGAGAAAAAGAGGTTTCCTAAGAAGTTTCTTTTATTATTCTGTTGAATTTATTATAGAAAAGCTGTGTCATGAGAAATTTTAAAAAACTAATAATAATCGAAAAATCTTATCTATCATTGATTTTTGTAATTCTTATTTGAGAAATCCTGAAAATATACCAGTTCTCTTGTTATGACGTTCAGACTTGTACTGCACACTTATCTTGTAATAAAACATTCATTATCAAGTTGGAAATGTTCTAGCAAGGATTTTTTAACTATTTGATTTGTAATAATAAGTGATAAAGCAATTTTAAAAGTCCGCTTTTACTTCTCTGCACTTTGAACCCACAGCATCTTTACCGATAACATGATGTATTCAGCTCAGTTCTCACGTTTCCCGATGCCAAGCTATAAACTAGTGCTTTATTTGCTTTCCTACTAACTGCACCAGTAAAACACATATTCTAGAAAAAGCTATCCCTCAACAGAATGACGGCTTTACTGTATAAAAATGTTATTTTGGTTCCGTACAGATTCATCCGTATTGTATTAATGGATCATAACAATATTAATCTTATGCCGAAACAACTCCTAGTTTTCCGGAAAACGAAATTGCTCGCTACCCAAATAACGAACATTGAATTCATCACAGATATAACCAACATATGGATGATGAGTATAGCATGAATACATATCG